ACGGTATGATATTTATTGCGATATCGTGGGAAAGCTCACGATATGGTGGGGAGGCTCACGATTAGGGATGCAACTATATCCAAACCTCTCGGTACAATATTTTCAAGGTATAAATCTCACTGTACAATATTTACTGTAATATTTTGTAGAGGCTAACAAAACTGTTAATATGACACTGTTTCCCTTCAAAATGCCTTGAAAAGAGTTAACCCAAAGACCTAAAACTTAACCGTTTTAAGCACTTTTAAGTTTTAATTATTTCTTCTTATAGTCTACACTGAAATGGAGCAAAGGATCATGGTCTATGTAGTTCCTCTGTCTTTCTTTTTTTTTCTTTTTTTTTTTAGCTATTGCTGCACCATAACTCTTAATTTAAGCAGAGACTTGTAATTCGATATATTGTGACAGCCCACGATATTATTGTGAGAACTTTGACGATATGATATCACGATATTTCAGTTATTGTTACATGTTTATACAAAGTATTAAAAAGTATTTCATAAGAGCCAGTAAATAACATGTTCTGCTCCATGTCCCATGAAATCGATTTTTAATTTTAATTGTAGAATCAGCCTGAGCTAACAAGTTACTTATGTTTTATTCATGACCAACACGGTAGTTTTGCTCAGGAGTAGTTCACTAATGCTTGTCATTTTTAGCCTTTAAGTTTTCATCTTTCTTACCTTGATAGTTGTGAATAAATTCTTCATGGACAGAATGTTTATCCTTTGTTGACCTTATTTGATGAAGATTTGGTGACAGGGCAGATTTATGAAGCTGGTGGAAAATACTTGAGACATTTCCACAGATGTTTTGCCATACAAAAGCATTAACAGGAAGTGACGTTTGCCCTACATCGCGGCACTTCCCGCTGTTGTGAAAAAGGTCTGTTGCTATATTGTTTATGTGGCGGACGGCAGATGGCACAGTTACTTTTAATCACCTGTTGACAACTTCCTGTGCCAGCAGAAGTCGGGCTTAATAGGCTCTATTCACGCTTACATCAGAAACCAGTAAGACGTTTGGAAACATGCAATGACATTTTTGCCGTTCGCGGTAGTAAGTCTGACTATATTGAGAAAGAATGAGAAAATGGCCCTGTTTTCTTCAGCTATATGTCATTGTAGCGTTCCGTTATGTTCGGCTAATCAACCAATTACCAATTACCTCAGTTTTCATTATTTCCTCACTGACACACAACTTCGAGCACACTGGGTACATGCGATTAGAAGAGACGAGGGCGACAAATTCAAGATGATTCCAAACAGCACATACGTATGCAGTCTTCATTGTACCACTGATCACATTTACTTCAGTGGGTTTTATCACTGTCGGTCGGCGAGCCCAGTGTTGGGAACTACACCAGAAGTTGTCATCGCATGTTACCAAACGTCTTCCTGGTTTGTGACGTAAGCGTGAATAGAGCCTGTAGGCCAAGCGGCAATGCCTCCATCTCGATTTCTGCTGGTTGGTGTCAGGTAAGATTTTAAGGCTCAGTGACAGATATTTTCCTCTGTGTAATTGAGATTTTGAGGTAGGACAGGTATTGGTTTTTTTTCATAGGGTTTTAATCCTTTTAACACTTGTCTGTCCATTTTTATATCGTAGGATTGGTCTGCTACTGTTTGTTTTGTTTTTTATTTTTTAGTGCTGTTTCATTTACTGTTTAAATTTACGTTATATAATCATTTTTAAGTTTTAGTTCTATTGCACAGTAAATAAATATGTTTTTAAATAGTGGCTTTAGCTTTAGTTTGGTTTAAGTTCCCGTGTTGTACTTGGGAGATGCTTAGCCCATACCTTTTAGTTGTACTTTGGGTTGTTAAATTATACTGTTACATTATTGTAATATTGTGATTGCGTGGTAGCACTTTCCGTTTTGTTCTGAGTGGGGCTACCCCCTCTCAAGTCGTCCTTGTTTGGTTGGTTTTTAACATTTATTTCTGTTACAGGACTTGTTTACTCCGCCCAGGGGCTGCAAAGTTTTATTCTGATTTTAGTAGTGTCTGTTAATAAAACATCTGCAATTTTTATCATTTTAACCACTGCCTGGTTTGTACAGAATAAATCATTTTACATTTTCTTGCTCCTTTGATTTGAATTACATCTTTTAAAGTCACGTCTCTGTCCTTTTCTTACAAACTTACCTGTGTCCTTGGGTATTTTATGACATTGTATTAGTATTTTAAACATAATTTATTGAAGGTCACACTTTGCTATGCTAATCCCCGAACACAGTCCTAAAGCTAACACGGACATCCGCCAGCAGCCTTCACTTTTAAATGTCTGTCTTGTACGCACACGCTGTAGTTTAGTTCTTATTAAAAATGTCCAATACTCAAGTGAGCTAGCTAGCTAAAGGTTTGGATGCACTGTCATTGCTTCCCTGATCGCATATGTCAGATACAAAGATTTTAAATTGATGTTTGAAAGCTTAAAAATCTGTATTTATTTGTGGTTTTCAATTTTTTGTCAGTTGTAAGTAGTCATTCTATTATTCAACCTTTTCACATTTCTCTTCTAAGAGCCGGAAAATGACATAATGTTCTTGTATACACTTGCCGATCGCTATAGGTAAATGCTATAACAGGTAAATGCTTGACACGTTTCATCCGCCGCTAGCCTCCACTTCGCAATGTTTATTTTGTAGGAGCGCGCTATAGTTTGGATCTTATTGAAATCCCCAATACTCAAGAGTGAATGTGGGATAGCTAGCTAGCGGTTTGGATGTGCTGTTGTGATGTTGTAGCAGTTTCTTTGTTCATATGGAGAAATCACATTGTGGAGTTGCAAAGTGTCGCAGCTAGTTAGAAAAAAAAGAATTTGAAATATGTTTCAAATCATAAAAATCTGTATCTTTGTTTTACATTCTTGTTAACTGTAAATAGGCCTAGTATTTCTATTATTCAGAGCTAATACTCGCTATACTCAATGCTGTTTCATCTGCTAGTTGTCTGCACTTTTGAATCTTTTGTCTTATACAAATATAACATGCTCTATGTTTTGGGTCTTATTGAAATGCCCAATACTGCAATAGCTAGAGTGGCATAGCTAGCAGCAATGGAGGGATAGCCAGGCTGGTGCCACATAGTGCCTCCGGTCAATTTCATTTCTCTCCAGCAACTAGGTCAGGAATTAGAATACACTTGATGGTTTGCATGAACCCCGGAAGTGCGAGTCCGCACACCAGCCAGTCAGCCAAGAGCCATACATTCTGTGTTGTCAGCGATTCCCAAGCTCAAAGATTTAAAGCCGGAACAAAGAGAATGTTCTGTGAATTTTATCAAGGGGAAAGACGTTATTGCCCTTCTTCCTATGGGATATGGGAAAAGCTTAATATACCAGTTATCCCCTAACCCTAACCCACATTACATATGTCACAACCAAATAGCAGCGATTGGTTAAATTAAAAAAGTACCCACCTACTGCTGAGCAAACGAATTCTTAAACTGCGAGGTCAGATGATTTCCATGAAGTGAAACCGGCTGATGAATCAGGCTACTGGAGGAATGGTGTACATAGAGAAAGTGGCTTGTGGAGTTGCAAAATGTCCCTAATAGTGTAAGTCAGATACAAAGATTTTAATTATTGTTTCAAAGCATACAAAATGTTGTTTGTTTTTTCAGTTGTTTAATATAGTTATTCCCTTATTCAATCCTATCCAATTTCTGTGGGCCTTTTCATTGAGGTTTTTTTTTTTTTTTTTTTTTAATCATAATCTGTTTTACTTTGCAGTGTTGTCTTTGACATTGGTTGCAAGTACAGTGGCTTAGAAACTAGTTCCACCAAAGAAAAGAGTTGGCTTTCTGAGGACCATCGGCTCTAAACCAGGAATATAACAGGATTGTGCCAGGCCTAAAGTAGGTAATGAATAGGACTACTGCATTGACATAACATACCAACTTAAAAATGTGAATAATAGTGGAGCTAAAAGAATCTGAGGCACTCGAGTGTAAAAAAATAAAAGTCATTTATTGAGACACGAACCGGTCCATGCATTACGACACCTGAGTGTCTTGGTTTTACACTTGTAGGTGGGGTCATGTGACCACCCCTGACATCTGTCAAAAAGAGAAACATAATGATCATGTACACAAACAAAAAACAGTGATAAAACTGACTGTGTGGCACTGTATAAACAAATAACAAACTGTTTTGAGTTCTGACTGCTTATTTGTGTTCAGCAAATCTTTCTTTTAATTTTCTTTTGGTTTGGCAGATTACTGCATTGATAGAGAAGTTCTAAAGAATTACTAAGCCAAAGGGGAGAGGAGTTTGGAAGCAACTGACTCCAACTTAAGTAAAAAGAAGAACTGAAGAGGAGTCTGCATACCACCAGAACAAGTTTGTGTGTAATCAGTGATATGTGTTCCACTATGATCTATTAGTCAGTGCTCATGTATGTAGTCTGCCTCTAGTATTTGTGTAGTTCATTGTGACATAACTAATGTTAATGGAAACTTTTATTTCCAATATATTATGTCATTTAGCTGGAGAATTGAAACGCTAGGCAGATGGACACTAATGAGCCTTAATATATTCAAAGTAATTATGATACCAGCTTTTGCTTTTAGTCCTAAGTGATTTTGTGTTGTTTTATCAGGGCTGATATGTCAAGTTCATAATAAAAATGACCATGGCAAATAGAGAAGACTCAAGGCTAAAGAGAAAAAGCATAATATTGCTGTCCGTCGGTCCCCTTTGGATTCATTTGTCTAACAAAACCAGGTATTACTAAGTATGCCTGCACAGCACCAAGGTCATTCACCTTTCTGTATACAGCTGCTATAAAAATACTATGCTTTAACGACCAAAAGAGCAAGCGCGTGTCAGACATTTGACCGCTGAGTCACTTGCCTCCACAAACAGCAAACGGCAAGGCTGTCTAAACAGTAACCCGGCAACAAGGTCACAGTATTAACAAGCTGAACTTTGCTTTTAACGTTTCTCCTGCTCTGTGGGCACGGGGCTCATTTGTACCACAAGTGCACTATTTGTGGTGAAATACAAGACAACATATTAGACTTTCTCTTATACTGTATCCAGTAGTCATTATTTATAGTAAGTCCTTGATTTCCGATGAGGTGTGGTTTAATGTGTTTATTACAAAGACAGTGAAATAGGGAAGTGATGACAAAATCCCATAGCTCCTCCTCACAACCTTTGAATGGGTCGCCAGCCTCCACCAAGTAATTTTTACATCCCTACCAGGGCAGGCGTCACATGTGAGTACTCTGAAAACCACTGTAAATGCAATCCATGTTGTATTCTTATTTAATTCAAATAATTGTTGACTATTCATGATATCCTACACATAGTAAAATCGCAAATGTTGCAGTTTTATCTAGGTTTTAAATTTCAAAACAGTGTCTTATTCTACTTTACAAACTGTTCACCCTGTAATTTAGATCTGTACAAACATGTTCTGAAATGTCATTCTTAAATTAGTTTGTCAGTTTTATTTCAGTTTTCCCTTGATGGTGTGTAATTGTGAACTTTGAACGGAATTCTATTATTAAAACATAAATTGCATAAATTGAACTGGAGTGAAGAGTTAGTATTTTATCACAGAAGGGAGATTGTAGGGTAGAAAAAAGGGATTTCAGTTTGTTCAGTGGCAGAGTACAAATTCTGTGTACCTTAAAAACAAGAGTCTCAGTTTGGCTCATCAACATGTGTCACTTTATACTGGCAGACTTTAGAGCTTTGCATACTAACAAAGTCCGTTCCTTTTCAAATACTACTATCAAGTTCCAAACATTTTCAAATAACAGCCTGCCCTAAAGGATCTACATGTGCTCCTTGTGTCCTTACTCACAGAAACATACTATTTTAGAAAGTGAATTTTTCCACATATCTGACATTGCCCATGCGCTGATCATTGAGTAAATAGAGTTTGCTTTTTCATAATAAGCCAGGATTGCAACATGTGAACTATTCCTTTTATAGTGTTTCATATGTAGTTTGTGCCCCTGAGTACGTGTGAATTGGTCCTCTCTGGTGTATATTAAAATAAAATGTTAAGTGAATGTTTATCTGTTTCTGCAGATTCCACAATGTCTCCTAAATGGTGTGCGCTATTTCTTCTGCTATCAGGTAATGAATAATAATCAAATTGTATACTTCATTAAAATAATTTCTTAGAGCTTTTATTGTAATGTGTGTAGTCAGTGGCGGTTGGTGGTATAGTTTTTTGTGGGTGCACCTAGGCCAAAATTTTACATATATATTATTTATAGACTATAGCCTGTATATATATATAATTATTGGACACAGGCTGTAATACCTGTATAATAACAAATACCAGAGATAGACAGTCATTTAGTCACTATTGGCTGAACTATAGCTTGAATGAGTTTATATAATTTGTCTTATATCTCATCAGTTTCTTGTCCTACACATTCATTGTCTTTGGATATTACAATCAGAACGGAACACACAGCCAAATGCAATATTTACCACCACTCACAAACAGTCTAAACATCAGCAAAAAACAAACAAACTTATGAAGCTGCTATAACTACAATGAGAGGTTACAGTCACAACACGAACACATGGTATCAGTGCTGCTCCAACAAGTTTGTCACTTGCTTGTGTTACTGGAGATGTCTTTGTGTGGAATATTCCAGTGTATGCCATTAAACGTCACATTCCCTTAGCCCACTTCTTTGTATGGTCTATGGTCAAAATATATGCAAAACACTATAAATCATGAATTATTAACCTATTTACAGGTACACAGGCTTTCTTGATCCACAACGTGCGCCGGAGCCTGTGCCTGGATGAAGTGGTCGAAAGTGGTGAAGTGGTAGCCAGAAAGTGCAGCCTGGACTCGGCCTCTCAGCAGTGGATATGGGAGGAGCGAACCCGACTGGTAAATATGGCTACCTCCAGGTGTCTATCGGCCTACAGCGACCAGCCCCTGCGCACCGAGCCCTGCCCTGAACCCGGGGAGAGGGCCCTGGAGCTGGAGTGGGAGTGTGACAGTGGCAGACTGATGAGCAGGAGCAGCTCTCTGTGGCTATCATTAAAAGACCAGCGCTTGGTGCTCACAGACAGCAGCAAGAACATCCAGTGGAGGTCGTTGGATAAGGGAGATATCTGCCAGGAGACGCTCAGTAAGGAGATTTCTTTCAATGAAACCTATCCATGGGTGACAGAATGATGAGAAATTAAGATTTTTACCATATAAATGAAGAATGTGTAGGGCCTATATTATGCTATGTTATTATCAAAAACATACCTGGAGTTGTGTTTTGTTTCATTCACACAGGTTTAACATACACATCCTGCATATTTAAGATGAGTTCTTCTCTCAGACAGAAAATACTCTGTTCCACCTCATGATGTCATGTGGTAATACAGCAAGTTCTCCACTGTGTTTTTAAACTCACACATTTACTAGAATCATTTAGATAATTATAGCACTGCAATATTGACAATCTCTGCTGAACAAAAGGAAAAAGTTTTTTGTTTTTTCAAATTGATTACATATATGCAGTACATAGAAATTATTATAAACAAATTATTCTAAACATACATACATGAAAACAGATTACAAGAAGTACGGGGTAGTTAAATGATTCAGAGTGATAATTTCAGTTCTTTATAAATGGATAACATAGTATATATATATATATGCTTTTTTTTATCAATATAAAATAAAATCTCTCTCTTCCCAAGCTTAGTTCCCACACTACACAAAGATTTAAAAAGTTTTTCAATTTCACACCAAAAAAACATAACATACATTATATATACATGTATAACAAAACATGTTCAGCTGATTCATTTTCCATAATACACATGGGTTCCATAAAATACTCTGTTGGATACATGTATAATTCAAAAATTAAATTGATGTATTATTTATTTTATTTAATGTAATTTTATTAACTAAATATCTATCGTTATAAACCCACATTTGATCCCAGTCAATATTTGAAAAAATTTTATCCCAATCAAATTTGCACTGAGGAGTTGTTTTATTTGTCAGTATTTGCCTCAGAAATGGCAAAAGGCAAAAGGTAGCTGTTGAAAACTACTGCTACATGACATTACAAGGTGGAACAGAGCATTTTGAGATTAATAATGAAGGATTACTCAAAGGTGTGAAAGAAATAAAACTCAACTTTGGGTATGTTTTTGATGAGGTAGTAGCATTCTAACACATTAGAGTAAATTTTGTGTAATATAGGACTTTTAAGTGCTATGACATGAACAATTACACTCAAGTTAAATAAGCCTAATCCTGCGTTTGCTATGATGCTACAAAGATGTACCAACGTGCAGTTCAGTCATGCTTCATTTTAGCTTATTAATGAGGATAAACACAAAATAACCTTTTGTTTTTCCTCTATGTAGAAATGAACACAGCAGCAAGGGAGCACAACAATTTGGAATAGTGTAGTAGTTAGTTAGAAAATTGAATAAAGAATACCTGAGCGTGCTCGTCTCTAATGATTTGTTATGGACTGTCACTGACACTGTAGCTTGATAGCTCTGATTTGAATGTTGTTTTCAGGATCTAGGAGAGCATCGGAGGAGTTTGAAGTCGCCCCAAAGCCCACTCTGTCATCAGAAGAGAGGGAGTACCTGCGCTGGTTTTATCGCACTGAGGATGGTGAGTTCATTTGGTTACATGCTTGGTTGGTACACTGACAGATTTCCCTGGTAGAAATTAGAATTCATGATCAGATCATTTTTAGATGTTGTTTAATTTCTTTAAGGTGTGCTGTGTAACTTTTTGGTTGGGTGTCTGTCACCTGCTTGTTTCTATGGAGTGCTCTGGCTGGAATGTTCCACAGTATGAAATTAAAGAACTCTGCCTTGCATTTATTCAATTACAAATGGTTTTATAGCTCAGAAATACCTAGAATAACTAGCATTCTGACTGGGGCTGGGTATCATTAAGAAGATACGATACATACCTCGATACAGTGCACTTTCGGTTCAATACGATATATTTCAAATTAATTCGATAAGGTTCAATAAAAAATAAAGGCTAAATCATGGCTGTGATACTAAAAGTCTTTTTTAATCCACTTCTTGTGCAAAGTACGTGTGAAAAACTCACATTTTAATCATCAAAACAGTGAATATATCAAGTGTGTTGCATAAATGAGTTGCCTTCCTCTAAACAAGCAACAAAACTGTAGCTGTTTAATTTAGTAAAATATACCAAAAAATACTCTTGGCAATATATCAATCAAGCAGCTCACAATATCAATACTGTATCATCACATTAAACGATACAATATATGGATATTTTGATATTTTTGCACACCCCTAATTTTGACTGTGAGCGGGTTTGCCTCTCCAATGATCTGACATGTAATGTGGTCCTGTTTGGTTGAATGCCATACTGTGAAACATACCAGACAAAGCTGCAAAACATCTCCAGGGAGAAAAGCGTTTGACAGACCCTCTACCACAAAAGTTACACAATGCACCTTTAAAGTGTATATGACAGGTTTTCATTTTTTTCTAATTACGACTTGGTTTGGTGGGATTGTTCCATAGTTTTCCTTTAGTTATGCTCTAAAACAAAATCCTTCTATCTTTGTCATCAACAGCAAAAGTTACATTCAAAATTCAGGAAACCTTTTTCTGACAGTTTAAACCTTCATTTGAGAAAATAAAAGTGTTGTCAATTATGCTTATTAGTCTAATCATAATTATTGTGTAATTTTATACTTTTGGCTCGTGTTAACATCATGGTTGCTACGTAACGGTTATGAAATTACCTCTCTGCATGTCACATCTATACTGCCCATGTCTAGCCAGGAAGTCGAATTAATTTAACCTCCTGAGACCCGGCCTATTCATTTGTGTCTTTTATAGTCTATTATAGTCTATTATATCTATTTCTGTCTATTTAAGTGTTTTGAGATATACTCTTAATGGGGGACTAGGTTCCTCTCCGTAAATAAGGCTGGGGGATTATAGGGTCCTATCATGTCCAGAATAAAATAATAATAATAACTCAATAGGAGTTAGTTTGTTGCTGCACTATGATTTTTAAAAAAGGGTTACTTTTTGAGGTGACTGTGGAAGCTTGTGAGTTTTTGTTAGATTGTTAACTACACATGGATTTAACACCAAAATATCCCCAATGTCCATTACAGAGGACATGTTATTAAATTATAAATAAAAATAAAATGAACAAAATCTAAATCCTAAAGTGTTCATTCACCGGTATCTTCAAATAGAAAGAAAATCACAAAAAAATATATATTGCAATACACTCTTTTCTTCGGGTCCCAGGAGGATATATACATACATAACATACACATGGGTCATATTTACTAATATTTTTTCCATTAAAGAATTTGTTAGCTGGATTAAATGTATAATTTTAAAATAAACCTCTGTGATTTTATTGTTAACTAAATATAAATAAATATATATATAATTATAAACCCACATTTGATCCCAGGCAATATTTAACCTTAGAAATAAACAAAGCTAATGAAACTAAAGAACTTCATAAAGAATTATCAGTATGAATCATTTAATTACCTCTATTTTGTGTTGTTGTTTTTTTCTTGCATGTATGTTTATAATAATTTCTATGTATATATGTAATAATTTAATGAGAAAAAAAAGGACCAAAATGAGAAAATTAGGAAAACAGGCATATAGCATAGTATATATTTAAATTTAATCTTAAATTGTGTACATGGTGTTTTAATCACGTTGTCTACTGTTCCTTTATTTTATTTATTTATTTCAGTTTTAGCACAAACTAGTTACATACATTTGCAGATTTCTGGTCAAAATCCGATGTGACAAAGACGTGGCTGCCACTTTGCCGTCGGGCCTCTCCAATCACTCATTAACACAGCACATCCATACTTTGACAAAGTGTCTTGCCTAAGGACACAAGGCACTGGCTGCACTACACACAATTAGGATCATACTACCAGCCCTGCAGTTATGACACAACAACACAGACAGTAAAAATCAGATAAGTACAATAATCTGATAAGCCAATAATTAGATCAGATGTGAGTTTGAGTGTGTTTACAGCACGAGAGAAATCTGATTATCAAAAACACTTGGGGACATGTGTCGGTTAATAATGGATTTTGAGAGTAACTGTCCTATGAATTTTAAAATAACTCTTTCAGACTTTAATTTCTCTCTTTCATTTTTGTCTTTGCCACACTAGTTTGCCCTTTTTTTGCATAATTGTCCTGCACATGACATTTCAATTATTTGATACCACCAGGAATAAAATACCTCCTAATGATCAGATTTTTGGTGTGCATTGAAATATAGCCACTCACAAGTTATTCAGACTAAGAGAATTCCTGTGGTTTGCAGATAAATGGAGCTTGAGATGGGCCCTAGAAAACTTTAAATTGAAAAAAAAGTTGTGTCTAAACTTGTAATCTCAAAAAGAATATATATATGAAGTGAAATATAGTATGACCTAATTAAGTATTAATCCTATATTACACAAAATTGACTCTTGTGAGCTTTAAGATATATTATAATGTTGTTACTTCATCACAATCATACCTGGAATTGTGTTTTGTTTTAGTCACACATGTTTGAGCGACCCTATATTATTAGTCTGTCTACATCTTAAAATGCTCTGTTTCTTCGTGATGTCAGGAAGAAGTAGTTTTGAAGTTAACAGCTACTTTTCATCTTTACTTCAGTAGATCGGTAATTCTTCCTCCCATATGTCACATGGACCATGCCTCCTCCCCGATGTTGCACCTCTAACCCAGAACTAAACCAGAACTCAACCAGGTCTAAACCAGGTCTAAACCAGGTTTAAACTGGGACTAAACCAGGTCTAAACCAGGTCTAAACCATGACTAAATCAGGTCTAAACCAGGACTAAACCAGGGCTAAACCAGGACTAAACCAGGACTAAACCAGGAACCAGGTATAAATCAGGACTAAACCACATCTAAACCAGAACTAAACCAGGTCTAAACCAGGTCTAAACCAGGACAAAACCAGGTCTAAACCAGGACTAAACCAGGTGTAAACAAGGCCTAAACCAGAACTAAACCAGCAAACTAAACAGCACTAAATCAGCACTAAATCAGTCTAAACTAGAACCAGCACTTCATTACCACATGACATTACAAGGTGGAGTGTTTTCAGTAACACTCTCTCAAAAAATCGTAGTCCGCCAAACCTTCCAACTAATGTTAATATGTTGTTTCTATCTGTTTTGACAGCACAATATTGGAAGTTTTCAGTCCTGGCTCTGGCCTTCGTCTGCCTCCTTATTGGCTTCATGTTGCTGGGGATGGGTGCCATGGCCAATAAGTACTACCAGCTTTCCAGTTTTAAAATCAACTTTTCTTTTTGTTACACATTTGACATCCAAATGTAACTTGTCTGCGCATGCTTTTTCTACCCCTGCAGGAACAGAAAGAAGATAGCCAAGTACAAGGCAGCGGCTGCTCTGCTTCAGAAGAAAGATTGTGAGGAGTTGCGGGTCATATCGCTCGAAGACACCAGCGCACCCAGCACGCCGCTAGCCAAGCCTCCCGCCTCCTCCTCACCGCCCAATGGGGAGCTGAGCGACTGCAAGCCAGGGAACATCGTGCTCACATACAAAGACGGAAACACCTCCAGCCTGTACCCGGACACCACAGCAGCAACAGCAGAAGAAGTGAGCCTGACAGGGGAGGACAGGCAGGCCGAGGCAGTGGAGGAGGAGGCAGCTCTGGAGATAACGACTGCACAGCCAGACACACAGGAGGAAGAGGAGGAGAAGGTGGTGACAGAGTGTAATGATTAAAGTTGAAATGCAGTTTAAAGAGCCTGTATCTGATTTTAATTTATTCTTGTTAAGATAAAGGCTCTTTACATGCATTGGATGGTTTCAATTGCTAAATAAGAGGAATCTGACGCTGTAAAATATCATCTATTCATTTTACATAGGACTGCATGACCGTGTGTCAAGGCGCAATGTCACAGTGGCAAAAATGACTAAGTGGGCAGGGCTAAAAGTTCAAACTATAACATGTTCCTGACTCATGTTTGAGATCAGGTACAGGCCCTTTTAAAGAAGATATATTATACTTTTATGGGTATATTAAACTGCAGCATACATAGATAATGATTTACATTTTGTTTATTGTAAAACAGAATATTGATTTCAAACAGCTTGATAAAGAAACGGGTTCATTGACCTCCTGTTCAATACTGCAGAACTGATAAACCCTGCCTCCTCATAGTGGCATTTCACCAAAGCCAGGTTGTGATTTTAATTTAACCTGGAGTCTTTTTTCTTTCTTTCTTTTTTTTTTTTTTTTTTTTTTAGTAAGTGTATTTTTAAGTCAGTACACACAAGTGGATGGGGTCAGAGGGTAGTTGAACAAAATACATTATCTGATAATTCAGATAATGAGGGAACACCATTATAATATGGTTAAAAGCTCATAAAAGTTGATTTTACATAATATGTCGCCTTTAAACTTCATATCAGAGCTCCAGAGATTATGCAAGTCCTAATCTTATATCAGTTTAATGATATAAGACCAGGTTCTGCCTCTGGGAAGGTGTAGTAATTAATATAGTTGAAGTAGGTCACAGTATGTCTCATTTTCACAAGAGTATGCAGAAAGCGAACCAGTGAATGTCAACTTTAATACAAGTTTATATCTCTTTATAATGTGATGACTAGTGACTAAGGCAAACAACAGAAATGTGTAAAGTTTTATTTACAATAAACATGATCATAATAATAGCAACTGTGTGGAGATTTGTCAGTCTGTGTGTGTGCTGGTTACATTATAATGTGAGTATTGTACAGAAGTAGAGAAAACAAAAGTCACGGATGATTGAATCCTGATGCTCCTCATGCTGGGACAAATAGTTCAAATGAGGTTAAAAACAGTAGGTGCTAGCCATAAAGTCGTTTAGTGCAGGATATTTGAGTGCTAAAATGATCAGAACAGAAAGCTGATTGACTTTGTATGGAGGGGGTATTTTACTTCCATGGGGTATTAACTGCTAACACATAACATATTTAGATAACCATGTAACGTTTTATTGTTTAGAAAATGCTATATTAATGGAAAATATATGTTTTACTTTCATCGTTGACGCTCAGTGTGTATCGCACTTCAGTGATCCCTCGTTTATCGCGGGGGTTACGTTCTAAAAATAACCCGCGATAGGTGAAATCCGCAGTAGTCAGCTTTATGTTTTACAATGATTATGTCTATCTTAAGTCTGTAAAACCCCTCACCACACACTTTATACACTTTTCTCAAGACAGGACAGGTGCAATCCTTTTTGCATCCTTTTTAAAACTTACTGCTGCTGTCGTCCTTTTGTTATTTTCCTCCTTCTTTATGTAACGAATAGAAGATTAATTTATTCCGTAATGGAGCCCTATGCACCCGCACAGTACAACACTACACCCACCCGTTAACCCGGGATTATACCAAACTGTTGCGCTGCATACACTACGGACTGAACCAAGACTAAACCAGGACTAACCCAGGACTAACCTAGGACTGATTCCAGGACTGAAGAGGAGGACTAAACCAGGACTTAACAAGGACAAAAAACAGGAGTAAACCAGGACTAAACCAGAACTGAAAGAGGACTCACTGTCGGGATGGGCGCAGAGCTCCGCACCACGCGGGAATTGCCCGATCGTGCTTTGCGGACACTCTGCTCGGGATTCTCTCTCTTAAGTTCAAGATTAGTCCCGGTTTAGACCTGGTTTACTCCTGACCCACCTGTGTGTAATTCCTACCCGCCCGTAATACACAATACGTGTTTAACCTTGTAAAAAAAAAAGCATGCAAAATTGCCTTAAAAAAAGTCAGTGATACAGTGAGACCACGAAAGGTGAAACGCGATATAGCAAGGGACGACTGTAATGAAACTACTGCACATTGCATCAGGTTTGTCACGTTGCGGTGTCAAGGTAGAAAACTCAAAAAGTATCTTGCATAATATCCCCTCTTTAAAAAACATAAGGGACCATATGTTGGACAACCACCTTATGACATCACAAAATTAAACTAAGCATTTTGAGCTCTAGAGAAGGAATTTAAACAGTACTCCAAGCTTGTTTTCTGACACCTATAAGCACAAAAAAGTCAATTTATATGAGACATTCCAAACTAACTGTAAAATATAAGTATATATTTTTAGTATCTTGCTAAGTTACTGAGAAATGCTCTTGGTTCAGAAAGTGCACTTGAGTCTCTTGAGGGTTATAGGATTTCTTTATAGAATTATACACTTAAATAACAAGAGAGTGTTAATTAGCACAGGTCATACGGGCTGAACCCATTACAGTCTTGCTTAACTATGCAACATAATTACAAAAAGAGCACTAAGACTTCCACACCAGGCTGAGTAGAAATGATGATTCTCTTTGATTTGTCACAAAGCCGGGTTCAAAATAAGCTTTGTTTTACGAGCGGTGAGTGTGCCCGGATATCACTGTGGGAGGCTGCCATTAAAAACATAAGAGTTGGAACACAGCGAATACTGGGAACAATTACCCCGGCACTTTTGACATAATTTGTAATCCATCTTCCGCTGATGAAAGAGCAGACTTAAGCTCATACTTTTATCTCTGGCGCTGGGTCTTTTTCTTATTTTTATATTGGCAACCAACTGCTGTAAAGGACAATGGGGAGCCATCAGTGAAACCATCAGACGTCACAAATGCACTGTCCCTGTTCAAACTTTCTTGTTTACACTATATATGCAAAGTACCAAACTTCAAGGGCACAATCCAACAACTCTACTGTAGAACAATGTAAAATAAATACAAATAAATATAACAACCACCTGACCAGCCAGTCCCTTTTACATTCTGTGAATCCAAGGATCTGGAATTGGACCATAGAGCCTGAAAAAACTGCCTCCTAATTTGATACAATCCAACTACAGCGGCTAATTTAGAGTAGAGTTTCTCAGATGTGGAAGACATCTCATCTCATCAATTTTTGTATCATTCAGCCAATAACTTCCTTCATCTGAGATAAATAATAGTTACTCAGTTCTCTGTGTTCAGTTGGGGTTTTTTTTGTTTTTTTTTTATACAAATCAAGCATGCGTCTCTTTGATTGGTTGTCAATCACACCCTCTGAAATTGTGGAGGCAGGTAGTCTTTGTAACGTTTTGTCAAAGTATGTGCATGCGGCTGGTCAGGTAAGTTAAAAGGATGACTACCACTGTAATCCCCTTTTGATGTGAACATAACCTTACCCAGCATGATGAATTCATGATATTAGTGAGCTTGCAAACTCACGATATTGTGTACATCTGTATTCAGTGTGCTACACATATCAATTTGGCATTAGCTTAGCTTTTTCAGGCTTCATAGACTTTTGTTTTAAATCATTATAATGTAATTTTCCCCTTAAAAAGGCACATCACATTATCTGTGCAACTAAATGAGGTACTGTCCAGCACTAACTTTTTGTGTTTAACACAAAACATTATCCATGACCACAATATTAGATCTGTGCTTTCAGTTCAGTAGTACTACTGATCACATTAGCTTGAGTCATCTTGCTCAGTTGTCGCTTCCTTCCCGTTGTAGTAACTATATAGATAAATGTATCCTAGTATATAGTCTAACAGTGCTTGGTGACCACATTGTCAGTAGTTGAAATGTCATGAGGAGGTCAGAAGATTTTGAAGCCTTTGAGCAGCGTAAGTGTGGCAGCCCTGCGTTTGCTCTGGGCTCTGGAGGTCTTCACTGTGACTAACTTGGCAGTGGCTGGAGCTGGGAGCTCTTTAATACAGGGGGTGGTGAAGGAGGGAGGGGAGGGCAATGTCAGGAGGCTCTTGTCCTCACCGATGTAAACCACACGTCCACATTCCCCGTCTCGTCTGGCTCTCCTCACTGCCTCATGAAAGATCTGCTGAACATCCTGGAAGTCCATACAAGCTGAGATCTCGTAGAACAGACAGCCGAACCGCGAAGCAAGCTCCTCTCCCTCAGATTTACTCACCTGCCTGGAGAGGAATAAGCAAAATTGGTTACTTCTGATTCTAGGCTGTTAAATAATTAAAATAGCCCAGTACTGGACCTGGATATATGAACACTAGAGATGGGACAATTCCCACAACAAGAGGTCAAGATAGACAGAAGAGTCGATCTACAAGAATGAGAAAAAATTTGATTTCGAAATTGTCTAAAAGTTGGCCTTACATTTTTTATTTATTTTTTTATTTTTTAAGTCATAGTAGCACTGCTTTTTGGTGCTACAGAGGTGTAACTCACCAGTGTTAACAATCTGTCCAGTCAAAATTTAAACACACAAAATAAAGACGTGTTCAAAATGAGTGCAGTTTTATCTTGAGAGATCTTCTAGCATGAGATCTTGCTCCATCCTTAGTCAACACTCAACACATGGACAGAGCATTCTCCACTTAAATCTGTCCTTGCTTCCATTGTATTGTATATTATAATGTCTGATGACATAGGTCAGATAGAACTATCCAGAAAGAATTGTCAACAAGGACTGAGCAATAGGAGTCCTTCGCACAAGTTTGCTATGTCAGTCAGTATACAGTGAAAACTTGTACTTATAACTTATAAAGCATAATTGTCCCTGGAAGCAGTGGGACCCCACAATTAGCTGCTTCTTCATTTCTGAAGATGAGCTGCATATTATACCTGGACAACTGAGAGATTTCACGGACAACACATTGTGGCCTTCCTTCCATTGTAGTGTGAACTATTCTCAAAGAAATGTCTGCCAGTACTGAGCTATAAGAGCACTTGATACATGTATGCAATTTCAGTTGCAGAGTAGCCTAGAGTAAAGAGTAAAAAAAGTTGGCAATGTCAAATAAATGTGTATCGCCACGCCACTGCATTTCAGACAATCAAATTTGAAGAAAACTTACAACTTATGTATTGAGGGTCTAAAAGCAAGGAATTCCCCTGCATATAAGAAAATGTAGTTTTGAGAAGAAATGTATCCAAACTTGTCCCTATATACCTTTGCTTTAATGACAACTAGAAATGTTTCCATAAACATCAAAGTGCAGTCGCAGATAAAATGTCCTGACATGCAGTTTTGACACGCTGTGCTGTCCCAGTAGGTGGTCAGAGCGCGCGATGCATCTTTAATGTATCTGTGGCCTTTTAGTCCACATGAAAAAAACTAATCTCCCAAGATATTTTTTGTATAAAAACAATAGGGATGGATGAGGTCTCGTGCTACAAGATCTGGTCCCTTCCATAATGAATACTCAACACACTGAGGTAGGCCTGTCTATTGAAATTTTTCCATACTTCCATTGTAGGGAGTATTATACCTCTAATGATGCAGGCCAGATGGAGCTATCCACAAAGAAATGTCAACTAGAGGAATTCCTGTGTGTAATTTCAGTCAGTATACAATGAAACCTGCTTATTATAAATCTTAACTGTTCTTGGAAGCAGTGGCATTGAAGGGTCTCTTGGGGCCCCTCAATATCACAAAGGAGCCTCCAACTAGAAAGAAATTTGTCTCACTATGCCACTGTACTGTTGTGGCCAAATACTGAAACTGCATTTTAGGCCTATAGCTTGTGTATGGAGCAAGTATAGACATAAGGGCGTTTCACTCTCTGGGGGCCCCAAGTAATTACCTTTCTTGTCCATGGGCTTGAACCACCCCTGCTTGTACGCAGACATATAAGGAGGTTTTCTTGCTGTGAGTAAAAGCTGCTTACAGTGCTAACAATATCTTTTGAGACGAAATGCAGGCAAACGTGTCGGTATGCACCTCGTAAAACATAAAATAGTTTACTTATAAATGACAAATACAAATGTCTCCATGAACATCAAAGCGCTATAACAGATAAAATGTCCTGACTTGCGGTTTTCGCATGCTGTGCTGCCCCAGCAGGTGGTTAGAGCGACGTATCTTTAATGTATCTACGTTCTTATAGTCCGGTAATGATGCTGAAATATATGGCAAGGCATTCAATAATAACCTTCAGATTTACAATATTGACATTTTTACTGTGCGCTATTCAGATACATGACTTAGAGGCTACACATTATGATCTTGCTGACACCATGTTTGTATGAAAAATAGTTGCATAGCTTTGCCCTAGGTTTAGAATTCTGCCGCTTACTTACAACCTTAAACAGCAGGGCATGCGGTGGTAGCTTCCCTGTTTAAAATACACTGCCATTGGTGATCCCTAAGGTTTTTAGAGCTACAATGGCACACAGAGCCGGGAGCTAGCACGCGCCTCTTTTGTAGCATCGCTCCCTATAGGCCATGTCTCTCTTGGCGCACAGTTCGGGTTCAAAATATTCTTTTTTCACAGAGCTGGAAGTCAAATAATATGGGAACCGAACTGACATTATTGCAGGGCATAGTTTGTGACAGTAATTTTTTAAGACTTTTCAGTTTGTTCAGTCTAACCTTTACTCAAATGGCCATGAGGTAATTGGAATATTAAATCGGTAAAATCTCCATAGTATTTCTGACATTATATGTTCTAATATTTGAAGAAGAGCAGAGGAACATAAGAAATACAGTATTAAGATGATTTTAAAGGTGAACTATGTGCAGTTTCTAGTGGAGAGTTGGCCACGTTCTTGTCTCCACGGATATGTCACTGTTTTGCCTAGAAGATTCCACAGTAGGGCAGTAAGCATATCTATCTTTATTGATATATGAAGATGGCATCACCCCATCAAGTTACAGGTCAGATCTAGGGAGAGGTGACCCCACTAATAGTAAGAATGTTTTTTCAAGGTATTTTTGAGCAATAAAGACAATTAAATGCAAGACAGATACATTTTATGCTATATTGTGAAAGTTTTTAAGCAAACTGATATAATCTCCATGGAAACAAGAAGAAAAGTGGAATATTGCCCCTTTAATGAACATACACTCAAATATTAAACCACTATGTTATGTCAATAAGATGGTATTGCTTTGCCTGTTATGTTTCACATTATGACATTAAACATAATCTTTCACTCTACATTTGACCATGAGTGTGTATGCATGCACATCAGTATCCCGGTTATTAGCCATGTCCAGGTTATGTCAGTATTCGGGATACTGTGTATACATGCGTACTGAGAAACCAGGATACTCATCTCCCTGTATACATGATCAAATGGAGTACAGTATCCCAGTTTCTTGACATTATTTTACAAATGTGCAAGTGCAAAATTTTACTTTATTTAATTTAATAAATCAGGAAAAATACAAACAACCATGAGCTCCTTTATCATAGGAAGCTCGGGAGATTCTAACCAGCGATAAGGAGCTATGAGGTATCCCACAATTCACTGCACAGATCAAACCAAACACTGCAGCAGATTTTTTATTAAAATCTTCTACATAAATAAACTCAACTTTACAACATATCAACCATAACCACATCAGCCCGTTTTATAATATAATTTGGCCTTGCGCACATTTGTTTACGTTTTACAGAAAGAAACTTAAGACCGCATGGCTCATTTGCATAAACTGTTAGAGCTGATAGAAACAACTCGCTCCTTGTGCCGCTGATGCAGTTCAGCTTCTGTCGGACTAAAGGACAGGACTCATGACTTTTTTCTGTGACAGAGGATGTGTTGATGATGGTAACACTGTTCTGTGCATATATTGTAGGAGATGTTTCATGTTTAACTTTTTAGCGATCAAATGTGTGCAGGTCATATGAGTACAGATTGTATGTATGCAGGTTTAGCACAGCTCTTTATTTTACAGTCATTTCACTCATGTATGGTCACTTTATTTATGTTGGTCACTTTATTTATGTCGTTACTGTTGTGATGAAAAGACTGAAAAGTTTTGTCTTTTGGATGCATGCACAGTATTCAGGATACTGTGTATACATGCCACAGTATCGTGGAAACCGGGATACTGTGTATACATGTACCATTACGAAACCGGGATACTCAAAAAACCCAATCATAACCGGGATACTGATATACATGTATAAGCACTCAATTAGATTTAAAAAAAAAAAAAAAAATCACAGACTTCACCAGAGAAGTTACACAATATACCTTAAATGATTATGTAATTTTATTTCCCACCCTATATAGCTCACTCCCACTGACCTATGAATTCTTGAAACAGCTAACTTTGTGAATAAATCATTACATAGGATTAGTCTTTAAAAAGTCCACGCTTGTACCTTTGGCTCCTCATATCTCAGGGACACAGCGCTGTGCTTGTGTCTGCATATCCGTTATTGAAGGCCACTAAATATTATTATACAACGTGGTTAAAACCGAATATGTTCACATTACCTTAAATTGTTCATGTGCAAACTTTTCTCCCAAAAACTCCAACAGCAAAAATGAAATCGAATCACCGCAATGTATTATTAAATTTCTCTTGGTTGCAAATTCATGAGTGTATTGTAAAAGTGTGGACAAGGACACCCCTGTAGCGCTCCATGTCTAGTTTGTTCCCCAGCAGAACTATGGGCGTGTGGCTCTTGAATGTTTTATTGTGCACCGACAGCGTGTCCAGGTACTTGTGGCAGACCTTGAAGCTGTCCTGATTGTCAATACCGTAGACCACTATGAAAGCATTGGCCCAGGTCAGGTACCTCTCAGTGTTCACCGGACCGTCCTGGAATCACACCGTAAAACATGCATTCTCACTGGACAGGCAGTATTTACACATGGTTTTATAGAGCAAAAGCAGGCGGGTTGGAAATGTATGTGCCATGTGAGTTAATGGATAGCCTGCCCTTTAAACATAATGTGATTGTTTTTACAGTGAATCAGTGACTATTTTTCACCAGCAGAGGGTACTGTGTATGCATAAATCCAATCAGGTAGAGAGGAGCTATGTTTATCTTTTTACAACACTGACTAAAACATCATCAAATCAAATTACACACATTTGAATAAAACAGAAAAATAATAAAACCAAATAAAACTGTGTCTGGTACTTTGGATTTTGCAGTATTGGTCGTTTTTGTGCCTTTACTGGTTCAGACAATTCTCCAGGGCACTCCAAGATGGTAATTTACTACATGAAATCACTGTATGAATAACTGAGATTGGAATTCCCTGGCACACTGAATGAAAAACAAGGCTCTATGGCAGTGTTTCCCAACCAGAGGTACAGGGACCCTGGGATCACATGAGCACTTCCCAGGGGCTACACATGCAGTGATGGAACTGAAGAAATTGAATGCATTTATTTATTTATTTTTGTAATACGCAAAGATACTGTTTCTGTGGGATATATTTTCTGAAGGTGGAAAGCCAACTGCATGATTCCAGATATGTTTTATGTCATATGCTAAAGAGTATGGCTAAAAAAAAAAAAAACAATTTCCATGGAAACAAGCAGGATAAGGCTAGCCTGATTCATCAGCTGGTTTCACTTCTTAGAAACCATCTGACCTCGCAGTGTTAGAATTTGTTTGCTCGAGGGTAGGCGGGTACTTTTTATCATTTAACCAATTGATGCTATTTGGTAGTCACGTATTTAATGTGCTGCTAACAGGGCTAACTGGTATATTAAGCTTTTCCCAAATCCTGTAGGAAGAAGGGCAATAACGTCTTTCCCACTGATGAAATTCAATAAACAGTCTCTTTGTTCCGGCTTTAAATCCTCGATCGGCTGGTGCCCAAACTTGCACTTCCGGGGTTTTTGCGAACCATCTATTGTGTTTTGATTCCTGACGTAGTTGCTGGAGAGAAATGAAATTGGGCGGAGGCACTAGGTGGCGCCAGTCTGGCTAGGATAAGGCCCTCCTCCAGGGAAAATATAAGAAACCACTCGCGGTAACGACATGTTTTTCTTTGTTTTTTGGCGCAATAAATGCAACCATAATGATCTAAACACATGTAAGTTCTTTGAGAAAATCGTACATTTCCTCAAATATAATGAAAACAGGAAAAAGCTATAACTGGCAACCTGTGATTAGAAAAAAAACACCAGTACATGATGAATATGAGACAAAAAAAAGTTGAGAACCACTACTAGAGCATACTAACACATAAAAAATGAAATAAAGCTTTAACGATGCACAGCAATTAAAAGAAAATATTTAAATTTCAGTCATTTCTGATCAGCCTGGATAAAAAGCATGTGGTTAGGAGCAATATTCATACTTTTAAGGAAGAAAGTTGACTATTTTTGTGCTAAAAGGCAATGATTAAAAGTCTGTGCAGTTGTTTATGTTGAGGAAATGGAAAGTCATTAATCAAATCAGGAATCAAGAGGGTGAAAATCCGCATTTGTCATATCTCCAAGTCGTAGTTAAAATGAACACTTAAAATATGTAATGTATTTAGTAAAGAAAGATGTTCATATATTAGAAGCATCTGAGGCTTGATAAATACGTTACTGTTTTCTTTTGCAGCTCCTCTCTTGCAGATGTATTTCTTCTTAATAATGGCCCAGCTGCAGCACTTGGTTTTACTGATCATTAGAACAAGTTGATGAAGTGCAAACACTTTTAAAAGTTCTTTCTCTCTCAACAGCCAAATGACTTTTTAGATTATTTATATATTTACAGTAGATTTTATTTATTTATTTTTTTTTTTATGTTAAAAGGAGCACGATGTAACTTTTCTGGTAGGTCTGCCACCTACCTGTTTCCATAGAGATGTTGTTGCTGCCTGAAATGTCCCACAGAATTACATTAAACGTATATCTGTATTATATATCTGCTGGCTAAAGGGAGAGTGAGGGGGAGGAGAGGGCGGGGTTGGTAGGACTAAAGGGGAGAGTGAAGGGGAGGAGAGGAGGGCTCTGGAGGACTAAAGGGGAAAGTGAGGGGGTACGGGATCTGGAGGACTGAAGGGGAGAATGAGGTGGGGGTTGGGGACTAAAGGGGGAGGAGTGGGGGGGGGAGGAAACAGGGTATGGGGGACTAAAGGGGAGAGTGAGGGGACAGGAGGGGCGAAGTCTGGAGGACTAAAGGGGAAAGTGAGCAGGGGCAGGGTCTGGAGTACTAAAGGGGAGAGTGAGGGGGGAGGAGGGACGGGCTCTGAGGGACTAAAGGGGAGTGTGAGGGGTTTCGGGATCTGGAGGACTAAAGGAGAGAGTGAGGAGAAGGTTGTGGACTAAAGAAGAGAGTTAGGGGGAAAGAGGGATAGTCTATGAGGACTAAAGGGGAGAGTGGGGGGGTCTGGAGGACTAAAGGGGAGAGTGAGAGGGAAAGAGGGACAGGGTATAGAGGACTAAAGAGGAGAGTAAGGGGGGAGTAGGGGTCTACATGTATAAGGAACACTGTGTTTGGTCTGTCAGGAACAAACTCATCAAAGTCTGCCCTTCCAGCCAGGTGTTTCTAATGGAAGCTAGTCAAAGCAAAAGCTAAATATACTGGCCACTTGAGACCTCAAATCTGCAAAGGAAAGGAACTGTATGTAAGGTTTTGTTTTTAAATTCCATAAACATGACCTAACTGTCTACCCAGATACAGTACAAAGTACAATGTTCAAATCAGATAGAGCTTTTACTGATAACAATTGTAATGTTGATTTATTTTTAGCTACAAAAACATTAGACATAATGGGCAAGTATGTTATAATTTGGTGTTTTGGTTCTAAAGATGATTATCTAGTGAGAAAGTAGAATGAGCCTTGCATAAGTCTCTCATTTGGGTTGCCAGTTTAAATGCTGAAATCCAGTCAGTATAAACCTAAAAGGACTCTCTCTGACCTCAAGTCTCACAACCCCAGCATCTGCAGCCAATCCTTAATCTGTGCTAGAGGTTGGCATGTCTATATACTAAGAATGTGAAGACTGTGTATGCGTCTTCTATTTAAGGTAATGGTAACGCAGGTTCAGTTGTGATTGTAGTAATTTTTAAAAACTGTAACAGGGCAGGCTACATACAGTTTCTTTAACTTAAATTGCACAAAAATTTTGAAAAAAAAAATTACTTCACCATAGATATTGCGCTTAAAACACCATGTACCAAATTTAGTAGCAAGAACTGCAACGTTTCTGGTGGAGGGTCCATCAGCAGACTTATATCCATTAAGATGTTATGTTCCACAGTATGACGTTAAACATATCTGTCTCCATGGAAACAATCAGGCGATACCACTAGATCAAGTTACAAGTCAGATCTGTGAAGTGGCAATCCTGCTCACAGTAAGAATGCAAGTGTTACAAGACATCTTCCTCAACAATAAATGCACCTGCAATTGACCCAATTCAAGCAGAATCTCACTAGAAAGTTACATTTAAAACTTTTAAAGGTGCATAGTGTAGCATTTCTGGTGAAGGGTCCGTCACCTGCTTGTTTCTATGGATATGTCAATGCTCTGCCTTGAATATTCCACAATATGACACTAAACAGCTCTACCTTACATGTATTCAATAAATGGTGGTCTTATAGTTCCAAAATACCTAGAAAAACAAGTATTCTGACATTGAGGAAGTCGCCTCTCCACAGATCTGACCTGTAACTCAGTCTGGTTTGGCCTCCATGAAGATAGAAAGGTTTAATGCCATACTGGGAAACATTCCAGACAAAGCAATAAAATCTCCATGGAAAAAAGCATTTGATGGACGATCCACCAGAAAAGTTACACAACACACCTTTAAGCACAACTCTACACACGTCTGCGTACACATGTGAGACATTTTCTCCATACCTGATCATAGGTGTCCATCACTCGCACCACCACGGGCTGCTGGTCCACAATCTCCTCCGAAGCATAAATATCCTCTGGGGCCATGTGGAGAGAGCAGCGGAAAAGAGCTATTTACTTTCTCATTTTCGCTGTACGCCACATCCACCCTGCAATTTAGTGTCTACCCCCATCACATACAAACACGTGCACGCTCATGTTGGCTTGCCGTGCTTCTTGGGGACATCACAGTGACTTTCCATTTCATTTCCTGGAGACTGATCCTAACCTTTTGTGCAATTTTGCAGTGGTACAAAGTTATTCCTTACCTTACCGTATGCATTTGCGAACATCCTAATTATTCTCGTGCATTTCACAAGTGGCCAGAGTGGAGTTTTGTCATCACGGTAATGCTAACAACAACTAGCATGTTAAGTTGTGTTATGCTGTTAGCCTCATCATTTTGGTATCAAAATGTTTGTATTAACCCGCTGTATATGATTTTAGTTTTTATTTAGTTATTTTGATCTTAAATAAATTGCTATTACTAATATGGAACTTCAAATCTTCATTTAAAGCACTTTAAAAAACAAGGTTTACAAAGTGCTGTGCAAGTCGCAAAGATAGGGTGACCAGACATCCACATTTAACCAGGATAGTCCCAGTTTTGAGCCCTGTGATTTATACAAAACCAGTGATTTGTCCCAGTTTTATACAAAAAATTTTCCTGACAAATTTTTTGACCAATTTGATCTCAACTCTGCTTAAACCAGGACTAAACTAAGACTAAACCAGGTCTAAACCAGGACCAAACTTAAGACTAAACCAGGACCACATCAGGTCAAAACCAGGACTACATGAGATTTAAACCAGGTCAAAACCAGAACTAAACTAACACTAAACCAGGACTACATCAGGTCTAAACCAGGACTACATGAGATTTAAACCAGGTCTAAACCAGGTTTCAACCAGAACTAAACCAGTACCAAAACAGGACAAAACTAAGACTAAACCAGGACTACATCAGATCTAAACCAGGACTAAAACAGGACTATAACATTTTTTGACTAATCTGATCCCTGCCAACTGTAAAGAGAAGCATAAATTGTCAAAACTGTGTTGATGAATGACCATAAAGCAAAAAAAAATAAAAAATCCAGCAACAGAAGTCCCTCAGATTATGACACGAGAATGCACAATGTTATATGCTCTTTTCACTATTTTATTTTTCCCAACCATCCCAACCCAAGTGTGTCCCAGTTTAGAATTTTGAAAATCTGGTCACCCTATGCAAAGAACAATAAAAATAACATATACTACAAAAAGCACACATTCAATTAATTATAATAAGTTAATAAAATAAAAATAAATAAGGTATAAAATCAAGCTAAAGGAAGGTCAACTGATAAAAATTTGTTTAAAGAAGTTATTTAAAAGATGATACTGATGGTGCGAGCCTTATCTCCTCGGGCAGGTCGTTCCAAAGCCGAGGCACCTGGACTGAAATGGCTCAATTGCCCTTTGTCTGGAACCAGGACTTTGGAAGAGCCACAGGGACCTGATTGAGGATCCAAGGCTGCAGTAGGGCTCGTACAGGGTTAAAAATTCTGATATGTAACTTGGTGCAAGACCTAAACAAGCTTTAAAAGTGACCAGTAAAATCTTAAGATCAATTCTATAACACACAGGCAGCCAGTGAAGGGAAGTAAAACAGGGTCATGTTTTGATGTCTGGAGGATTTACATCATGGGGACCTGATTTTTGTCCACATAGAGAAGCCTGGACCTCATGATGTGAAGTTGTAAACAGATTTGAGTCTCCACAGTGTGATAGCTAAATAAATACCTGCTCACACACACACAAACACATATGATTCTATGCAGGCTTAAGACTCACCTAGGCGGGGGTCATACTCACTGATGAAGCGCTTTGTGAGGAACTTTACAATCAGGGCTGCAAAACAAACCAAGACAAGCATTGTAACTAGGGCGGTGAGAGAATGGTTGTTACGATGGCACATTGCAAAGGCTGTTATTATTTAGGTTACATATAGAGTCTTCTGCAAAGAACATCATGCCCCTGTGTCTTGGGGTCTTATTAAATACCCTTGTTCAAACATGCTCTGAAATGCTCATCATTCTTAGTTTAGCAGTTCCTATTTCTGTCTTCTGTCCAATACTCCTGGGTGTGTTTAAAGGCGCATTGTGTAACTTTTCTGGTGGAGGGTCTGGTAACACATTATTTTAGGCTACACTTATTAACATCTAACTACCTGCAAATAACTTGTCATTAATTAGTATTATTCAGTATTAGTATTATTATTCCTTATTCATGTCTGATTCCCCATAAGCTTATTCACTTTCCTATTAATAGACTTCTTATTACTGCTTATTAATATGATATTAGACCATTTTTGTCCATGAATTATGATTCTAATAAGCTTTTGATGCAAATAACTAAAAACTACATTTCTTCTGCTATTAGTCCTACAACTAGCCAGGCTGGCGCCACCTAGTGCCTGCAATCAATTTCATTTCTCTAAAACGACTAGGTCAGGAATCGGAATACACTAGATGGTTTGCAAGAACCCCAGACGTGCGAGTCTGGGCACCAGCCAATCAGCGAAGAGCCATACATTCTGTGTTGTCAATGATTCCTGAGATCGAGGATTTAAAGCAAATGTTTGGTGAATTTTATCAAGGGGAAAGATGTTTTTGCCCTTCTTCCTACAGGATTTTGCCAAAGCTTAATATACCAGTTAGCCTTGTTAGCGGTGCCTTACATACGTCACGACCAAATAGCAGAGATTGGTTAAATAAATAAAAGTACCCATGTACCATCGAGTGAACAAATTCTAATGCTGCGAGGCTAGACAGTTTCCACAAAGTTAAACTGTCTGATAAATCAGGCTATCCTTCACCGGCTTATTAGAATCATAATTCATGGACAAAAATTGCCTAGAATCATACTAATAAGCAGTAATAAGAAGTGTGTTAATAGGAAAGTGTAAATATCTAACTAATAGCAGAATAAGCTTTTGGGGAATCAGAGATTAATAAAGGTTAAATAAATACCAATTAATGACAAATTAACTACTTACAACTATGCATTAGCAGGTAGTTAGATGTTAATAAGTGTACCCTAAAATAAAGTGTTACAAGGCATCAGTTTACAAGTTTATCTGTATAGAGCTATTTGTACACAAAGTAATTCAAAGCTTTACAGAATAAGAATGACATTAAAGTCACAATACAAACAAATCAAAACATAATCATCATACAATTACCATTAATAGAGAAGACAGAAGCGTGCATAATGGAGACACTATCACTTTGCTTGTAATGTTTCACAGTATGACAGGAGTAAATTTATATATTTCCACTGAGACAAGCAGATGACACTATCAGGCCATGTTATGGGGAAGATCTGTGGAGTGGTGAGCCCGTTAACAGAGTGAATGCATGTTTTTAAGGTAATTTTGAGTAACATAAAAACCCCATAATGAAGTAAATGTAAGATTGATAAATTTAATGCCATACTTTGGAACATTCCAGGCAAAACAATAACATCTCCATGGGCACAAGCAGATGATGCATACTCTACCAGAAAAAAGTGGAAAATGTTTTGGATCTTTGTTTTAAACAGGCCCAAGATTTGTCAGAAAAAAAGCAACTATATTTTTTATAATTTTTCCCAAATTGTCGTGCCATAGTTGTATAAAAAAAGGAACAAAACGATCTAAATGTACAGGCTCAGATGAGAGGTCAGAGGGGCCATGAGAAAACCACCGCTCTGTAAACATTCCCATTTCCAGCCTAGTAGTGTAATAATCTAAATATGTGCTTCATTAAATAATTCATTATAAGAAAAATGGGGGCATATTAGAGTTTTCTTGCTCATAACAACGATTACATAAAAAGCTGAATGGTATATTTACAGTACAATAATTACTGTAGAGAAGGAGACAAGAGGGATTCAGTATAGAATTATTCATTGTTAGCCACAAGGGCTGTGTGTTAAAAGTGGATACAATCTAAATTGCCATTTGAATCGCAGAAATTAGCCGAGCACAAAAGCAGCAATTATTCAGGTAATAGCGTATAAAGCTCACTGCAGGGAACAACATACAAAGTTATTATTAGAACTAAACTTTATGATGCTATGAGGCTACACATACCAGTAAAAGAAGCCATGGTTTTACATAAATGCATATTTTCAATAACATGTTTACACTAATATGCAGTAGTCATGTGCAATTAGAATCAGCATTACTTTCAGTCAATAATCCCAAAGGAGAATTCTTTTAACATCTTAAGTTCTGTATCATGGCATTGAATATTTTATGTAAACATTCCTTAAACATTTACACAAAACTATTTCAGTGCAGTTGATACCACCAGGCCAAGTTTGAGGTCAGATCTGTGGAGTGGCTCTCACAGTAACAATGCAATATAATGGGACAATATACATGTTATAAAAGAAATGCTATATAGATAAGTTTAAGGTCATATATGTAGAGATGCAGGTAAAGCAGAAACATCTCCATGGAGACAAGCTGATGGCCCGTCCTCCACCAGAAAAGTTACATAGTGCACCTCTAAGAGATTTCAATCATATTTTTATTGATTTAAATTTGTCTATCTAACTCACACTTGCCATATCAGCAGTTAAGGAATTTCACAAGGCTGTTTAATTATTCCCCCGCACCCTTTACAGATCAGCAGTTTTACCTTTGGATTTATGAGCTAGCCTATAAAACCAAGACAATTGCACTTGTCAATGTACTTTTGACAGGTCTCCCTATTTCTTTCCTTTTAGTATAGACTTAATTTTACTATCCTTGGGGAATAAGTTGTAAGAATACATTAAAGGGCCCATACTATGCTATTTTCTGATCTATGTTGTAATGTTGTTTCTTCATCAAAAACATAGATGGAGGTTTTGGCTGTATTTTTCTCTCAAACAGAAAATACTCTGCTCCACTTTCACCTTTTGATGTCATTTGGCAATACAGAAAATGCTCTACTGTGTTTTTAAACTCAGCATACACCTTCACTAGAATTATTTGGATGATTTCAGCCCTGGAATTGCCAATTTCAACTGAACAAAAGATAAATGTAGCTCTTGACATACAAGCATTTTGAGCTTTGGAGATGTAGACAGACAAATAATAAAATAATTGCTCAAAAATGCATGTGTGAATGAAACCAAACACAACCCTGGGTATGTTTTTGATGATGTAACAACATAATAACATGGATTAAAGCTCACAATTATCAATTTTGTGTAATGTTGGACCTTTAAATTGAAGTCAAATGATGTAGATCTAGTAAAACTATATACAGCAGTCAAGGCCAACTCAAATCAGATTAACACACTGAAATGAAATAATATTAACTAAGGAGGACGAATCATTTTTGCAGTGTAACAAAGTCTTACCCGATTTCCCTGACCCCGTTGCTCCCAGCAGCACTAAGTTACATTCACATCTCTCCGGCGCAGCTGTTAAGTTGCAGGTCTTAACTTTCCCAAACATCACGGACATAGCTGTTCCTCCACGCTTCTTTAGGCTCCTTAATTCAAAACATCTTCTCTTGCTTCCTTCAGATCATGCAACCCATTCAAAATACAATACATTTGCATATAGACAGAAGCCATTGCTGAACCCATATTACATCTGATACGGCGCAGTCACGTTGAGCTATAGTGCTGGAAAGTTGTCTCAAAAGTTTCTCTCCGGTTGACTTGGCGAGACCGTGGGCAGTGAGGAGTAGAGTATGAGGAAGAGAGAAAAAACTCTTAGCTAGCATCTGATCAACGTCCGCTCCATTTTAGGGAAAACACTTCAAACGGGGCCCATAAACTGCACACTGGATGAAAAGAGGGAGCACACATTCATGATCGCTGTGGAGACTTGGACAAGGGCCAAACAAACTAAACACAAACAGGCCCAGTTTTTAGCCATTTCCTGTGTTATAAGAGCACACCCAAAATTCAAAGGAAAAACTAATGCATGCTTCTACTAGCCTCACGGGTATAGGCTACTATTTTTATTATCGTTAGGTTAAATTGGCAGTGGGGCTAACAGTAAAAGTGTATATAGACCAAGAGCTGAGAAACAGAATTGTGATTACTTAAGTAGTTTAATTACAATATTTTTACTACTACTTGCTGCTTTACATACTAATATATCTAGATTTTAGTTGACATCATTAAAGGGGCCCTATTATACTACTTTCTGATCTATATTATAATGTTTTTTCCTGATTAAAAAATTTTAAACTCCATACAGCTTCACGAGAATCATTTGGATAATTTCTTAATTTCAACTCTGGAATTTCCCATCACTGCTAAACTAAAGTTAAAAGGTAGTTGTTAACTAGACAGGCTAATAATAAAGGGTCATTCAAACATATATGAATGAATCAAAACACAACTACAGGTAAGTTTTTGATGAGATAACATTCTAACATAAACCAGCCTAACGCCACTTAATGCCTCCGATCAATTTAATTTCTCTCCAGAAACTAGGTCAGGAATCAAAATACAATAGATGGTTCGCAAAAACCCCGGAAGTGCAAGTCCGGGCACCAGCCAATCAGCGAAACACCATATATTCAGTGTTGTCAACGATTCCCGAGATCGAGTATTTAAAGCCGGAACAAAGACAATGTTTGGTGAATTTCGCAAAGTTGAAAGACGTTATTGCCCTTCTTCCTGTGGGATTTGGGAAAGGCTGAATATACCAGTTATCCCCATTAGTGGTGCATTAGATACGTGACTACCAAATAGCATCAATTGGTTAAATGATAAAAAGTACCCGCCTACTGTCCAGTGAATGAATTCTAATACTGCAAGGTCAGACGGTTTCTACGAAGTGAAACCAGCTGATGAATCAGGCTATTCTAACATGGCCTAAGCCCACAAGAATCTATTTATCATAATATAGAACCTTTGAAAATCGGTTTTCTTTATATTTAATTACATTTTTATATCTTTAAATATTTTATCTCTATGGTTGTTGATTTACTTCCTACATGCGGGGGGCAGTATTTGCACTTGGTTGAAATTGTGCACAAAGTAATACATAACACAACACAACTCTAAGGTTTAAAATTGTGTTTTTTCATCATTTTGTTCACCTGCCAGAGGTTTGCCCATAGAAATCACCAAACTAAATGTTTAATGTCTAATAGCTCAAAAACAAAAGTTGACACTAAACATGTACTTTTACAATGTATAAATGAATGTAATGCAGAGAACATGCATAGAAAACATAAATACATACATATAATACAAAAAGTAAATATTTCTTTTCTATAATAATAAACAAAAATAAATGGGATGCAGATTTTACTTGTGTTCGAAAAAGTAGTGGGCGGAAGTAAATACTTATTTAACCCCATCCCTTTTTCTACTGTCCCAATGTACTCAGTGTATTTTGTGTCTCTGATTTGAAGTCAATTCTGTCAGCCTTATTGAATTACATGTAATTCTGCAATAAAGATTTGTCTCTAAAACTGTAGCCTAAGCATGCAGGCTATCTTATAAACTGGGTCCAAAATGTAGCCATGTTTGAGTCTCTCACCCATCAGCTATTAAAGGCTCACTATCTGATTTTTCCCATGTTTTGAGCAAAATTTTCTTGCCCCAGGACAGATATATTTTAGGATATAAGAAGCTCTTGAAGTCAAAATAAGTCTGCTGCGTGCTGTGTGCATCTTATTGTCCAGTAATCAGGAAGTGTGCAGTAGCATGCTAGTTATTGTTAGCTTTACCGTTGTGACAAAACTCTGCTCTTGTCTCTGAGAGCTGTGAAAAGCTCTTGTAAACTCATTTCTGTGAATAATTAGGATGTTTTGAATGCATAAGGTGAGGTTTGGACAAATGCAAACCATTAAAAATTTATTCTGTTTAGTTTTTTGTTTTGATTTTTAAGACAGTAAAGTTTTTAATGCGTCTTATAATCCGGTGCGCCTTATGCATGAAAACAGATGAGAGACTTCGACATTATTGATATAGTGCCTTATAATCTGGTGCGCCTTATATTCCGAAAAATACGATACTTGAACATGTGTGAATGAAACAAAACACAACTCCAGGTACAGTATGTTTTTGATGAAGTAACAACATTATAACATGGCATAAAGCTCACAAGAGTCAATTTGGTGTTATATAAGACCTTTAAAGCCTAGAGTGCCTTTAAAATGCTGGACAATTATTTAACACACAATGTCTCAATAACCCATTTTCATTGGCTATTTCTCTGTCTCAGTGACCTAATAGTTACCCTAAAGAAACATAATGTTTTTCCTTTATAGTTTGGAAGATAAAACGTCTAATAGAGCAGGCCATTGAAGTCTATTTTAAAAACAAATGAGCTCTAGAAAGTGGCATGAATAAAATGTGACTGTAGGAAACATCCCATTGTTTCAGTGTGAGTGCCACCCAAGGACAAGTCTTCAGCTGTCCCCCAACTGTCAACCCCGAACAAAGAGCAATATGAATCATCCACACATCCAGTAGAGACGTGCCGTTTATCCATCTCCCCTTTCAGTGGGGATACACAGCTTTCTCCTTTGGCTGCCTGTCATCATAATGTCTGCGTACTATGTATAGAGCGTGTTCTCACTGCAGTGGAAACAAATCTACCATCTGCTCCGGACTAGATGTAATATTGATGTACATGAGGTGAAACTACACATTTGCCTGAGTGTTTTCATTTCAGACTTGGAGGAACTACGTCTTGCTGCCACCTTCACATTGGGATGTAATGAGGATCTGCTGCAATGAAGTGATGGAATCCAGCTGTCCCGTTCTCCAGCCAGGACAACGCAAGCTGATGCGGGTGAACGTTGACAACCACAATTTTGTCGTAAATAAAGATCTCCTCGCTCAGAACTGCGAGTACTTCCGAGCTTTGTTCCAGTCGGGAATGAAGGAATGCCAGGAGGATGAGATCTCCCTGCAGTGCGTGGGGATTTTGGGGTTTCAAGTTATGGTACAAGTTCTGGAAGGAGGTCAACCGATGCTGGACTGCGACCAAATTGTGGAAGCGATTGAATGCACGGCTTTCCTTCAGGTACCCATTCTTACCAAGCATCTAATTCATGTGATCAACTTTGAAAACTGCTTGCTCATGTTTCACACCGCTTCTACGTATGGAGTTTGGGATCTTTTCCACAACGCTGCGCTTTTTATACGGGATATGTACGCTGATTTGAAGGATGATCTTCACACTTTACCCAAAACATTAACTGATTACGTTGAATCGTTAATTCCGGCGAGCTACACCGCGGTTTGCAGTCATTCGCCATCATCTAACGAACTAGAGGATTTCCAAAGGACTGTATGCTATCTGGATGAGGACCTTAAAGAGTGGAAAGTGCTGACTCAGCTACCTTCTAACGCGAGCACCACAATGGCAGGCGTCACTGTTCTCGACAACAAGCTTTACATCATTGGTGGGGTGCACGACGTGAACAAGAAGATCGTGCAAAACGGATTCTGTTACAATCCGTTGAGTAATTCTTGGTCGACGATTTGCAGCCCCAATCAACTGCGTTACAATCTCGCGCTAGTAGGTCATGAAGGATGCCTCTATGCTATCGGAGGTGAGTGCAACCACAAAGAGTTATCGTCCGTGGAAAAGTACACAGTTGCTAACGACTGCTGGAGTTATGTTTCACCCCTCCCCTGTCCATCTACATCGGTAGTTTCAGCAGTCACTTTGAACAGGATTTTTATTTGTCTTTGGAAAGGTAACGGTGCTACAGAGATTTTCAAGTTCTTACCAGAGAAAGATCAATGGATACTTGAAACTACGCTCGTCCGCGAACAAAGCTACGGTCTTTGCATGGTGCCGCATAAGGATAATTTGTATGTGATGCGGAATGGGCCTTGCAATGACTTCTTGCTATGCGTCATGGATTGTTATAATCTTAGTTCGCGCCAGTGGACAGCCGTACCGGGCCACTACGTTAACAGTAAAGGGTCCTTGTTCACCGCGGCGGTAAGGGGAGATTCGGTCTTCACTCTAAGTCGGAAAGTGACCACAGAATACACAATAGAGGATTACAAGTGGAAGAAGAAACGTGAGATGAGTGGGTTTGGCAGGATTGGATCTATATATACTTTTCTCATGAGGCTGCCCAAGGTCAAGCTCTCTCTCACAGAAAGGTCAATGGTGAGCGCACCAAGCCAAAGATCTGGAAACATAGTTGGGCACCGGAGAAACTTTGTGCGATGTGTTGATAACCTTTGAGGTCAGGTAAGAGATAAGAAAAACAAGTTTGTTTTGGGGAATCCATGTTTTTATGCCATGCTTTTAACAGCTTTTAGTTTTGTTTTTGTTTTTTTTTTTTTTTGTTTTTTTGTAGCATTCTATAAATAGTGGAACTGCGAAGCTGCTTTCTATTTTTTATGAAAGAGAACAGTAAAAAACAGAACCCAAACTGCCTTTTGGGTTCATTGTGTAGCAAATTGTGTTAATTATTCCCAAAGACAACTCAAGACAGTTTTTTTTTTATTCTTGCTTCTTCTGCTTTTTCTGTTGGTTTTTTAAAAAAAATTGTGATTTTAGTGCACTTCATTGTGGTTCTGTAAAAATAACAATTCTCAGCGATTTAGCCTTCTGTTGTAAAAAGAGTTAGAAAACAAATATCCCTTTTGAAATTATAACATCTGTTCCTAAAGTAAAAATAAAACACAAATGATTACAGTGTTTCAGCCCTTTCGAAGAAAGATGATATTGCTAGCCTCATTGAATAATTGCAAAAATCGACTTTTGGGCACCCTGTATAAATCATCTGACCGGACACGTCACAGCAACATCACGTGACCACTCTGAGGAAGAGTGCTAGTGAGCAGTCCAAACGGTCAGGTATGAAAACAAACTCTTGGCCTGAAAAAAGAACCTAATAACATAAATTATCGAAAGATCAAATGGACTAACATTGGACTAACATGACTTTTGGGCATTTATCTGTATCTGGGTTTACATAACTGTTCTTCCTAACTATGAATATTTATGTCTACTGTATTGAATAAAATGCAAACATTTACAAAAATAACGAGTGCCTTGTATCTTTTCTATTATAATTTGGTTTATTTTCTAATATTTGATGTCTACTTCATGCATATTACTGTATAATGCTGTTGCTTTTGGTCGTGATGGGAACTGACATAGCTTGTTTTGATTACCAGTCTTTTCCCAGAATAATTTACAAATATAGATTCGGAGTCTGCTAAACTAAACTAAAAAAAAAAACATAAAAAACCAAAGTATAATAGCATGACCAGGAGCATGTAAAAGATGTAAACAGAACAAAACAAAGAATAAAATAGTTTTTATTGAAATTTCTAGAAATAACAAATTTATCCAAATATCCAACTTTAAAGTGCATATGACAGATTAGAGTACATTTTCACTATCTAGATACAGTACTTTTTGTTCTGTACTTGCAGTTTGTACTTCAGTTTTGTCTCTTTGTTGAATGATTCTGGTTGGACACGGGCAGTACATATGACATAGGTAAAGGTACTTCCAGTTCTGTTACCTAGCAACGATAATGTAAATAAAGACTAAAACAGGTTATGATTTGACAATTTTTTAATTTTTATTTTATTAGATCAATGTAAAATCTGTCAGAAACATGCAGTTCTTGCGTGTAATTTGTCCTTGCATTTTGGATAGATTTTTTCTGTGTTGATTGTGACTTCCTGTGTTTTTGTATTTTTCCTCTCAAGTTTTTGCCCACAAACAGATATAGAACTGTGATAAATATTTACCCCAGGCACTATCCCACCAAATCAAGTAATAACTAACAAAACATGAAAACCTGTCATATGCACTTTAACTGTTTTTCTTGATATGAAATTTTAATGTGATCAACAATAACGAGACAAAATTGAAAAAAAAAAAAGTTATGTTACAAAATCTTTCTGTACAAAATTATTTACATCCCATATTGTATTTCCATTGCAAAGGCCACCACCATCATATTTGCATGTGCAGTTCTTTGGGTTGGGATCTTCCAGTCTCTGTCACGCCACACGCATCATGAGCTCCTCCAGGGCTCTTTCACGGTGGTTTTCGTGCACAAGCAGCACTTCTTTGATGGCGTTTTGCTGGAAGCCCATCTCATTGAACTGACTCAGGAGATGAAGGAACTCCTCAGCCTGCACATCAAGATATAATGAATCACTCAGAGCCCTTTTAACAAGTCAGAAGTGTTTACTCGCAGTCATGAGGAGAAGATTAAAGGAAGCCATAAGTAATACTATGGCTTCCAAATAACCTTGATGTGCTTTGAAATATCGGTTTAAGTAAAATATGCCAAAATGTGAGGGATTTGGACAGATCAATGGAATGTTCCAGTCCAGTAATCGAAAGGTTTTTTTTAAGTTATTTGCAAGTCAAACTCAGTGGTAAAATAATCTCCAGCTGACATAAGTACATAATTTTAAAGGATATACACATTTTATGTTGTTAGAATTTAGTAGAGTAAAAATGTATTGAGTATTTGTAAATAATTACAAAATTACAATTCAAATCAGCAAATTGTGGAAATGTGTGATTACAGCACATTTGACAATATTGTAGTTCACTTCTAGTCAAATCTTCATACACTCATGAGCAGAAACCGGGGGCAAAGAGGGTTAAGTGTCTTGCTCAAGGACACAGCAACAGTATTCATCAGTGAGAGCTGGAATTGCACCGTCAGTGGATCTGTTGTTTATGTCAAGAGCAGAATTCGAACCGCCACCCTCTTATTCAATTGAAAGTTAAGATATTTTCTGTAGTTATACTTGCTTGCATGCTCCTCTGATTAATATGCTGTGTTGTGAATTAAAAATAGAATTAATCGTGACTTGCTTGGATTCTAAATATTTATGTCTAGACAGTTTTCCTAAAATTAAAATTACTTAATTTGCTCATTGGCCAATTTGAGAATAATTTTTTTGCCAAATGGAACACAATTTGACAGCAGGCCAGGACATAGCTCTGGGCAATGTTAAAAACAGCCTTGTTTAATTATATTGTCGACCGTGCATTCAATAATTTACCTTAGTCTCACAATTCTGAAACATCTCCAGCGCCTCTTCCACCTGCATTATATCATACCCCAGCTGGCAGAGGTGGTCACAAGCCACTAAGTAGTTCAAGATCTGCAAAGACAAAACAACACTTACTTACAAATCCAATCATGTAACTGACTTTCTTGTTGACCTTAAGAATCCCCCTCGTAATCTCATGCTATTTACCTGAGTGCGCATTCATCAAAACAATCTCTAATTACTAGTAGATGTAGTAGATGTTTACCAGACTGGATAGTGGCCGTCAGAATCCACCCCGTAATAACCTTAGCTCTTCAGCCTGATCCCTCTTATAGAAAGTCTGCAAGCTGCTCGAGCCTCTTTGCAATTAGCTGTCAATATGAATTAAATCCCTTTCAACAATTCGCTCTATTGAGTTATCATCTCGCGCACGGGGGAATGAGCAATGACAGGCAAACAGACAGCAAAAACCTGATTTGAAAGTGCATTACGAGCTAAGCACAAGTTAAGCCATGGCGTTGTTACTCTGTTTTTCTCAGATTAATCAAATATGCCGTGACATCAGTGCGGTGAAATACAATACGTGTGAGAGCGGGGTGACCTGAGCCCCGAGCGCATTGCCAAATGTAAGACACAATATTCAGCTCATTAGGTAATTACGACTTCCCAGCTAATTGGCCCCATTAAAGCCGTTTGCCAGCTGCCACATCATGTCTCAATGAGTGGCAAGAAGTCAAACCAAATGAGTGAATATAGAGGAGTCAATAGGGGAACGTCAGATTGAAGAGAGCGTATTAAGCTTTCAATCATGATAAACGGAAATGGTGTAAAAACAGTCTTGGTTCTGTCAGTAATAAGAATGATGCATGTGTAATTAGTCTGAAATATCAAAGACTGTGATATACTGCCTATCAATTTGTTCAGCATTGTGATGGGTATAAAAATGTCTATATACCGGTAATTGTGTAAAAGGCAATTACTCAAAGGAGGTGGGTTTGGAATGTGTTTCTTAATTCTGATAATAGTCATATGTCTTATATAATGAAGCAATAGTTGGGATAATTGGGAAGAATAATGGTTAGTAGTACTCTCCCTTCATAGCAAGCTGTCTTTCTATTGGTCTTGGCTCTTTATTTATTATAAAGTCTGGGGCCAAAACAATCTGATTGATGGGAGGTTTGTTGCTGGGTATTATTTTTTCCGTATATTCTAGTGTTGTCACAGTACTAAAATTTCAAACTGTAAAGAAAAGCCCAGATACTCTCTACCAATTTGTATACCACAATGATATTTTTTAGACAGTAGAATGTAAGAAAATAATGATGGCTTCTTAGAACGATCGTATGGTGTGTTATCAGACATCACCTCAGTATTGATACTTACTGAGTATCTAGTTTTGATACTAGTTTCAGTATCGATTAGCATCTGGGTTATGATTTTTCACAATGCTATTCAAGCTGAATATATGTCTGCCCAATAATAAAAATATTTTTTGATATAGTGCTTGCCTTATATTGATACTAGAAATAGAAAAAACGCACTTAGCCTTAAAAAAGCAAGAAAAATGACTTAATTCATACTGAGCTAATTTTTTGTTTTTCAAGAATGAGTCAGGCTAAGTAACTACTTAATTAAGTGGTTGGGGTTAAGTGTTGTTAAGTAGTTAGTAAACTATGTATTCATTATGAAATAAGTGTTCGTTCATGTTTATTAAGGCTAATTAAGGTGTAGTTATTACAAAGTGCTGTCTCTGAAGTTATACATTTAAAGATACATTGTGTAACTTTTCTGGTGGAGGGTCCATCAGATGTTATTGCTTTGTCTGGAATGATTCCCAGTATGGCATTAAACCTGTCTACCTTCATAGAGACCATAGAGATAGAGGTATTTTTGAGATATAAAACCACCTGTAATGAAATAAATGTAAGGTAGAGCTGTTTATTACCATACTGTGGAATATTACAGGCAGAGCAATGATGTATCCATAGAAACAAGCAGGTGATTGACCGTAGGGCTCCAAACAAAAAAATGATTAAGGCTACGCAGTTCACCTTTAAATATCCTGACAAGCTAAATACTAATTGAATGTTACAATGTAATTTTTGCCAGTATTACCCTATTTTCTAAACAAACTTGTTCTGGTCCACCTTGTGTTAAACCATTATTACCACTTAAACCCCAATTATTTACAGCCACAGTGCAGGATTACATATGCCCTGAGTCTCCTTAGAGGGATTAAACAGAGCGCGAGTGGCTGAATGTCTGGTAGCCCTTAAAAGCCTGCTGTGGTATCATATGTTGCACGCTGACCTTCTCGGGGGCTTGACGTCCAGTCTTCTGCAGGGCGATGATGGCGGTTCTCAGAGGGTAACCCCGAGCCGTGATTGCCCCCAGCAGCTCTCTCTCCTCCGGGCTCAGGGCAGAAAGGAGCTCCACGGACGAATCACAGGAGGTGGAGGGGAGACCCAGGGGGCGAGGGGCCACGCTGGGATCTGTGCAGGAATGTGGACTGATTGACTCCTGCAAGGGGAGAGGGAGAGTGAGTGGACATGTGCAGAGGTTAAAGAGTGGCACAAGCTATAAGGGAGATAAGAAACTAAATTGAGGAATGGGTCTTATGCTTAAAATGTAATAAGTTAATGGGGTGACAGTAATTGTAGGGAACCAATTGGGCTGGCTCTCCATTGCTTGTGACTTATTTGAATTCTTACACAGGACTTCTTGTGTTCCATAATGATGGGCATATACTTAAACAAACAACTGAAATTTTGAATGACTGGAAATATTTTATGGAATGAAATTGAAAATATAGCACATTAGATATAATAATAGGTACCAAACCTTTTCCTTGGTATCAAAATTTACTATGAAATTTTAGTATGACAATGCTATGCTCTGACCTTTGTAATGCTTGCTCAGTCTCTAATAAAACTGTCAGCACTTGCTACTGCTCTGTAGAAGGCAAGTGCAGAAAATCTACTTTTTTGCACTCAAGTGTCATTTTAGAGATTACTGTCATGATTTGACAGGACCAAACATATTCAAATATAATTAGTTAATCAGTTGTATTTTGTCGTTAATTAATATTTTACAAACATGTTTTAGAAAGAGATTTTTGGTAAACAAATATATAATAAAAAAATTGCCTACCCTCCACATATCTGATTGTAGCTATATAGACTGGGCCAAAATAAATTAGCATTAGCAGGTCAAGTGTGCAGTTTGGACATAAAACAAAATGTGTTATTGCACTGACTTTATATAGGAAATAAACATTAGGAAATAAACAGGATCGGCCTCTTTCCCATCTCCTGACAGTCTTTCAAAACAAAATTGAATGAAAATAGATTCTTCTTAAAATGTCAGTGCCCCCTTGCGAGCCAAATTAGACCTCCTGGAGGACCAAGTTTGGCCCATAATAATAATACTTTGGGTACCTGAGCTAGAGGCATAGATGTGGGTAGGATGTGTATATGTGTCACCTGACTGCACTCTTCAGCTCAAAGGGCCGGGAGCACTGCTGAAAGACAGTACTTTCACCCGCTAATCCACTGAACCTTTTATAACCTGGCTGCATCCAGACACCAGATTTCACGCACACTATTTTTAGACTGCTTATCCCACTAACCATTTGGACTCTTTCAACTCTTGCTTTCTGGTAATGCACCCGATTTGGATGCAAAAATGTCTATCTAAATGTATGCACCTTAATAGTGTTCATTTTGATTGGAAATTTAATTAAGTTAATTAATTAATTAATTAAAGTTAATTAAAAAAATGTTTTTTGTTTTGTTTTTGTTTTTTTTTTGTTATTTTGGCAATTATTCTTTTTAGTTTTAGTCAAAGAAAAGGTCATGTTAACTGTGTTGACTGAATCCATAATTAGCCAAAAAGAAAATAAATGTTTTCTAACTCTGACAGTTCAGTTATATAACTTCACTGGACTTGTTCAGTGGATGTTAAATTTGTTTATGGTCTGTTTTGGGGCTCTGGGACTGAAAAGTGGAATTGCTATCTAGTCTTGAGAAAATATTTTATTTGACAAAATCAGCACTAAATTGAAGTTGAAAACCAAGGTGAAGGCTTACATGTTTTATGTAGACTAAATAATATATGCCAACCTAAAAAAAAATGAAAAGGTGCTAATTCCACATGTACTCTGCTGGCAGTGGGGCCGTTTAATAGTAATGTGATCGGTGGCTTTTGCAGGCTTATGTGTGGAAATTTATAGTCTGTCTGAGGAGAAGCTAATGCCCCGGGGTTTAGCTTGTATTCATAGGCTGCTCCTGGGGAACAGAATGGGGATTATATATAGGCTTCCTGGCAATACTATCAATTCAGATTAGGCCACAATTGTAGGTCCTATTTATGCACAAGATTAATCATAGTTAAACTGGCTTTCATGTACTTATTGTTGTTTACGTTAAAAGTTGTATTGGCAGTATAATTTTATAATTTTAGTCCCCCCATCTGCGTAAAATCAACTCTAGTCCATCATGTCCATACAAAATTCCCCGATCATTTTCCCAAGACTTTCTGAAAAATTCAAATAATACGAGTTTAAAGGTTCTATATTACACAAAATAGACTCTTTTGAGCTTTGAGCCATTTCATTCATACATGTTTAATACTCCACATCTCAAAATCTCAGTTCAAAATCTTTGTGATGTCATGAAGTCATAGTGTTCAAGTTAACAAAACCTATGATTCTAGTGAAGGTTCAAAAACAGGATGTAGCATATTCCTAGATTACCACATGACATCACAAGGTGGGAGAGAGTGTTTTCGTTTCTGAGAACTAACTAACCTAAAATGCAGGATCACCTTAATTTTGTTTTGATGATTTTGCAGTTCAGCATGTAGCAGGAACGATTAAATTACAAGTCTTGGTCATTCATTACCTAACTGATTCCACCACCAACAAGCTTTCTAACTTTAAATCTTTATGGGAAAAATGAGTATGGGTGATCACTGTTGAACTCCATATAGGCCAAGTATTCCTAGAGGCTTTGTCAGTTCTTCAAAGTGTCCATTAGAGGGCAACAAACTGCTCAATTAACCCTCCTCTGGGATGGCAATAGCTCAATAGAAAGTAAGCCTGTGCAGAGAGGAATTACGACAGGGCCAAGGCCATATACTAAATGAAAACATGCAACGCAGCACAATCAGAGGAAGAGCAATCTATTCATATTATGGGCTACTAAGAGGGTATAAAAGCAACACGGCCTCTCAAATGTGACGCGTCAATATATCAGTCGTACAGGTATTCTCTGTCATTAATTTTAAGACAAATATACACAGGCGAGTGAATACAGATGTTTCAGTGAAGTCAGCAAGTCTAGGGATATTGAGGGATATTGTGCATGACATGTTCTGTAATCACTCCAGACTGCAACTAGAAACTACACTATGTCACACTACATTACAATACAGGTATATGATTTATAATTTGTGTGTTCTTAACTTTTTATTTCTATTTATGCAGGTGTAGGGGTGGTACAATGTCTCTACAGAAATTAAAGTCCTTATAACTGATTTGTTTCCATGTATTTGAGCATTTTTTGTAAATATATTGTATAAATATAATTGTGTAATGTATGTATCTAATTATGTGTTGTGTTATGTGTTATGTGTTGGCATGGAGTCGTTGTTAGCTTTACCATTATGGCAAACTTCAGCATTGGTTTGTGAGAGTGAGAATTAACTTTGGACCATTGTAAACTGTTTAAAATGATCTAGTTCTGTTTTTCATGCTTTTAAGACAGTGAAAATAAAGTACAGCGTGCCTCATATGAACATTTTAGGAACTTAACTTAAATTTAAAGCTGTTGACAGAATATTTGAGTGGTCATCATATCTGACTTAATTAATGCGATAACGTAGTGTGTAAAAAACAAAAAATGTCATTTTACTTTTTATCTGAGGTGCTTGAAAATGAAATTTAACGTAATTGTATTGTGGGCTGAGCTGATTAGGCAGTGTTCCTGCTTTGTCCACCTTTTGCTCCAAACATCTGGTCAGCCTGGTGTACCACTATAAATCTTTTTTATTGTTAAATTGAAGGTAAAATGCAATTACTTTGTAACTATACAGCAAAGAGGGTTGTGTTGCTCTAGCATATTGCCACATGAATCATACAATGGTGCAAGATATTAGATTGCTATATTAAAGGCCCTGAGTCCGATTTTTTTTTTTTTGTTTCCATTTACTCAAACACAGAGATATTTTATAAGCAGCTCTTGAGGTCAAAATATGTTAGCTGTGTACTGCATCATCTTATTATGATGTGTTTTATTGTCCTATAATCAGAAGTTATCCATCATCTTTAATTAATCTATAACTCAACACAGTGAATAATTTGGATGCTTGAAATGCATAAGGTAAGTGAGGAATAACCGTGGACCACTTCAAATGTTCATAGTAACCATTATATTATATTATTATCATTATACTTTAGTCATTTAGTCAATTAACTGGTTGATGTAGCTGAAGAATTTTTTATTAGATCACTAATTATTTTATTGGAATTATAAGGATTTATTTTTAAAAACTGCAGCAGTAAGGAGAAGGGCTTGGTAAATTAGTTTGAGAATTGGGAGTGAATTATGTGAGTTTAATCTGCCGTTTTGCAGATAAAATACGCAGTTTACTAGCAGTTTTCTGAAGAAAGATTTGTAGATAGGACAGTGCTACTTTGGCGAAATTAAATCTCAAAAATTAAATCTTTCAGCCAAATATACACAGGACATGGTTAAGTAATAATTGTTGTGTTAAATGTTCTTCTATGTAGTCAATTTAACATTTTTAAAGGTGCATAGTGAAATTTTGCTTATTGCTTTGCCTGAAATGTTTCACAGTATGGTATTAAACTTTTCTATCTTCATGGAGACCAAACCAGATCAAGTTAACCCCGCTCACAGTCTGAATGTATGCTTTTCTAGGTATTTTTGAGCTATAAAACCTGTAGTTTAGTACATGTTAGGTAGAGATGTTTATTGTCATATTGTGGAACATTACCTTTCCTATCTTCTGGCTGCAGAGCTTGTCTACTGTGTCACTCCTGTTGAGGCCCTTGGGTGTGGACTGCTCATTGACCGCGTTCTGCTTGGTCATCTCCAGCACAGAGAGTGAGCATTGGCGGAGGTTCTTACGGCGCTGGTGTGGTAGGCTGCTCAAGCAGGTGGGTGGATGGAGGAGGTCTGGGACGAAGGCTTTCTGTGCTTTCTTCTGGCTACGCTCACTCGACCCCACAGGCCTATCAACATTCAAGTCTTTTTTTTCCGGCAACGGTACATTGACAATTTCCACATTCTCGGATTCGTCTTCCGAGTCAGAGATGGTGAACTTGGTGCGTAGGACAGAGGGGTTGAGGGAGTAGGAGCGCTGGCGAGGGTTGGGTTCCCAGAAGTCGGAGCTGTGGCGGCTGGCGAGGCGACTCTGCTGGGGGCTGCGGAACATCATCCAGTACGGAGGACAGGTGGGCTGCAGAGAGGATGAGGAAGAGGAGGAGGGAACGGAGGGGCAATGGAGCTTCATGAAGCCATTCTGGAGGCCCGTGAGCACCCATTTCTCCAGGCTGAAGTCATACTGAGAGGGGAGCGGGGGAGTGAAAAAAAAAATAGATTACGAATTTTACTTAGACAGTGTAAAATTGGGGTGAAGACATTAAGCAAGTCAGGAATCGATCTCATGCAGTTTTAAGTCCATTACAAACACTCTCTCATAAAATAATCATACTATTTTGATATAATGAAAACGTATCTTTCATCTTTCATGTGTATTGATTCATTCTAATAGATAACCTGCAGTGAGATTTCAGTTAATCATGCCATCCATGCTTCTTATTTGCAAGTTGGACAGATGTTTGAAACTTTGCTTCTCTAAACTATTACACAATTTCAGTTAATTATACACTATAATTATCCATCACAAAGTTCCATGAATTATATGTATGTCAAAGATGTTTTATGATGTCTATTTCCTTAAAGGGGCCATATTATACTATAATGTTGTTTCCTTATCACAAACATACCTCAAGTTTTGTTTTGTTTCATTTACACCCTGCATATTTAGACTGAGTTCTTCTCCCAAATAGAAAACACTCTATTCCACTTTGTGATGTCATGTGATAATACAGGTATTGCTCCAGGGTGTTTTTAAACTCCAGACATCTTCACTAGAATCATTTGGATAATATCAGCTCTGGAATTGCCACTCTCTACTAAATAAAAGGTAAAAGATAGCTGTTAACATGAAAACTACCATTTCATGACATCACAAGGTTGAACAGAGCATTTTGAAGGTGTAAATATACAAATAAAGGATTACTCAAACACAACTCCAGATATGTTTTGGAGGAATAAATGTGTGTAATATAGATGTTTGATGGGCAGACATTCTATTCTACTCTCTTATTCTAAACTAAAGCTATACTGACCTGTTAGATATAATGCTTACCTCTGTTTCTCGTAGAATTGTAAGGTAATCTGGGACAGGAACTTGCACATCTTCAACAAGTTCTTCTTGAGAGGAATATTCTGGCATCTTCAGTGGAACTCCTTCCATACTGTTCTGCTCACTGAAAAAAAAAAAAATACAGAAATAGATATATGTCAACAATAAACAAGTAGCTTAAAGGTGTAACTTTTCTGGTGGAGGATCCGTCATATGCTTTTCTCCATGGAGATGTTACTGCTTTGACTGGAATTTTTCACAGTATGGTATCAAACCTTTCTAACTACATGGAGACTAAACCAGACCCAGTTACATTTCAGATTTGTGGAGAGGCAACCCTGCTCACAGTCAGAATTCCTGTTCCTCTAGGTATTTTTGAGCTAGAAAATCATGTGTAATTTAATAAATATAAGGTAGAGCTGTTTAATGTCAAATGAAACATACCAGGCAGGACAATGACATATCCATAGAAACAAGCAGGTGACGGACCCCCAACCAAAATGTTACATAGTGTAGCTTTAAACAGTTCACCTGCCTTACATTAGCTGGATAAAAATTCTAGACAGCTGGAGGGACATCTGATCAACCTGCATTTTAATCTTGTAGCAGTATGCATGACATACCAACAGTCACAGGAACCCACCAACAAAGTCAAATGAGGACACGGGTTACTCTGTGGTAAAGCCGCAATTAGATTTCATCATGATTGAACTAAGTGGACAGTAGCTGCAAATAGGCTTTCCTTTTCTTGAACTCTCACTATGCACACTGTTGGTTAAGTACGTTACACCATTAGGCACGTATCATGAATGGATTCAGGTTACAACTAGTGTAAAGATTACATACTTCAGAATAGTAGTCCTGGATACTTAACTAGTCTATACATTTAGGTATTCCTGACCAAGATCCTGGGGAGAGAATGGATAAATGCAGAAAGCATAGAAACAAATCAAACACAAGGGCAATAAAATGTACCTAAAGCTTAACTTACTGCCCAAAAAGTAATAGTTTAAATCTGTGCTGGAGTGTAGGGGAATTTTGTGGTATCATTTGTCAGAATGTTAATGTTTTATCCTAGTTTATAGTCACTACCTTGAGATTTACTGCCTTTATAAAGTGGTGTAATTGTTTAGAAACACAGGTACGATTGTTGTCAGTTTAATGGAATTCAAGCTATACGTATAATGGTGAATTTGTGGGCTCAACATAAATAATAATAATACATTAGTCTTATATAGTGCTTTTCCATACGCTCACACCACATTAATACTATAGGCAGTGGTGGAATGCAATGAAGTAAAAGTAGAAAAGTATTGTACTTAAAGTAGAAAAGTACTATACTTTAGTATATATTTTAGACCTGTTTATTTTTAACACAGTTTGAGCAGTCTGAGCAAAACAAAAATATACAAATAAAAACAGTTAGGAAAAACATAAATTCAAAACAAATACATTTGAAGCTTTGTAAGATATGCACAAGATGCTTTTACACTTAAAGTACATTTTTAAACAGGTACTTAAAATAATACTTTTGCTTAGTAGATTTTTTCATGTGATACTTTAACTATTACTAAGTATTTCTGTGCTCCGATATCAGTCCTTTCACTTAAGTAACAATACTGAGTATTTCTTTCACCACTGATAGGCGATGTGGTCTCTTGGACAGAGCAACACTTTTTGCCACTGGCGCCCCACTGTGGCACCTTGTATTCCCAGCGGTCTCCCATCCCAGGTCCAACTGGGCCCAGCCCTGCATAGCTTCTAAGATCTGATGTAAACAGGCTTTGACAAGGAGGATATTAACTTTGATCATCTTACTTCTATCAAAGCAATGAATGCGCCATCGACTTATATTGCCTCCACCCCATATGAAATAATCAAAGTGTAGAATGTTTATTATAATGTTATGTTTAATAACAAAATTGTAATAACAAAATTGAACGCAATAACTATATAACATCTGGCTGCATTTAACAAGTGACAATGCTCCCGTGTGGCCGTGAGTGAACCATAAGGCAGACAGACTGGTGATGAGGTAAATGGCCTTCTGTTAAGTCTGCTGGATCCTGGCTGTCCTGAGAGGGCTAAAGGGATATCTGCTCCAGTAACACCCAAACCAGATGGTCCCTGCTGCCTCACAAGTACGGTGCACAGGTGTCCAATAAGGTCACTCTATTGTGCCATTAGACAGTGATGTGGCCCGGAGAAGAAACGGCAGGTACAAGCAGGCTAAAGCGGGGTAAAGAGGAGGGATGAAGGAGCTGAATAAAAAGAAGGCGACATACTTTGCGATGTGATGTTGTCATTTTACAAAATGTATTTTTTATTATTATATGCAAAAAAGAAAATGCTAAAACTTGGAGGACAGCAATTAAAGGTCCTATAAAAACAACTGAGTCTTGTGAGCTTTTAACCATGTTATAATTTTGTTATCTTCTCAAAAACATGCCTGGAGTTGTGTTTTGTTTCATTCCCACTTGTTTGAGCAAACCTTTATTATTAGTCTGTTTATATTCCCAGTGCACAAAATACTGTGTTCTACCTTGTGATGAGTTAAAAAAAATACTGGAGTACTTCCTGTATTACCACATGTCGTCATAAGGTGTTTTTTCAGTTTGAGAGAAGAACACAGCCTATGTTGTTGTACAGGCTTTGTGTGTTAAGAGTGTGAATGAAACAAAAGAAAACTCCAGATATGTTTTTGATGAGGAAACAACATAACATAAATCAGAAAATAGCGTAATATGGGACTTTTAATTATAAGTCAAAGAATAACTTCCAAAATGTTAGATTAGGACTCGGTGGCACAATGTATTACAAAAATATAGCTTCATTACATCTCATCAATGTCAACATGAAATGATACTATTGCAAAATGGTTGTTTAATTCTATATATAAGTTGGTTTAATTTTGTGCAAAGCCTGGGAAAAGCAGCAAATTTGTATTTAAATTAGGTAATTTTGAATTTTGTTAAGGGTGTTTTATAAGCCCATGAAAAGGCTGTATGCAAGAAACAATAATAAAATTCATTAATTCACTGTAAGAGGTGGTCAGTGGCTATGTTAACATGCATACCAAAAATCTGACTTGCGCGTATGTTAGAGCAAAAACACAGTAAAAAAGCAAACACATTTTTTTGATGTGCATGTAAACACAATGGCAATTCGAATTATTAAAGCATTATTAAATATGAAAGTAAGAACATCTTACCTTTTAGAGGCAAAGACTTCACACCCTGTATCCTGGACTGTGTTGACAGTTTATGGCTGACAGACACTTCTGACGTCTTCACTTCATGTAGTCTGCTGCCAAAATAAGAGAGCTCCTTAAGAATAGCCTCCTGAACCACTTATCTGCTGATTTACAGTAGCCTAACCCACCTCCACTACTTCTGTGAATGCACACACTTTCCATGAAGAAAAGAAGTCCAAATTTAGCCATGGGGTTTTTTATATCTAAGACCTCAGGTGAGAGGTGAAGAGATCATTAGCTATTATTGTACTGGAAAGGTATAAAAAGAATTACTTAACCTTTCTATTCAAATATTTTTCATATGTTTTAAACTGTGAAGTTACAGTGTAAATAAGTGTTTCCTGTATGGTTTCTGTCTCATACTTTTGAGTATTTCAAAATAATATTTTAATAAACATACAACAATAAAATAGTAGCATTTTATTGTGAGTTAATTAATTCAGCAAAAACATTACACATATTACAATACCATAAGCATTTGATTACTATGACATACTGGTCTAGTGTTTACTGAATGCTGACCTGCAATATATGCAGTCAAATAATTGCTTAGAAAACAAAATGTCATTCAGACAGATACATTTAATAACACATGCATAGCTAGATACTAGCTAATATAGAGTCTATTCAATACATTGAATGTTGACATTTGCTTTTGAGCATTCTGTTGATAGTGAGAAAACATAGGCCTAAAACATTGTGAACCATCACATATAAAAATATAAATGTGTACTATTGCATATATTAGCTATACACGCACAGCTTACAACTTGAGAAAATATCCTTTATGTTACTGAAAAGTGTTGTCCATACAAATATATAGTATTACAGGAATGTAAACACATATTTATTGATGGTGTGTAAACAAAAGATGTAAAATAATTTAATTTAATAATACTGCTAAAAGCAGAATATCACGTGTAATTATTTCCCTGTAACAAGTCACAGTTTTCATACATCTTCACATTCTGTATCAGAAGTCTGTAGTACAGATGCCCAGGTCTGGTCTGAAGGAGGATCTGGTAAAACCCAGCCCGGAGGAACAGCAGAACCCTCAGGATGATCTGCAGGAACCAGGAAGGCATCCCACTCTCTCCTGGGAGAAAAACACACATTTGTTAATGTTAAGAACACAGTAATAATCATCATGCTGTTGCAACAGTCCCAGTGAGTCATTTTTTAGATATACAGCAGAGGGCAGCAGAGTATTCATTTAGAAAACTGTTGAACATTGCTTCTTTGTTGAAACTAAATTAAGTTTACAAAGCAACTATTTTAATTTTTAATTTTAATTTTAATATACAATCTTTGTCTCAAAGTAGAACAATAATTAGATACCGTATTTATGTGCATTTCAAAGTGATATATATTGTCTCCAATCAAAATAGTATGTGTGTCCACGTGTGTGAAGTAACTATAACGACATTTTATTTACTAAGTTTTCTCATTGTGAAGACCTCTTGTTATTACAATTATCAGTGATAATTATAAAGATCAACAAATTTACATTAGATTTTTATATCCATACAGTGAAGAGGGGGCAGTTTCCTTCCATGTGGTATTGGCTTCTAACACATAATATACTGACTGTATTTAGATGTTACCACGTTGCTTTTAATTATATTGCTATATTAGCCAAAACAATGCCAATGCTATATTAGCCAAGACTCAGATTTGCTTTCTTGAGTCTTCCCTCCCTCCCCACAACACACTCCCCCTTCAGAGCGCTATCATATTATAATCAGCATGGATCCCACTAATGAAACTACTGCACATCGTATCAGGTCTGTCAAGTTTTGTGTGTAGTTTTAGTTTTGTATCATGCTTGTGGATGATATGAGCTCATTACTGCTAACTGAAAGGAGACTTCGAATAGGGCCTGGGAAAGATCCCTAAATTACTGAAACATACATCTAAAACATCTAAAACCTCTTCAGGCATATTTTTGGCATGGGAACATAATATAATATAATGATGAAAACCTAAAAAAAAATATTTTGGCATAATACCCGCTCTTTAAAAATGTCAGTTGTAATAATAAACAATACTAAGCACACATGCTATACCTTATTTGTACTAAAGCTGGTAGTGATTCCTCAGCCTGGGTGTAATATTGTCTGAAGGGCTGCATGAACGGATCAGGAGGTGTATCATCTAGAAAAAAAAATTAATAAATCTTACCATCTGGACAAGCAAATTCAATGGGAAACATTTTGGTGATGATTTGGGCAGAGAGAAGCCTTACCCCCAAACAGTATGATGTCGACCTTGCGTTTGATCTGCATCTGTTTGTCCCTCTCCCTCTTTCGTTTCACCTCCAGCTCTCTCTTCCTCTCCTCCTCCTGCTCTCCTTCCAACATCACCATCAGGGCCCGCTCCTCCGCTCCGTACACAGCTGTCCTTTTCTTAGCCACATTCCTCAATTCCTCCAAGATTGTGTTGAAATTATCATCTGACTGTTGTTCAGTAAAAATACCTGTAAAAAATGAATGAAATTATACTTATTATGCTTATATAGTTTTAAACTTATAACAGGTAGGTCATCATTATATATTTTGATCTTAAAAGGTGCATTATGTCCCCTGGAGAAGTTATTTATTTGTCCTGCCCTGTCCAGAAATGACCCCGTACACATAGTCCTAACACATATTGAGCAAGAAAAACAATTATAACAGAATAAATCCATAAATCCATATTCCAAACTGTGGAACATTCTAGGCAAACATGGAAACAACCAAATGCCAAATGAATGCAGGACAATACAGGAAACATGAATAAATCAATCAAAATACAACTTTGAGTAGGTTAATGATGGGGTCCATGTTGCAGAATATGCCTTCTTTAATGTAACCAAAAGCACAACTGTTACCTTTTCTGGCTGCAGCGTCTTTTCTCAGTTTTCTCAGTTTTTCCAAAGATTTGAGAATGTCCTGCATTCTCTTCACATCTGCCTGCTTCTTTCGGACCTCGCAAAGTACAGCATCTGCAGCCAGCTTTAGCTCCTCTTCCTGAAAACACAAGTGAGTTTAGCTTTGAGCTACTGTAGGGACTAGACACTCAATAACAATTCCTATACCACAATGATAATTTAAAAAAAATATAAAATCACTCAAAAAACACCTTTAGACAACAGAATGGTATTTCCAACAATAAATCATAGTACTTTTATATTACTGTGTGGCTTTATATCTGTGTAATCAAGTCATCTAGACAGGTTCCATAGTTGTCCATGGGAGTACAGTAGACTAAACAAGGTGGTCTTGTACTTTGTCATTTTAAAGCTATTCAGCAAAGATTGATTTCTGTCCTGTGTTTTGTATTGATATCTGCTCAAATCGATTAGTATCTGATTTTCTTTTACCTATCTGGAAGACCATCGAAATGTTTCAAAAACCTTGTCCAGATTACTTTAAAATCTGTCACAGACCACTCCCTGACAAATGAGGGACTACCCCAACTCACTTTACATATAACTACTATTACAACCTAAATGGTTTAATGATATGGTAAGAAAAAAATCTACCATGTCTTTCTTAAAATAAGGAGTGTGATGGAACACCTCCTTGCCTTAATAACTCCTTTGCTGGCAGCTATGGGAAAGATTTCACGATGTATGGTCCTTTGCAAATCATAACTCAAAGCAGGAGGCTAGACGAAAACTACCATCCCATCAAACTTTCAATTTATTTTTCAGTAAGCACAAAGTTACAGAACACCAAGTGCAATTTGGGACACTTGAGGTACCAACTAGTAGTACTGGAATTATAGATTGTATAGCTAACCCACTAGCTGCCGAGTTCCACATAGGAAGTGAGCATGTAGGCACTTCTGGCTCCATCGACTCTCGCTTAAATTGACTTTACATTAAAAAATTGTCACCTCTCCCGGTGTAACTGCTGCAGTGAGCCTTGTCATTTTGGTAAAATGTTCATATTAACCCACTCTACATGATTCTGGTGTTTTTATTTAGTTTTTTTGTCTGTAAATACATTTCAATTCCTAATATGGAACTCGCCCCATAACTGCTGACTTCATAAGCTGTATTTTACTGGAGCTGAACGCCATGGGTGACATTACACTCCTTTAGTCCACTTCTTCATACAGTCCCTGACAAAAGTCCTGTCACTTATCCATTTTGTAGAAACAAAAGCTTATAACCTGACTTTAAATTAATCGATTGGTTTTAGAAATGTCTCATATGAAAGCTAAAACCCTCCCAAATTATGCTCAATATACTAAAATAAATTTGCTTCACTGAAGAAAGATTGATCATTTAATGAACACAGAAAAGTCAGATTTTGGCAAGACAAAAGTTTTGTCGTCTACAGAAAATTGAACAAATAATTTACTTTAAATAAAAAATATGTTGCATAACGTCAGTGAATTAAGTAGTGGTGCTGTGAGATCCATATTTAATATCTTGAAGGACTGCATCCATGCGGTTTGACAATGATTCATAAAATTTGTTGATGAAGTCATCAAGAATAGCAAAGAAAGCAGTCTTACATGCCTCCCAGAGTTCATCAAGATTTTTTGGTTTTGCCTTCCATGCTTCCCCTTTCATTCTACCCCAGACATGCTCAATGATGTTCATGTCTGGTGACTGGGCTGGTCAGTCCTGGAGCACCTTGATCTTCTTCGCCTTGAGAAACTTTGATGTAGAGATAGAAGTATGCGATGGAGCACCATCCTGCTGCAAAATTTGACCCCTTTTATGGTTGGGAATGTAAGAGGCAGCTAATACTTCTTGATATTTTAGGCTATTGATATTGCCTTCCACCCTGCATATGTCTCGCACAGCCCCATACTGGATGTAACCCCAGACCATGATTTTTCCGCCACCAAACTTAACAGTTTTCTGGGTGAATCTTGGATCCATGCGGGCTCCAGTAGGTCTCCTGCAATATTTGCGGCAGCTGTGATGTAATGATGTAATTCAACCGAGGATTCATCTGAGAAATCCACCTTCTGCCACTTTTCCAGTGTCCATCCTTTTAGCAGGCTGTGGGCCTTGGCAAATGCCACACGTTTTTTTAATTGCCTTTTGTTTAGTGCTGGTTTCTGTGCACTGATTCGACCATGGAGGCCATTTCCAGACAGAATTCTACAAACTGTTGTGGCTGACACAGGGACTTGAGGTGACCAGGCCTGGTGGAGTCTGCTGCAGTGGAAAAGGGGCTGGCCTTGGATTTTCGAATCAACAGACGGTCCCCCCAAGCAGTTGTCTTGCGGGGTCTGCTGGACCTGGGCTTGTCAAAAACATCTCCAGTCATTTCAGATCTTTTTCTTATTCTTTGTACTTGACGCTGAGACACATTGAAGGTGTCAGCCACTTCAGCAGTGGATCTGGTCTTCAGCCTCTTGATAATTAACGCTTTGGTCTCAGGGTGGATATTAGGCATGTTGTCAGAGGTCAAGTTGCAGTTGATGTGAAAGTCTGGTGTGCTGGGGTTCTTTTTATACACACCCACTAATTGATTGATCAGTAACTGATCACAGGTGAGGCTGTAATCTAGGATTGGGTGCATCATATGACAAGGCGACAAAACTTTTGTCTTGCCAAAATCTGACCTTTCTGTGTTCATTAAATGATCAATCTTTCTTCAGTGAAGCAAATTTATTTTAGTATATTGAGCATAATTCAGGAGGGTTTTAGCTTTCATATGAGACATTTCTAAAACCAATCGATTAATTTAAAGTCAGGTTATAAGCTTTTGTTTCTACAAAATGGATAAGAGACAAGACTTTTGTCAGGGACTGTACAGTCTATGGTTGCAACATATCATATAATAAGATTTTAAGATAATAAATACTTCATTTAAAAGTATTCTGACACTACTGAGTGATTACCAGCACTGACCCAGCAGCTTAGTGTTGTTCAACTATTCTTGTTTACGTTTTAAAGAGTGGATGTTATACTATGGAGTATTAATTGTTTTGGATATATCACCTATAGTACCTTTCATTGTTTCGAAATTGATATATTTCAAACTACTGCACATTGTATCAGGTTTGTGAAGTTGTATAATTGTTTATATTACTGTCCTGTGTATACTTACTTTCTTTTTCTCCTCCTCCTCTTGTATTTTCTTCATTCTCCATTTTTCTATATCAGCATCTTTTTCCGCTATTTGGGCTTCCCTCTCTTGCTTTTCCATTTGCAACCGTTGTTTAGTTCTCTTTCTGCGGGTTCGCCTCTTGTCAATTGTGGACAACTTTGTTTTCACTCTTTGCAAATTTTCATCATCTTTTAAAAACTGGAGTTGGCTCTGGATTTCTTGTTTCATTTTAATTGCTTTTACATAAGATTCTGTCCATTCGCTCTGACTGTTCACGTTTAGTTTCAGATTTTCACATAACTCTGACAGCTGTGACACAAGCTGAGCAGTGGAGTACAATGTTTTTTTCATCTGGCTAACAGTAATTTGACCTGGCATAGGACTTTCACACATTTTGGAGAGATTTTTTATTCTTCCCTTGGTTTGTAAGAACTGACTGATCCACTTCTGGTCCTCTCTTCGCTGAATTGTTGCTTCGTCTTTAGGCTGTGTTGGTGCCACAAACTTTTCTTTGTCACGAATAAATGTACTCCCACTCTCAGAAAACGTTTGATGATGCTGATTTTGGCGTGGTGGTTGAGCGGGTGATCTAGACCGGTAGTTTGATTGGGTGAAAGGAGGAGGACCAGGACTTGGACCAGGAAGTTGACCAGGAGGAGGATAAGAAAAAGAACCCAGATGAGGACCAGGATGAGAAGAAGGACCAGCAAGAGGACCAGGAGGACCAGAACGAGGATCAGGAAGTGAACCAGGAGGACCAGGAAGAGGTGCTGGAGGACCAGGAAGTGGACTGGAATAAGAACCAGAAGAACCAGGAGGAGGTCCTGGAGGCCCAGGAAGTGGACCAGAAAGAGAACCAGGAGGACCAGGAGGACCAAAATGAGGACCAGGAAGATGGCCAGGAAGGGAAACAAAAGGGCCAGAAAGTGGACCCAGAGGACCAGAATGAGAACCAGAAAGAGAACCAGGTGGACCAGAATGAGGACTGGGAAGAGAACCTGGAGGACCAGGAAGAGAACCAGAGGGACCAGGAAGAGGGCCAGGATGAGAACCAGGAGAGGGGACAGGATGGACGCCTGGTGGTGGTGGATATCCCATCTGTGGAGGTGGAAGCGCTGGGTTGAAGCGATGGGGAAAAGGCATAGGAGGGGCACCATAGTTCCCAGATCCCGGAAATGCTGGTGGACGAAAAGACATCTGTGAGGTGTTCCAAGTAGAAGCGTGATGATTACCCCCTAGTGAACACACAGGGAAGGAGAGAATTTTATATATTTTATGTGAACTGGCAAAGTACATTAATCACACCTGTCTCCATGAATCATTTTCATTGCTAACAAAACAGCATTTTATTTTTTAAAAATCTAATGAATACATTCTTGCATTAGTAGTATAATAAATATATAAAATAATGTTACGTAGCAGTGCAATACTACAAAAAAATCTTTAAAAAAAAAACACCACTAGAGGCTAAAATAAAGATCCTTCTCAAAGGACAGAAAGATTTACACAGAATATAATTCATGTGAAATCTCTAAAACTGCTTTATTCAGCAAATTTGAATGTTTTAGTATTACATTGGACATATCATTTTACACTGCTAATAAAAAAGTTAAAAAGCACATGCTTACCCGCTACGGATGCACTAGCCGCATTAGCATTAGCGGTCATGTTTTGTGGGGGTACCGGTGGTCTGCTGGCGTTGTACGAGCCCTGTGCATAATTATTATTGAACCCCGGAGGTGGGGGAGCATCCGAAGCAGGGTAAGGGTAATTATTATCCATTTTACTTTACATTAAACAAATACAAAGTAGTAAATAACGCTAAAACGTATGCCTCTATGCTGTGCACTGAATGGCTGCCATGTTTACATTCTGCGCTTCCTTCTTCTAGTACGCATGCGTACAAGGAGGGACGGTGCCAAACAGCGCAAACGGCTAAGCTACTGAAGGTAGAAGCATGTTACAGTTAACATTTGTGTTGTAAGATAATTTACACCAAATCCGGATGACTTAAACGCTTTCTATTCGTGTGTTCAATAGATTCGGAGTTGGTTTAGCTGTGATCGGCGAAAACGAAACACAAGCAGAAGAATCTTTACGCGGAAGTCCTGCCTAAAGTGGAGTCATATGACCAAGCAGCAGCCAGAGAAAATGCTATCTAGAAATGGATAAATTCCTCAGCAAGGGTGACTAACCTGCACGACGAAAACGGTAACATTGCCATCAGACATAGTTGATTTGCTGTGGTTCATAATTGGCTATTTTTTAACTAGCGTGACCACATAGGACATTTTTCACACATTGCCTTGTTAGCAATTACTAGTACAGTATGTTTTCTTGAGAGGAACTAGCTAATCCCACATGTCTAGTGATGTTTTGAAGTCTGATTCTGTTTTTGTTTTTTTCTGCAGATGGAGGAGATCAAAGTGTCTCCTGACTATAACTGGTTCAGAAGTACAGTGCCACTGAAAAAGGTAAATATCTATCTTAGCTACTAGTCTTCATTTGATTCATCTTTCTCATTAAATCACTGCATAATTGCCTTACAACTATTGCAATACAAAGAGGAGCTCGGCATAAATTACAACAGAGTGAACAAAACTTGGATTGAATTAATAAAAAGGTTTGGAAAATGTCTTGTGACTGTTTTATCTCACAAGGCATTCCTGAGCAGTGTATTAAAAGATTTGGGGCAGCGCATGACTTCTTGCAAAAAAGTAATGTTGTGTCAAAGGGTTGAAAAACGTGCACTGCATTACAGCAGTGAATTGCAGAACAACAATAGCATATGGGGATATATGTCTGCTAAATAATCACCATTGCAGTAGTTATGTCCTTTTTATAGATGAGTTGTGCCTGACTTCCTCTCTTGAGTCAATTGCATTGCTCTTACTGGCCTCATCGCATTACCTTCTCCCACATTACTCTCAGCTCTTGGCAGTAGGATCAATAGCTGCTCTTGTTTCTTTATAGCACTACTAAGCTAAGATGCTGGGCTAGAGATTTAATACAACGCGTTTTACTTGGCAACGTTCAGATTATCTATTTCTAGAGTAAGAGTTGTGTTTCTATAGTAAATATAGGCTATCTGTCTTTCTGAAAACACATGTTGATCAGGAGGTGTATGCTGGCAACTGAGTCAGTCGGTCATGACACGCAATCACATGTTTACAGTAGGCTGATGCCTCATTGATGTGTCAAGTGAGATTAAGGGTGAAATTCTGGAGTATTTTTAATTGTAAGTCGTATGGAGCTCAACGGTGACGGTCACCACAAGGTTCCAGAAATTAATTTCCAACAAATTTTTACAACAAATACAACTATTGTGCTAATCTTTGTGACTGATATTACTAAAGGAATAGACTCAATACTCAATACTGATACCCATACCACAATTCTAATAATAAATTAATAATGGATCAGATTCTGGACACTCAAAGATGCTTAATGGCCAGTTATAATAAAAACACACTTTATTTAGGCAATAGAATGTCATTTGTAGCCTCTAAAACTTTGAAAACAAATCAAATCTCAATATGAAAAAAAAGTTGATATCTATACAAATATGGATTGGCCAATGTCATAGAAACAAAGGGATACCAACTCTTTTAATGTAAATGAACAACAGGTGCACTAGAGTGGCAACAATGAGACAACCCCTAAAACAGGACTGGTTTTGCATGTGGAGTCCATTTTAAGTTTCTACCTTGTGGTCTTTTTTGGCTGGTTTTCCACTAGTGCTGGCTTTGGTAGAGTGATTATCATTACTAGGAGTATGAGGCCATTCCTTACCCCTATAGAAGCAGCACAGATTATCCAGCTTCTCCAGGATGGCACATCCCGATGTGCACAGAGATTCAATGTGTCTTCCAGCACAATCTCCAGAACATTTCAGGAGACATGGCAGTTACTCTAAGAGAGCTGGACAGGACCATAGAAGGTCCTCAGCCCATCAGCAGACCCCATATCCTTTGTGCAAGGAGGAACAGGCCGAGCACTGCCCGTGTGCCTCAGTCATTCAGGTAGATGTACCAGTCTATTCTGATACAGCTCAAGATTAAAGCTATTCAGGAAAGGTTCATTTTTGTTCTGTGAATGTGACTTTTCAGTATTGATAGCTGCTCAAATAAGTATCTAGTTTAAAATCACAAACTACTAAAATGAGTATTGATTAGTATGCAATTTTCAATACTTTTGACCAGAACTGAAAAACAACAATGAGAAGTATTCATTGTAACAAAAGCCGAGACACACTCCGCTTTAAGTATCAGTATACAAGGTAACAGAAAGTAAAATGACATGTACCAGGCAGTGACATTTTCCTTTTACAGTTTGTTAAACCCACAGCCTATTCTTAAAGCAAAATGTCTCTAACAAAAATAGGAAATGCTTGTGTGTGGGTGACGGAGCAGAAAAGACAGTGCAGTAGATGTGAGAGCAGGGCGCATACACAGGTGTCAGCTGTCTGCCATGTGAGAGTCATAACAAATACTGAGGTGGATCCAATACAAGCTCACAAAGTCAGAGCTTCAGCACAACACCCATAACAGTGACATCATACTGTTACACAAAAGCACCACAGCTATGTATAATTTACTATTTATGGTTACTACATTGCTGTTTTTTGCATGCCAATGTCAGTTCTAGTTTACACTTGAAAGTGAAACTTCTAGAGTATCTCATAATGGCATACTGCACTTTTTCTTTATTATTATGTCTTTATTTATACCTCCAATTGAGAGAATATTTTAATAAAGAAAATGGGGGTGAAAAAAGCAGTTTTATTCTCTATGGGGGCCACACTGACACAAATTAAAATGTGCATTTTGTTCATCCCAATAGCAATATTCAGACAATATTCTGTCAAGCCAACAGAAATATGCCATCATTGAATGTATTATTGGAGGCTGAAGTATCAGACAAAGGGGAAATGGCTCTAAATTTTCTCACAAAAGTGCAGAAATATCATTTTGTACCCATATTTTAGTTTAGTTTAAGTTTAAAATATGTTATTTTTTCATTTTAATTTTTTATCTGCTCTTTTTGCCTTGATTTGAACAATTTAAATTCAGCCTTCATGTCTTCAAAAACATTCAGAATAATATTACAGTTTAATAATCTGCCCAGTATCAGTTCTTGCCACAACTCAGAACTGAAAGTTTTAGAGACCTTCATGTGTAGTACTGTATAAACTCCATTTAGGGATGTTATACCAGCTGACTGAGTGATTTTGCATTGTCAAAAGTCACACATTATAGTGTGGCTATTATACTGAGTTGCATTCTTGGCTTGAACGCATTGTTTTATGACTGCAGCAAGGTAATAAGAGCAAAGGGAAATGTATGCAGTAGTCCCTTTGATCCTTTCCAATGCAGCCAACATGAAGATATTGGTGTAATTAAATATAAATAAGTCTTAAGACTCAACAGGGGATTTAAAGGGGGGAAAATCCATGAGTTCAGGTTTGGGAATATTTGAAAAAAAAGAGAGAGAGAAAGATAAAGATAAAGAAAATTATATTAAATTTGATTTCATAATCACTTATGTCTATTAAATAAATATTTTTAAAATAAATATAAAAAATTCTACAATTCTATAGAAATACCTCCTCATAATTGGTACATATAAATCTTAACTTAACAAATGCTGGTCTTTTCTACTTATATATATTATATTCACAAGACCTTATATTTTATTTTATTCCTCAGATCATTGTTGATGATGACGACAGTAAGGTGTGGTCGTTGTATGATGCTGGGCCAAAGAACATTCGATGTCCCATCATCTTCCTCCCTCCAGTCAGCGGAACAGCAGAGGTCTTCTTCCAACAAGTCCTAGCTCTTACCGGCTGGGGCTACCGCGTCATCTCTGTGAGCTCAACACAAACAGGGGAATGGGGGATATTTTGCAATAAATCAGAAGCATAGGTAAAGCACACAGGTGAACAGGGATGGTCTGCTATAGATTTTTACCCCAGTTGATCCCTGCATTTGTGTTTCTTTTGGGTAGCAGGCTAATATTTTTGAAAGATCTCAATAATTATAAGTTCATAGCAAGGCTCATGAATTGTCATTCATTTCAGAAATTAAATAAAAGGTCTGTCATGTATTATTAGTTGAGTTTTTATAGTTGTGCAAACTTTACGGGCATCTTTTCAGCTTCATTGTTATTCTATTTACATTTGAACAAAAAAGTGGAGAAAATATGACATATCAGTGGCTCGTCCAATGTCAATATTAGCACAGATATGTTTTCCATTCCATGTGAATGTGACTGTAAAATTAGATGCATCAGATTAAGGTTTGTAGGCTGATGGTGTCATCATAATTTTTATTAGTGGAATAATTATTTTTTGAAGACTGTAAAAATAGGAGAATGCATGGAGTGAGATAGCTGGAGTTTGGGGAGTGACCGGAGAGTTTAAACTGCTTTTTCACTTATTAACATGCTGTTAGAATTACTCTGTATATTTATTTGTATTTTGCAAAATAACCTAAAAATGTCAACTTTTTCCAAACCCCATGCCAAATCCCCTCAGCTGATTAATTCATGCACAAGGCATATCTTTAGGCAACTAAGAATTTTGTCAATCAAATACAGCCCTACAACAGATTTGCAGCCATTTAATCTCTTATTGACATTGTAGATGATATACTTGATATTCTAATTTTGCATATCTTCGAAACAGCTATTGGCTGAAGACAATGTTACCCATATCTATACAGCTATTTGAATTCTACATTAATAACTGTAAACACTGACTTGATTTTCACTGTAAAATGGCTCTTCTTTTTCTCCTATGCAGTACTGTGCGTTTTGAGAGCCCACTGTCATTTGGTGTCTGTGCACTGTGCCCACACCAGGCTGAGTCACCCATTGAAACTGAGCACAGATTTGGCATGAAAAGCACCAGATCTGCCTGAGTGAAATCTATTCCACCCCCTGCACAGTTCACGCAAAGTTCAACATATCAAGGCTTACTCTTATTGCTCACTTGATATGCACCCACCCGCTGTTTTATCAGAATAGATACTGAGTTCTACCAAGAGGTGGGCCATATTATTATACATAAGTCTTAGATAATGCATTGTTGCTTTGAAGATATGCAAAATTAGGATACAGAGGATTGTCTGTAATAAGAAAAAGCACAAAGCTGCAAAAAATACCTGGTTAAAATTTAACAAAAAGCATACGTTTTACTATACTTTTTTTTTTTCAAACCAGTGTATAAGTAATATTACTGCACTTGAGGTTTTCAGATCATGTTCGTTTTTGTCAGTATTACCATTTAATGTACATTAGTAAATTACTACTATATGACATTAATAAGGCCGGAGGCAATCTCTTTCAACAGCTCAAAGTGTATTAATTTTTAAAGATGCTGTATGCAACTTTTCTGGTATGCCATTACCTGCTTGTCTCCATGGAGTTTAATGCTTTACTCTGGGACAATCTAGGGCTAGGCAATGCACTCACTCATGGAGACCAGTTGGTAGAAAAGTTAAGTAGTACCATAAATAAGCCACACTATGAAATTTAACAGGTCAAAAGGTACCTCTTCTTTCATCCATGTCAGCCATCACTGTACACACACATTTTAAATCATTGCTTAAGTTTTGAGTCAGATAAGCTCCTTTTAGAAAACCTTTTGTTTGAGCCCCGCAATGATAAACGTACGTTAGTAGAAGGCATTTAAATCAAATGGGTGACGACTACATCTATTGACCCAGTTCAGATAGTTCAAACCTTGGTTACCTAACCTTTTTTGGTTTGTGTTTCAGTTGCAATATCCTGTCTACTGGGACCTTATGGAGTTCTGTGATGGCTTCCGCAAGCTACTCGATCACCTTCAACTAGATAAAGTTAGCTGTTGTTTTTGTGTAAAGTTGGGTCTATTTTATGTATTCACTCTCTGTAATACGTGTTTTTTTGTTCACCTGATTTAGGTCCATTTATTTGGGGCCTCTCTTGGGGGATTCTTGGCCCAGAAGTTTGCAGAGACAACACACAAATCTCCGCGGGTGCACTCGCTCATATTGTGCAATTCTTTTAGTGACACTTCAATCTTTAACCACACATGGACAGCAAACAGGTCACTATACATATCTTAAATATTTATCATTCCAATATATGTTAAAGGTGCTGTTTTCTACTGTCTTATAAACATAAAAACTGTTCATTATAAATAGTTTTGCGGCGGTCAAGACTTCTCACTTTCATAACCCTTTTTTAGTATCCTAATTATTCACCACTTTTCTCAACTTTCAGAAGCCTGTGAAAATGCTAACAAAAATGAGTATGCGTACATTTCACCTGTGTTAGTTCCTGGTTCATGGATGAAAAAAAATCTTTTTAATTAGATGCAGACAATATACAGTGGTCTCATTTTGACCTTGTTGTTTGTGTAATGGGGCAAAACACTTTTTACTTAATTACATGAAAACGTCAGGTACAGCCCCTATGACACTAGCTTTTAGATGTTAATATAATTTTGTCTTCTCTGTGCAGCTTTTGGCTAATGCCAGCCTTCATGTTGAAGAAAATAGTCCTGGGAAACTTTGCTAAAGGGCCTGTGGATCCTAAGATGGCAGATGCTATTGACTTCATGGTTGACAGAGTAAGTGGTATTTTTGAAAACTCTCAACAGTCACCTTATGTTAGGGCGACCAGACAATCCTATTTACCTGGGAAAGTCACAATTTTGAGCCCTGTGTTCCCTTGTCCCAGCGGATTTTTCCCAGTTTTATATAAGAAATGTCCCAGGTGTCCCTATTTTTGACCAATCTGATCCCTTCCAAAAGTAAAGAGAGGCATAAGTTGTAATTTGTTTAGATAACATTTTAAAAGTCTGCTTAAAAATGACCGAAACACAAAGAAAATGTAACTGTACTGACTCACATGTTAGTCATGAATTATCTCTGCATAACAGTTTTCCTTAATTATGCACTCATTTCACAATTTTATTATTACCAATCAACAAAAAACCAGAGATGTCCCAGTTTTTTGTTTCGAAATTCTGGTCACCCTACTTTATGTTTGTAATACAAACATTTCCAACTGGAATTTTAAAAAATTTAAAATTTAAAAATGTTCTGTTGCATGTGAAGCCCTTTGTGCTAAATTTCAAATGTATGAAAAGTGCTATACAAATAAAGTTTGATTGAAAAGAAAAAAAGAAAAGCTACAATACTTCACACTGTAATGTTGGTAATCATTTTAGCCATGTCATTCACAGCTGGAAACCCTAAACCAAAGTGAGCTGGCATCCCGGCTAACAATGAACTGCCAGAATTCCTACGTGGAGCCACACAAAATCAAGGATGTTGCTGTTACTATTATAGATGTAAGTTATCAGTTTGTCTTTACCATTATATGCTTATCATGAATTTGACACCTGCATTTTCTTATGGCGTATTTGACATTTTCCAAATAAATAAATACATTTAATTAACTTTATAACATATACTTGAAGTGAATTTGATATTGTGATTTATGTCAGCAAAGATGTGATTATAATCATTTTAATAATTTAATTTTGTGTTGTTTATGTTAAGGTATTTGACCAGAGTGCATTGTCGTCTGAAGCTAAAGAGGAAATGTATAAGCTGTATCCCAATGCCAGGAGGGCACATTTAAAAACAGGAGGAAACTTCCCTTATCTGTGTCGCAGTGCTGAGGTCAATCTTTATATACAGGTAGAGTTTGCTTTAATCATCTTATTCTGCTGCTCATGCGTATCAATTATACTTAGAAATACTTTATCTGATTTGATAAAGGTGGTTTAGGTCTTCATAACGTTATTATGTTCTGCCTTTTCAGTATTTTTATTTTGGATTAGTCTGCTTTATTTTTTCTTTTATGGGAAATGACAACATATAATACATTCATATTAAGAAAAGGACTACTCACGATAAATGAAAAGTAAACAAAATTTAACTCATGGAAATGGAATGCATTTCATCACACACCAAAATACATTAGTCATAACCATGTATGAACATGTCAAATTGTATCCTTATTTCACATTTACTATACTTGTAGAAGTAGTAGTAAAAGATCTCCTCATGGGGATGAATATAAGTAATTCTGTGATTTTCCCTCTCAGTAGACTAATTTCTCATTCAAAACAAAAAAATAGTTAAACGAGCCTTTTAACTTTTGATGGAAATGTAATCCCCACTGAAGCCAGCAGATGTCACTAAATGTATAGATCATACTCAATATCGTTTAATGTGACGTTAAAGCAAAGTTACAAGATTTAGCTCTGTCTGACTGAATGCATCTAATGATTTAATTTCATTCATGCATTTTTTCTCCTTTCTCAATCCCTCTTTATCAGATGGAACCCTCTTCCTAGGACAGTGATCTCATTGAATGTTCAAAGTCTGTTGCTTAGTCAGTCCTTTTGATAAATATTGAATGTATTAATCAGATAGTTATTGCACACAAATAGTATTGGCATAGAAAACCAATACAGGTTGGGATTTTGCAGGAATATGTTCTCCACTAATATGTTTCTTTGTTTTTAAAATTACAATGTAGGTAATTTACATTTGTGGCCCCAAAACGCTGCAGCTAAAAATGTCAAATAGAAGCATAACGACTAACACAGTGTTTTGTGATTACAGATTCACTTGAGACAGTTCCACGGGACGAGATACGCTGCCATCAGCCCTGAGATGGTGAACGCAGAGGAGCTGGAGGTGCAGGAGAGCAGTTTGACCCACTCTGAGGATGACCAGTGAAACAGACCATATGGACACTACAGACAGAACAGACTATACTAAACTGTGGCCATATGGAACAGTGAAATCCCTCAATGCATTTTCTGAGCTGGTCATTTCACAATACATCTGGAGCAAAACTGTCAATCAATCTACACCGGAATATATTTTTTATTTTACAGAAAAAGCAATATTTTCATAGTTTTTGTACATAAATATCCTATAATACTCTCCTTTAAAGAAAACAACAGGACTTTGCCTTATGTGAGAAGGATTTGAGAAACATTGCACTCATAAATGCCTAATGTTGTTGCCTCAAAGTGTACAGAATTACATACAAATAATGCACTGGAACCAGATCATGTTTCTAAATTAAAAATCATGATACACTTTTCATTTGTTTCAATAGTTCCCATTTGAATTATGTAATTTTGTGTTCAGATTCAGCATTCAGTTAACTCAAATCAGTACTGTAACTTGAGTCAAAAATAACTGTGAAGACTATAAGACATCTGTAGTGTTCAAATTTTTGCAGATTCATGTATGATATTGTGGATATGCAAAAGCACCTTATATTGATTTATGTATTGTGCCTTTAACTTAATTCTCTTTGTTATTGGTGTAACTTTCTGCATAGGAAAGTTTCATTAAACCATTTTCCTGTGACCCGTTTTAATAACGAAATATCAACATTTAAGATGCACACTTTAAAGGAACTGTATGTAGTATGCATTCTTAAAGTTTTAGAAAGTTATTACAGTCACAACTGAATCTGGGTTGCCAGTGTCTAAACCTGCAGATAGAGGACACATGCAGTTTACACTGATTAATGATTTACTGCTGGTGTTGCTGGGGTTTACGTAGCAAAGATTCAGTTCTGCCTTCTGATTGGATCATCATCTTGAGAGCCAAAACCCCAAATTATGACAAATAAATGGGATATCATGTCCTATATTATTTGTAATGAACAATTCTAATGCAGATTTAGTCATAGTAATAGAACAAAAAATAAAAGCTACATTTGATTTCAACATATTTAGCTCATATTTGGGGATAAGTTTAACTTTAACTTTGTTTGGAGAGCCATCACTTTCTTGGAGATGTCATTGCTCTGCCTGAAATGTTTCACAGTATGACTTTAAACATCTCTACCTTACATTTATTAAATTACAGGTAGTTTTATAGCTCAAAAATACATAGAAAAACGCATTCTGACTGTGAGTGGGGTTGTCTCTCCACAGATCTGACTTGGTCTGGTTTGGAAGGTATACAGGTTTAATACCATACTGTGAAACATTTCAGATGAAGCAATAACATCTCCATGGAGAAAAGCATCCCTCCACCTGAAAAATTACACAATGCACCTTTTAAAAATTTAAATTTTTTATTTGTAATTACAGTAATTATAATGTGTGTCATAGGAAGTAATTCAGTATAAAATATCAAGTAACGGGAAAAAAAAAACATTGTATGGTACACAATGACCTTTATTGGTGTAATTCTTTTGTATACTTAACCATTTTCAGATTGTTTTACTAGACTGGTTAATACCATGCAGAATTTCACTAACCAGAAAAGCATTATACACACACTGGGATTTCAACTGTATTTTAATCTTTCACATTTTTACAAATAGAAGATTAAATCATTTTTTAAATAAAATCTCAAGTTGATAAGTTTTATCTGGGCCTGTGAACATCAAATTTAAAAATGCATTACAATTCATTAAAAACACCAGTGACATGAAAAACAACAACAAAAAACTCCAAATCATGTGACCTTGTTCCAATTGCGACTTTCAGTGCACATTTGAACAACCCATTACCTCTCAAACATTTATTACAGCAAAAATTTGAATCCAAAGTGACAAGTGTTCTCTGAAGTTATAAAAAAAAAATTAAAAACATCTGACATATTGTTAGCCCATAGGAATAAATAAAATAAAAGCATTTGTGCAACTTCAAAAGTGCCCATTCACTGCACAATGTCTATGGGCCAGTATGTTCAGTGTGCAGCTGCAAAATATGGCTAGAATTAAGTGACGTGGCTCAGTCCAAAGCAGTAATACTCTTTGGATACATTATAGTCACAACTGCAGTAGCGACCTGTATGTGTTAAAGACCTAGGGGGAAGTAAAGAGAGAAGTAACAGTTCAGCAGATGAAGGTGCCAAAGTCGCCCATTCCGTTACGCCTGAATTGGTTTCCCTGAATGGACACGAAGATCTCATGGCTGAGTAGATCCTGGACAGGCCGACTGCACGTGGCCTCTTTACTTCGGCTCAGCTGTCGACACAACTGCCACTTTCGGGCGGAGGCGGAGACCAGGTCACTGTCAGTGCCGTGGCTGCCATCGCCCACCTGATCCTCTGATGTGGGTTTGGTCGGGGGAGTCGCAAAGGTGGTGATGATTTGAGGTTTGGCGAGTTCTTCAGGTGTTTGCTCTGCTGGTTTGATGAGGTTTTCTGGAGGATGAAAAATATATGTATCTAATTGCGCCACGAACGACGGTATTGGCAGCTCATTTAATTAATGTTCCTGAATAATTACTTTTGTTCATGATACATACACATATCAATCCACAAACAATATAAATTGCCAGAAATAGTGTGAAGTCCCTTCTAACCAATGTATGCCTATCCTAGTGTATCAACCAGAGCGTATATGATATAGACCTCAATTGTGTATGCTACTTTTTTTGCCTTTGATACTTTATCTGAATCCCCAAATCACTACACAGCAAAGTAGGGCAATATATTATGAACCAACACTTCTCTAGATGTCCCATGTTTTTGTTAAACCTCATCAATTATGCAACTATGTAGTTGTATAATACTGTAAAAATTTCGTACAGTTCCATCCCTTGTGAACACTTAAGCATTATTCACCCATTCATTTGTAATAAATGTATTAGTCAACCAAATCAGATGAAAACAGTTTACAATAACAAATGGACAGATAACTTACCTTCAGCCTTTTCAAGAGGAACGGCTTGATCCTCAGTGCTGGGTTTCACCAGTATCACTCCGTAGCCCTCATTGTTATGAATTACATTGTTTTCCATGGTAATAGACGGCAGCACATCAAGCTCACCAGCAAAGTCCTGTCAAGATTAAATAAAATTGGTGCACGCACAGATCAATCAAATGGATAAAGATAAGAGTGTCACTTAAATTATGCTACTGTAGTTTAGAATCGTGCTGGTCAGCTCACCTTTATTAAGATCCCATCTTTGCAGTGGTGAATGCCATTTCCAACCAGACTGCACACACTGCCAGGGTAAATCTCTATGCCAGCTCCCTATACAAACACACAGTTTTAAGTCATGCACTCAAGAAAATAATATCACAACTTGTTTTCACTCTAATCTTGCCAGAACTTACAATTTTCCTAAATAGAACATTAAAAACTAAACTAAACTCCAACATTACCTTGGATCCATAGAGGTCACAGATGTTCATGGTGAGGTGGGCTGATGTCCTGACGATGACTCCGGTGGTCTCACACTGTAACACACAGTTCTCCATGTAGAGGTTCCCCTGACGCACGCCTAAACATCAAACAACAAAATACTCAAATACTACAGTTTGTTGATGTGAGTTAAACCAGTACAAACTGAATCTCACTTACACAGAATTCCCTCAATAGCATCATGTTGGATAAACTTGATGTTGGATATTTTGACATCAGCTCCAGTGGATTCAATAAAAGAGTCCCCTTTGCCCTTCTTCTCAATCACCACCTCATCTGGAAGACCAAATCCTACAAACAAAGTCAGAGTGATTAAAACAATGTATATAGATTTTAAAATTTTCTACATGTTTTAAGTTTAATATTACCTTCTACTGTGATAGAATCTGGTAGGTTGATGGAGCTGGTGACATTAAAGATGCCTGGTAGAACTATGACCACATCACCCTCATGGCAAGAATCCACTGCTGATACTGGGTCTCCGTAAAACTAAACAAAACACAAGGAGGTAACAGTGTTCCGATGTCAGTGTAATAGCACATATTTTAAAGACTTGGACCCATCTTACATTAGATGGAAAACCAGAAACTACCTACCTTTATTTCTGTGTCATCATTAGAGTACATGGGCAGCAGTCGGTCATTGAGGAGGGACTGGAGCTGGGCGGCAGTGCAGGAGGATGTGACCACGTGGACCACTTTCAACCCAGACTCTCTGGGTCCACGGCTCTGTACACACTGCTGCCTGGCATTACCTTTATACCCTAGAACATATCTGGAAAAACAAAAGACTATGTAAGAAAGACAGCAAATATAAAACCCAATTTATTTAAAATTGGGGCTGCACAATATATCGCAATCAAATCAAAATCGTAGTTTAAATTGGCAGAATTATCAATCGCAAAGGCTGTAATCATTAAGATAATAGTCAGGAAGGCCATATTAACTTTACAAAGAACAAAATATCTTGTCATTTTACAGATCTATTTTAGTTTAGGATTAGGGTTAGGGCCTCTACAAAACATGTTTTGAAATTCATGGGATTCTTGTATTAGTTTCAGTTCATATTGTTTTACAATGTGGAGTTAATATGATTAAAACCCCTTGCTGGTCCTTGCTAGTGAAGTGCACTCTGAAAAGAATCCCAATTTAAAATGTATCACATGTATCGCACTATAAAAATGTACCACAAGTCTAAAAGCACTACTTGGACATATCGTAATTATAATTTTTTGTCAAAAAACTACCGTAATAAAGGGTTTTCAATGATGTGCAGCTTGCGTTTGTATGTTTCAAGTTGGTCGTAAAGTTTGAGGCCTTCAACCATGGACACGTTGTCTAGTTCAGAGTCAGAATCACAGCACATGCCGCTGCGCAGGACAGAGAACTGCTCGAAGACTTTGGAGCAGTTATCCAGTAATGTCTGGTACTCCACCACCAAGCCTGCAGGCACTCGGTCCTCTAAGATGTCGTAATACCTAACGATGAGCAAACAAAGTCATTAGAAGATAAAGTGGATCAAGATTTAATGTATTATGAAGTGCAGAGGTTACTAACAATCTAAGGCGAGGTTCTACACATCGGACAAAGTAGTCAAAGTCATCGTCTTCATCCTCTTCGTCCCATTGTCTCCAGATGTGTTTGTATAAAAATCTAAAAAGCAGCAGCAATGAATTTAACATACCTCCACACCTCACCCCCTTTTAGTTGCTTAATCGATACACAAAATGACAAATACCATGAGAGCTGTAGTTGACTAAGGGAATTATTGTGCGAGATCTGAATTTGACAAAAATGGAGACACTATTATAACAAATTGGGTTATCTGTACAAGTTAATGGGCAAGTTTTATGTTAGTCTTCCTTGTAAACCTATTTTCCATTTTTGTAAAATTATCAAAGCTTTTGCAGACAGAAAAGCCCACCTAAGATGTTCGATAGCGAGTGCTGTCTGGTCAAACTCTCCGGATTCGTCATAGACTGCGTGGAGCTCCTTCAGGGGGACATGGTGTTGAGTGGCCTCCAGCACAGACCTAATGTTGTCCTCTGTCAGCTCACAGCCTTTAGCCTCACATTGCATAGGCAACAGCAAGCGCACCACGGCCTTCAGCTCCTTGAAGTCCACATCCTGAACCTATAAGAACCAGCAGCAGTCAGAGGTCAGCAAGTGTTGGCGGGTTAGTACAATTAATACATTTGCCCGTACTAAACTAAGTAAACCAAACCAAGTATTAAATTACTATGTATCCAAGGTAAAAGACGTTATAGAATTTGAATGATATGAGAATGTTCACGAGGAGATGTGATTTCTGCATTTGAGAGATACATGCTACGAAAGAGTCTGCGATTCAGAACATACAAAACTTGGACGGTGGTTTGAATGCAAAAGGGTCTATAACCAAACCAGAGAGGGCTTCAAACATAAAGTAATAGCAACTCACTTGCCAGACAACCATAACTGGTACAGACACCTTCACAACACTGCATTTAAATGTAGAATGAGTTGCAGATGTGTTTTTACTATTAGTTCTTAGTTATACTATAAATATAATTTAAAATCTTTCTGTTGATTGACAAATGTAAAATACACATTATAGAACCATACCTCCACCAAAACATCAAAGACATCAGTGCACCACAAGGCCTGCCAGTCACATGGCTCCACCACCTTCTCAAGATAATCTGCTGTGAAAGCCTTCACCTCTGATGGCTTACAGTCACCTGTCAGAAGTCAATCAGAAGTCAGTGTTAATTTCATGTTGATTTTAGTCTAATAGGGTAAGATGGGTGTATTACCCAGCACGTAGTCTTGGTAGGCCTTGAACCTCTCGTAGAAAAGCAGGTGGCCAGTCTGGAAAGTGTCTGGGAGACTGGAGTTTGATTCTGTTTTGTGTTCACATCTCTGCAGCTGTGTGCCCGACTGCTCTGTGCCAAAGGGGTCTGTACCGCTGTCATCTCCACTGCTTTCACTGTCCATGTCTTTCTCTACGTCCTGGAACAGAGCTGTTTTGGGACAGAGCATACCAAGGTGAAACTACACCGTTTCTGCTCTGCTCCTTTTGATTTCTCCAGGCTTAGAGTAGTAGACCAGTAACACAAATAAGCATAGTGTCACTAAGTTGCCCAGTATTAATTATGAGCACTTGAGGGCTAATCTATCCTGCTGCCAGCTACAAAGTATTCAGTTAATAAATGACTGAATTTACACACAAGACTATGCTATGATTAATCACTTAGTAAAGTCAATCCAATTGTATAATTGCAACTAACGTACACCATTGTTTAGTCAGCTCAAACTAAAGTCATCTTTCAAATGGACAAAAAGCTTTATTGACATTTTGCACAAACCTTGGGTCACGGGGGCCTCGCTCTGTCCCTCGTCGGAGCTGGTGTTGCAATTGTTGTTTTCTACTTCAAGCTCAACGTGAACATACGAATCCAAATCCGACACCACCACCTCGGCCATGCCTGTGTCAACAGCCAACCGTTTCTCACAAGACTCCATCAAATTCACCACAAATGGGGCCCAAAAGAAACGTCCACACAATCGTAAACAGCCGTGAAATGTGTAACTTAACTGCGCGTTACACACACCCAGGCCAGTTCAAACTTTCCCCGGTTTGCAGAGCTGAGCCAATCGAGGAAAGTGAAAGAGCGCAGCTCCCTCCTTCTTTCATAACAACCTGAGCTGCATCCAATGAGGCCGCTGGTACTCAGCATGCGCAGTGTTACAACCAAAATTAAATAAAAATGTACAGATCTTAAAATTTCTAAAATTACAATTACATGTTCTTGTACGTGCTATATTTATATATATATTAAAAAAATACAAACTCCAAAAATCTACAGCTCTTACTCTTCAAGTTACATTTATGTCAAAAGCCACCCAGTTCGTGATTAATACTAGACAAATAATCACTTTGTATTTTGTTTATCGTGATCTTTATCTGACTTATAGACATAATAGAAAAAAAACTAAACAACAATTTAACAATAAATAACAATAAAGAAGGAATTTGTTCCTTCTAGAAAACTTCAGTCATCATATTTTAGCTTTTAAATCTCGCTGTACATTAAATAATATACTAAACTAATCGAAAAACAATTGCTGTGAAGTCGACTCCGAAGACAATCCGCAGGCTTCTTATAGTTCTATGGTAAAAACTCAAAATAAATCGAAAGCTGTACAAGAGTAGTCTTAAGTAATTCTTATCTATTGCCACTAGATGGTGCTCCTGACGCATATACTGTTGTGCAGCTCCTTCCCGTGGTCAGTAGAAGAATCTGTAGCTGGTGACACAACCTGCACAGGTCGTTGTGCCAGCGAAAAGGTAAAAGATGACCATCTGTCATCAATCTCATTCATGTCGCAGCAGCATTGTGCGCTGCAGACAAACCCTCATATCGGGCCGTCGGTGATCCAAGAATACGACGTTTTTCTGTCTTTGCAGCGCACAATGTCGCAGTGGTTAGCATTAGCACGCTAACCTAGCAAGCTAACGTGAAAACAAAACAGGCATGTCACTGCCAAGAACTGGCCCATTACCCAGTTACGACTTCACAAGAAATGTGATTGTTTTATACAATGGACTTTTAAAAAATAAAGTTTACATTATTTGCATTTGAAAAGAATGGAGTTTACTAACGTCTGTCCTACTTGTACACAGGCACTCAAACATAATCCATGGTAGACTTTAATTTTTATACTATTTAATTTTTGTTCTATTTTACATCTGTTTGTTGTGTTGTTACCCTACAGAATAGATTTCAGTCTTGCCGTGTAAAAAACAATGGTTAAAATGAGAGAAGTGGGGTCAGTGGTCCTAACAGAATGGCAGAACAAAATAAAAAATAAAGTTATTTATTATGTTATCCTAGACCTTCCTGCAACCTGAAACAGAAGTTTAGTTTATGTTGTATGACTTATATTTTACCATGTGTTACTGTTGGAAATTATTCTTGTTACAGTAAGCTTTTTTATCACAAAGCAAGAGCGAGGCATAATATGTAATAATAACATAACATAAATATATTTATTGCATTTAAGTTTTTTCCAGAATTTAAAGTGAGTGAAAAAGGCATACCATAAAAGGCCTAATACATTTTACTTAGGTCAAGTGTGACCCTACCCTGACCTATACAGAGCGCATCCAGAAGAGCACTGAATCATCATATATTGCATATTTGTTTTTGTAATTTTAGACTCATACATTGATGTGTTCCTGAAATAGGAAGTTAGGACATAAGGGCTACTGAGATGCACCATCTGAAAATTAACTAAATTGGTTTACCATTGTCAAATGGAAACATAAAGTGGGAAATCATCTATGTTGAAAAGTGCAGCAAAGCAAAGCAAAAACATATGCCAAACTACCCATACAAAATCATGTGTTCGAGTCAACATATTATTTATTCTAACCAATTTTTTTTTCACCTAGACTTTTGGTAACACAACCTTTTGAGAAAATGTGTGACGACAAGCATGGCAAGTCACCGAAGAGTGATGATGAGAACGAGCTGTCGGCCAGTGATGAGTCTGAACCAGAGGAGGCCCCCAGCAGTGCGCCCTTTGACCCTGAGCTGGATGCAGAGGATGATGATGATGAGGTTGAAGACCACAACAAGGCGGTAGTGAATGTCACTCAAGATGGTGCTCTGAAAGCCAACCCTTTCAGCCTCAAAGGTGGGAGCTCAGGATTCTCCAATCGCAGTCACAGCATCTTCGACTGCCTGGATAGCATGGCCAAGATGACATCCTCCACTCTGGGCCAAGATAATGTCATAGATGGTGTTTTTGCCCGACCTGTAGCCCCACCTCCCAGCCGCAAAACCAGCCACCCCCCTCCGACCAGCCCCACCCCAGCAAAGAAACGTGGGGTGCCCGATTACATGGTGAATCCAGATCGCTGGACTCGCTACAGTCTGGAAGATACGGCTGAAACTAGCGACCAGGGCAACAGCCGGGTGGCGCATCAATATCTGGCAAGTCTGCTGCAAAAGAAAGATGAGCCAGTGAATAGGGACTCCTGTAATATCCATGAGAAAATCATCTTCTCCAAGCCTAATCGGGTAGGGAAGGAGCAGCCCGCTAATAAGACGGAGAAGCAGAGTAAGGAAAAGGGCATGCATTTGAGCCATTTGGATGAAGAGGAGGAAGAGGAGGAGAACAAGAAAGACGTGCAAACTAAACAAAAGAAAGATGAGTTGGACATTAAGAAAAAACTGATTGAGGAGGGAGACGGCGATGACGTAACACAAGAGGCAATACAGGCGAATACAGGTTTTGGTGCATTTAAGAAAACGCATCACAAAATGTACAGGAAGAGCGCAGAGGAGAGTAGCAACAACTAGGCTCATGTTAAGCATTATGAAACTTGAATATTGTACAATGTTGATGTGTAGAGTCACAAGGCAGCGTATCATTTAAATTAAAGGTACATTACGTAACTTGTGTGGTTAGGGTCCACAGTCCTGCATGTCTCCATTGTTTTGTAAGAAATGCTGTGCACTATGGCATTAAACTTGCCTGTAATTGAATAAATGCTGGATAGTTGTTTCTGTTTTGCTAAACATACCTTGAAAAACATTAATTCTTTCTGCCACCAGGGACACCTCACCACAGATCTGACCTGTAACATGTTTAACCTGGTAGTGTCATCCGCTTGTCTCTATGTAGATTTTTGGTTTAAGTTTAATGCCATACTGTGGAACATTCCAGCCTAAACATTAACATCTCCATAATGTAAGCAGCTGTACCCTCCACCAGAAAAAGTTACTTCTTAGTGCACCTTTAAATTGTATTATTGCATATACATTTGTCTTCCTTGTAAATATGGGCTCATATGTGGAAAGTAGAAATACGTATGCATTGCTTAGTTAAGTGTTAGGTATTGCATCACTCCCTAAAACATGTAAATAGAATGAAACTGAATTGTTGGGGTTCTTAAATCTTTTTGTAATGCTAGTGCTCCCTGAGTTTTTTTCTTTTTTGTGTGTATGTGCCTTCTACTTAAATGAATGGACTGACAGGCAAACTTAAGAGATGTACTAAAGCAATACCACTATAGAGATTTATCTTGTAAGGTTTTTGAACTATTTTGTGTCTATCTTCTATGTTGTCATTGGCTCCAGGCTGAAAGGTAGCATCATAGGTAGCAACAAAAATAACTTTGCCTGCCAGTCATAATATACATGAAAGCAACTAGGTATGTAGGTAGGCAGCCGGCACTTGACTTTGTTAAAAGTTTATGATCTGGCAGAGATCCAATTGTATTTTCAGCTTTTGAGAAAGGCAAACCATTTATACCCTGCTATTTCCACACCTTCCAAATCATCCCTTGCAATTGCTAGGCTAATAGGCTCATTACTCAGCTGAAACTGCATGCACTGTTTAACTATAAATCTCGATGTAAAAATATGTACAAGTTTTGTTGATATAGGGCCTTATTTTTTAGATCTTGTATGTCTAGTAAAACAATATTGTCTACGACTTGTTATTTTTTTGTGTGTTAAAGAAATTGTGTAAATCATCTTTCAGAATTAAAAATCTCAATTGTTTTTTTAAGGACAGACTGAAAATTGCCTAGTGTGTTTTGTAAAATAGGGAATTTAAGATTTACTACTACCCCCTAATGTCATGGTTTTCAAATTGTATTTTGATACCAAAGATTCACTCGATACATAATACCGATTTTGACACCCAAATAATAATTTTAAAACCTCTTCTTAGACTATATTGTATTTTAACACAAAATAACAGTATGAGTTTAATATACTGTGTGGTTTTACACTAGTTATGATGAAACTCAAAATGAAACTGGTCAAGTTTTATAGTTTTTGTATCGATACATGTTCAAATGAGTGTCTAGTTTTTAATATTGATTAGTATCTGATTTTGCATACGTTTGACAACCCTACTACCTACTGTACTTAACATGTTCTTGTGGGAGCCTTATATGGCTAAAGAGTTTAATCAAATGTATACTTGCATTCAAACTGGCTAAGTTTGATAAAAGCTGGCTTATTTGCCTGTTATCTGACCATGGTTTGTTTGAATATGCCACATTCACATGGCTCAAAGCGGTTACTGAATAGTTACTCTGTTTTGGGACACTTAAAGTTATCTTTTGAGGGCTAGAAAGTTTGCATGCATGGTTGGGTTTCTACGGTAAGACTGGAAGAAAACCTGTCATTAAAGGGCCTATATTATGCTATTGTCTGATCTATGCCATTATGTTGTTTTTTTTGTCACAGACATACCTGGATTTGTGTTTCGTTTCATTCACACACAAAACCTTAATATTTAGTCTGTGTTCTTCTCTAAAACTTAAAACACTATTCCACCTTGTGATGTCATGTGGTAATACAGGAAGGGCTCTACTATATTTTTAAACTCCATACATTTTCACTAGAATCATTTGGATAATTTCAGACTTGGAATTTGCTACTGAACTAAAGGTAGCAGCTTTTAACTTGAAAGCTATTGCTTCATGACATCACAAGGTGTAACAAGGCATTTTGCGTTTTGGTGACGTAGACAGACTAATAATAAAGTACTACGCAAACATGTGTGAATGAAACAAAACACAAATCCAGGTATGCTTTTTGATGAGGTAACAACATTCTAACATGGCTTAAAGATCATGAGTCAATTTTGCGTAGTATAAGACGTTTAAATTAAAATTAACCTTTTTTTTTATTCTTTTTATAGATCTACTTCTTTTGTCCTGTGACACAGTCATACATATTTAATAAAAACAATAATTAAAAAATTAAGTCTGCAAACATTTTGGGACATTAGGATTATAGGCCCATTATTCAAACTAGAGGTGTATATTTCTCTGTTTTCATTTGTAAGGTCAACATAAGGACATTGGTTGTTTACTTTATAATGATTTAGGTGTGTTCAGAGGCTTTCCTCGGAGTCACATATCTTACCAGCTTTAGACAAAACCAGAATATCTACTGCTATACGTGGAAAGTAATTTACGTCTGTCATCGTGCGTCAAGACAAACTGCCTAACACCTGCCCATAAACAACTGAAGAAAAAAATATACATCAAAATTATTTCATCTGATGTTGATTCAAGAAGACTGTTTTTTGTTTTTGTTTTTCTTAAAAACGCATACAAGATGCTGCAGGGTTGACCTGTGTTTACAGCCAACTGGGCTAACAAAACCACAAAAATATGATCACACATTTTGGGATCAGATGTTTGAGGTTCAACCTTGTGATTGTGGGATCGATGTTCAGTTCCTCAAACATACATCGTGGGAGCTCTCCGAAGCTTGTAACGAGTCTACTGACATCATTACGAATATCATTATATTTAAGATTTCATTATGTTACACTTTTTCCCCCACTTTGGGCATTTTTACGTCTAAAATTTTTCTTGGTTGGAAATCATGACATTGCTAGGGAATTCCGTAACTGTTACCTAGCATTAGCATCCATGCAGTAGAGTAGACCTAAACTCTTGAAATGTACACAGACATAAAATGATACACAAATAAAAAATAAAATGATAAGAAAATACCGTTATATAGTTGAAATCATGTTTAAAGTATCAGAAAAATGTGTTTTGTAAGTATAAATTGTGCCAAATTTTTGGATAGACTTCTCCCTAGTGTGACGTCATTAATATGGAATTCTCTGCTTCCTGTAATTTTCCACATTCTTCGCAAATTGTTTCTTGAATAATGTAAAACTACATTTTTTATTGAAAACAGGTAGTCTAGCCTCTCACCAAATTAAGTCAAAATTAGATTATCACTTAAAGCCGTCTATAGAGTGGATTTATAGGCCATTAGTCTGAGTAACCTTATCCATAAAAAAACTTTTATATATTCACATTTATCAAGACCCAGACCTCCTTTCCAAATTTCAAGCAGCCTAAGCCTAATATTTCATCAAGTGTTTTACTATGGTGTTTTATTAGGCCTTCTGTTTAAATGCAAATGTAGCCTATGTTAAACTTCCTCTTCCTTTATTAATATTTGCCACAGTTTACGCGCACCCTGAACGCCTCATCCCATTGTCCCGGAGCAGCGCACTGGAGGGGACGTCACAGGTGGCCCAGGTAAAGACAGGCACGCCTTAACTTTACCTCACTGACGAACGCGCGCCTCGGACCCGATCACCTGTGCAGAGGCTTATAAATATGCGGAAGGACGGGGACTACGGTTATACACAAGATTAAGGTAATGCGGGTGCTCTTTGTGGCAGAGTAGCAACCTAATCACACCCCTTGAGGAGGATGGGGCCGTGATTCCGTATGTCCGCGCCGAAACCGGACTAAACTTTGAATAATGTTGGTGGCACTGCCGGATGTCATTGTCTGCTGAACCTGCGTGAAACTTTGACACGACTTACAGCATGTTTTTCAAGGCGCCCGAGGTAAGCAACTTGATCTGAAAGTAGCTAACTGAAAAGGTGAATAAGACTAATATACCACTATGTTTTTTTAAATGGCAGTTTTCTTATGGGCCCCATGTACATATAGGTCCAACTTGTGCGTTTACGATTTACACACATTTAATTGACTATTGGTTGTACATTAGTTTCTACTATATAAGATTACCAAGATTATCGGAAACCTCTTTTCTCTAATACTGGATCTATAGTTAATCTTATTTCCTAAAGATAGGCTATATAGATATATTTTTCTTAATGTGCAAGGCATATTGGACACAACCATCAAGGTTTAGGTTCTCAATGTATATGCTTAAGTAATGAAGTATAAGCTTTGACCATATGGCATTTGGCAAGTGTATTTATTTATTGTGGCCTGTTGCTGTCCATCTATTCTATAAAACAAAAGTGAAACATACTAGTATTGTGTGATGTTGGTCTATTTTTCTTATGCATACACTGTCAACAAAACCTTGGCGTTGCAGAGCATATTAAGTCTTTAAGTTCAATGTTCTGCCCTGTTTGATGATCTTTATTATATCAACTCTAAACAAAGTGTGGATTAAAGGGCGGTGGAGTTTCTGTTGTAAACTAGTCATGGAGCCAGTATAGGACTGGTCACACCTAGCTGAAGGTTTATCCTCCCAATAAAACTGGAAAACAGCTATAGTTTAAGGTTATCTCCCTAAAGTCTGTAAAGTAAAGATAGAAGAAAGCATGTGGGCGGGCGGAGAACTGCCAAATGTAGAGCATACTGAGGTTTCACTGGCTGACAGGTTAGGGCATGCTGCCTGCAGTGTGGACAGATACCTATCTTATCTCCATAATGTAACACATATTAAGGCACTTACAAAAGATAATACTCAAGTAAAAAGTTATTTTAATTATTTTATATATGCACATGTATTGTTTTCTAGGGCATCAAAAATCAGTACCCAGATATTTTTCAATGCTAAAATGAGTATCTATCTGAAGTAGATTCTTATATGATTAGGTATTGACATTATAAATGGCTAGGATATATTTTGATGATGAAATTAACTTAACTTAGCTTTTTTTGGTTTTGGTTTTGGTCACCATGTCCCTTGTGCACAGCTGCAGACTCCTCTATGACAATTGTCAATCTAAAAACTTTTTGTAAGTATGATTTGATCTGATATTATAATATCTGGTGGCTTAATTGGATTCTGTAAATTAAATGTGAATTTAAGTCCACCAAATTTGAACTGACTAGAAACCCTTCACTTCAAATCAGCTTTTTACATAAGAAAACAAAACATACAAAAATCTCTTACCTATGGTCACAACAGCACTGTTTGCACTTTGCACGGGGTGTGTGCTCTGCTCAGTATTACTACTGTATTTCTGATAATTAACAATACAATGTAGAGAATACTGTAATCAATATTACATGAGTTATAAATTAATCACTGACATGTTTGTGCTGCAGGAGACAGAGATGGAAATCAGAGACAAGGACTTTTTCTCCAGAGAGCCTCTTCTCCCATCTGTGGTAAACCTGTTCTCTCCTGTGTGCTTACACCACCACTCAGAGGGATTTTTGGTCTAAATACAATACTATCTTTATATTCAAGATTCTATTATTTCATAAGATTGTCATAAACAGGTGCATATTATGATCTGTTGTTCCCTAGAACAGGTGTAGTAATGTGGATCTGCTTCTTGGAACATAATCCAGTGTTGACTCAGTGAATAAAAGTGCAACTGGCACAAGAGTAACAAGACCCAACATGTTTTCTTAGGCTTCACCTTTGTGCCAAAGCCTGGGTCTTACATAGTAAACATCAGCATGTTTTAAAAACATAATTAAATTCACTTAATATCAGTAGATAAACATCAGTAAGCAAACCTGAGAGTAGCAGAGTTGCAACTCTCTCCAGTTGCAGGTACTCAGGGTTCGTACCCTGTGGTACCTGGGCACTCTTAAGATAATTATTATCAGATTTGTTGTAGTTATAACATTATAAATATGACATGTAAACAGCAAAATAGGATGCAAGCACAACAACAAACTTTTTTTTTTCCACAATGGCTTCAGAGAGTGGTATCATTATTCAACCCCCAAATCCCCAAAGTTGAAAGGACTTTAAAATAAATAGTGGAGCCAATACCGAGTACCATACCATAGGGTTCAACATTTGTGGATTTGTTTCTTTCAAAAACAGTGAATCTTCCATAGAGTTCTTTATGATATCATCAGATCCTTTAATGTTAACATAACTTTTATTAAAATTTGCTTTCATGTGCTAATTTATAGGCTATTCAAAGGACATTTGATTATGTTCTGGTGTCTCCCAAACATGAAGACGATGACGACTTGAAGATCCAAAGAGCCAGAGCCTTCATCTATCAACTGGAGAGGAAAAACTTTAAAGTGGCTGTGAGTTTTTACTGATGCCATGCTTAATTTAGGAATGGAATCACTTGTTATTGGTTCACAAATTTCTCACAAGTACAGGTATATTTTAATTCTTCTGTGTAACATCAGATCTAAACCAGGTCTTAAACCGTACTATACCAAGTCTAAACGAGGGCTAAAACAGCTAGGGATACATACTTATATTAGTTCTAAACAAGGATTAACTCAAAGGAGGACAAAAATTTACTTTTAATTGGCTCTCCAGCAGCACTGAATGATGGGTCAGATGTAGGGGACAATTCCCATCGTAACCAGGGTCAGCCCAATCTCAGCGGACTAAGCAGCTACTTAGGTCCCCCAAGAGCCCATATACTTTTATATTGAAAAAAAAAAAAGATTGTAAAGTGAGTTTCTTTTTGTCTATACAACACTTGGGTGTTAATTAGCTTAAAGGTCCCAATTAAACCTGTTCCAGAAGTTACCAATTTGATTTAAATCAGGCATGATGTGAGCAACTCCATGTTGTGCTCCGGGGGTACATTTGGCTGTTTAACAAGTTAGACTAACAGTTAATGCAGTAGTGCTACATAATGTATCAAGAGGACTTGAAGTATGTCACTGCTTGACACCACTGGACATCCCAGGATAAAACAGTTAACTGGACGTTTATAATTATGCATAAAGGATATATTAGAGTGACAGGAAGACAGCATCAGTTTATTCAATTTGCTGTTTTAGGTTGTGCCTTCACCTTTAGATGTCATGTTCAGAGTGTTTCTCTGGATGCTGCTTGAGTAATTTCTTGGACAACTACTTTGTACTTCTTGAGTAATATTATTTGAAGTAAGGGAATCCCTGGACTCTCCTCCTATATGTGTTTGTATACTGTCCTTGTGGCTATTGCTGTTGTGAGCTGCTGGAATTTTCTTTTAGATTTTTACAATTGGTTGACATGATGACAGCCTTGTCTTAATTTTGTTCAGTGTGAATCACCAATAGCTGAGCCTGGCTGATTATGTGGCACTGAGGTAGCGAAGGCCCCAAGAGCAAATTTAGCATAAGGACCCCTGAAAGCAAGGGTTGGCCCTGATGGGGACAATAAAGTATAGGCTATTAAACTTCTATGCTGTATTTATTGTTAACCCATAATTAGCTTGCTATCCTATCTTTTATTGTTTAGAAAATGCTATTGCTCAAACATGCATGGATAATGTATTAAACTAGACATGTTTTTGACATGGGAACAGTGCTATGAAATGGTCGAAAGCATAATACCCCCTCTCCCTTAATTTGAACTATTACTGTTTTGAGCACCACTACACTATCTTATTTTGTTGTGATCTTCTAGTGAATATCTTTTGACTGAAAAATAACTTCTGTCTTTTATGACTTGTATAGAGGATTGAACATGAAGAGAAGATATTCTATGGCCTGCGAGCACCAAGGGAAATATTTGAAGACTACTTGTACCTGCTCAAAGTGTCAGACTCCTGTAACTGGACTGGAGATCTCAAAGGAGAAGTAACACAAGCTACAAGGTACTACTCACAAAACACACACATGCATGCAATCATAGCTAAGTCTTGGATATTCACCTTTGACCTTTTAAAACTGAAATCAGCCTTGGGTTTATTACATAAAGGATGTGAAGGAAGGTTTGCAAAGTTGTTTCTCTAACTCTTACCATTTTTTTAGAATACGGATTGTACATTTTATTCTCCACAACACCTACACCACAACTGGAGGTGAGTGCTTATAGTTTCCAGAATTTTTTTATCTAAATTTTTAAAGGTGCATTACATAAGGGTCTGCTGAGGGTTTGCTGATCTCCATAGAGATATTATTGCTTGCTTGGAATTTTCTGTGGTGTGGCATTGACCATGCTATGGAGACGAACAGGGGAATCCACCAGGCCAAGTTATAGGTCAGATCAGTGGAGAGGATGTAAGAATGTATGTTCAAGGTAATTCTTTTTTAGCAATAAAAATCCTGTAACGGAATAAATAGATATGCTTACATCCATAATGTGGAACATTCCAGGCATAGCAAAAACATCTCCATAGAGACAAGTGGATAGTGTACTTTAAATACATAAAAACAGCTTCATTAGAGTCAAATAAGCTTGTTTCCTATATTTTTTCTACACAGAGAAGCTGAGTGAACTGTTAGAGCATGATGTGTTTGAGACAGCGTTCTGCCTTCATGAGGTATGTTTCAAATTGTAATGATTGTATGCTATATGCCTTTGTCATAACTTGATTTTCTGGGGCTGTTATAGAGAAGGGAGCAGAAGTTATTGAGGAAGAGGTGGGCTCGATGGACTGGACTTTTCACAGGACAGCCACTATATCATGTCAAGTGAGTTTCTGTGTTTTTAGATTAGTGGTTCTCAAACTTTTCACATCAGGTACCACCTAATATAGTATTTGGCTTTCCGAGTACCACCAGAACTAAACTCGGACTTAATCAGGTCTATGTTAGGGCTAAATAACTTTCCTGGTAGATCTCTCATCTGCTTGTCTCCATGGAGATGATAATGCTATGGCTAGAGTGTTGTGGCTGGCATGTTCCACAGTATGGCATTAAAGTTATCTTTTTTCATGTGGACAGGAATTACTTTGGAGAGAAGGTTGCCCTCTACTACCTATGGTTGGGATGGTACACAAAGCTGCTAGTGCCAGCAGCTGCTCTGGGAATTGTGGTTTTCCTCTATGGTCTGGCCTTTTTTCGGACCAACCCTCTAATGTAAGTGTGTTGCCTTGTATAATCTAATTAACAGTGATGTTGATCAGAGTGGATTTCATACTGTGCAATCTGATCTTGTAACTTGTTAAAATCTTGTTATTCAAGTCTGGTGTGGTAATAACTTAACACTCACAATAAAAATGTTTTCTACTGTAGACTCATCTTCTTTGTCTTATCTCAGCAATGAAGTATGTGAGTCCAGTACCATCATGTGTCCACGCTGTGACAAAAGGTGTCAAGTGTGGCAGCTCTCAGATACATGCACATATGCAAAGGTATTCTTATCGGTTATTTTTATTCTATTTCCTGTTGTGGTTAGATTTTATTTATTTATTTTTTTTAACTATGTAACTTTTGAGGTTGGAGGTCTCTCACCTGCTTGTCTCCCCATATTTTTGCTTTGTCTGGATGGCAAGTTTCAATTAAACGTATCTATCTTGTGGGGCTGTGGTCCATTAGTCGATTAATCGATCAGTGGTGTCTTGGTCAACTAAAATTTGTATTAGTCTACAAATTATTTAATTTTCATTATAAGGAATTATATGGGACAACCACAGAAAAGAGAAGCTAGGGAGTGGATTAGCTGAGGATTTGGGAGTGATTGGTAGTAGTTTTGGTATTTTGAGAACAGTTATATTTACATAGTCATATCAAAAAAATAATGAATTGTTTGGGAGATTTTGCCATGCCCTTTTTTCAGTCAGCGGAACACGGTGACAAGGAGGTAAAAAAGGTGGTGAAAAATTACAGAGAACACTTTTAATTAACGTGAAAATAAAGTCCAGGCAAGAATAAACAAATGACACAAATCTGTGTTAAAAATGCATAACTTCAGTTACCTTACATAGTACCTTTGCAAAGGGTCCAGAATTTGATATACTATCCATATGATTAGTGCACAGAATTTGAAGGGCTTATGACATAATTGTGGAATATTGAAATGTGTTATTTGTCTTCACAGGTCAGCCTTCTATTTGACAATGAGGGCACTGTGGCGTTTGCTATGTTCATGGCCATCTGGGGTGGGTACCTATTCTATTTCCCACTTCCTGGATTTTTTTCACAATGTTTATTTACTTTATTTTATTTTGTTTTATTTGTATTTGTTCCAGCGACCTTGTTCTTAGAGTTATGGAAAAGACACAGAGCAAGGCATGTTTCTCAATGGAAGGTGTATGACTGGTGTGAGGAGGAGGTAAGCACTGTATAAGAAATCACATAATAACAATGACACAAACATTGCATTTGTAGTCTTAGCCCATATATCTTATGCTAATGTATGATCCCCAGTTCTGTCTTACAACCCTAGTCTATTTTATACAAATCCAGTGTGGTGAAAGTTTAATGTAGACATCAAAATGTTGTTGTGCCCCTGGACAAGACAAACCCTGTTTTCCTCTTAAAGAGAAACATTGTTTTGCATTGTTTTTAGATAGAAATCACTTAACACTAACCATTTTTGTGGGTCCCAACAGGAAGAGCTGATATTGGAAATCGTCAACAATCAATTCTGCAAGCCTAAACAATTCCGACACTCTTACCTTCGCAGCATACTTGTCCTTACTTTGGTTACCCTCATGGTGAGAAAAATCCAAACCAAAACTACCAAAAATACATTCATCCACTGCAGTTGTTTCACAGATAAATATGATATAATATATGTATATACTTTTTATAGAGCCACTTAGATGTACTGAAAGTTGGTAGCCTTATTTAGAGCAAAGATCAAGCTTCCGCTAGTTCAGGGAAAGGTCACTGACAACTCACAATTACAGGAATGTGCACAAACAGCTCCAGACAACATCATTCTCCACATTTACACTTAAGAACTATCTTAATGAAAAAAATATCTTTTCAAAATGCAGAGGTGGGAAAGTTACCCTACAGCAGCATCTTACCAGTTTATGCATAATTCATCTTGTGCTGTTCTAACTGGTACATTTGATCTTGAATTGAAGAATTGGATTTAATGACATTTCAGTTTTTATGGACAGGCTATTCTGATTTGATAGCGAGAAGTGGCCAACTAAGATAAAACAATCAGGAGAACATTAAAGGTTATATACAAAAATTATGCTATTGATTCTGTTTTAGCAGCAATACATATTACTTTGTTTCTGAGAGAACCACAAACTTTACAAAGACAAGTGGATTTGGGCATGATTGATTACACGGATTAACCAATTAGACATCTACTCCGTTCACATCAAAAACAAACATGGCTGTATATACGCTAAAAAAAAAAGATATAAAGGACTGAGAATAGTTGTATATTTTGGTCTGAATGTTCTGGCTCGTGCTACAAATTTGCAGCTGTGGTTGGACCATTTCCAGTGTGGATGAAATGGTTGAACAGAATGTAAAAGGGACTGGCTGGTCGGGCAAATGGGGAAGTGCTTTTGCATCAGTAGAATAGGACGGATGTGTGTTCTTAGCCCATGTAGAGCATGAGTTGTGATAACTGTGATGTCTTTCAGCTGATGACCATCATAGGCCTGACTCATGCTCTGGTGGTCTTCAGAGTGGTGGCGGCCCCTCTCATGTCAGAGGGCGACTGGGCGTTTATAAGGGACCACGCTAATACTGTGGCTGTGATGCTGGGCGCTGTACTGCACTATCTCACCATTCAGATCATGACCAGGGTAAGTGAAAAGTAAACACTTGTGCATCTAATAGATACACATTGGTTACTGTAGGAAAATGATTTCTACTATAATAAAAGGTTCAGGGCATTTAACCATGTTAGGGGAGAATTAGTTTGTTTCATTTTAAGGTGTATAAATTAGCTCTGTTGCACTTTAAACCAAGAGTCGAGCTACTGCTGTTGTACGAAGTGGAGATTGGGCACATTTGGCTGCAAAGTGGAGCTTTGCAGGGCTGAGTAATTGTTTTTTGCACTGTTAAAATTGTATTAATTTACAATAACAACATGTTTAAATTGGTTAATGTTAGGGGTTTGGGGTTGATAATCGAGTACTAAACCCCAACAGAAGTGGAGCTAGTGCGTAGTGGAGCTCCACTTTCTTCTAGACCCTTCTCCTTGGAACTATAACAATGATTTCTGTTTTGTCCCAGTCAAATAAATGCATATAAAGAAATACAAATTTACCCCTTGAATATTCAAATACGTCAGTGTCAGCCGTAGCCTGTATAAAGAAGTGGACTAAGCTCATCAAGACTAGTAGTTGGGGGGAAATTTGTAGCCGAGGAATAGACAAAGTCACAGAAAAATAGCAGGAGAAAAACACCAAGATCACGTAGAGCGGGCTAATAATAACATTGTAATGGGGCTGGAGCTGATGGAGCTGGAAGCACACCCATGCTCACTTCCCATTTGGAGTGCAGCTAGGAGGTTAGCTATGTCCATTTATTTATACAGTCTATGGTGCCAACATTACTGCTCCTCTGTATTTTTGAAGTTAACAGAGCTTCATTAGACTGATTCTGATATTGCTAGCGCAGGGCACTAGACTCTTAATCAAGCATTCTCTGTGGAACTGAAAGTGCAATTATGCTAAATTTTTTCATGCAAACATTTTAAGTTATGAACTATGAAACATGAAATACCCAATGTAAAGGTGTTCGGAATTACCAAAACAACAAAGAATCACACACAGTGTAGTTTTATAGTGCTTTTTTTTTTTTTTTTTTTTTAAATATCTGTGCCAATCTGTAACAGAGGTAACCTATCTGACCTACTTTGAGTGACAACTAGCAATCAGAGTGCTGCATAAATTCCAGAAGAACAATGCAATGACAGTGTTCAGATCGAAAGTATGTGAGGATGTCAGACATGTAAACAAAGCAATATTTTTAGTACATTATCAAGTACATTATCACAGAACATAAATAATAACATCGTAATATTAAAAAAGGCTCAGTGATATACTTGATCTTTATAGACTGTATTGTTCTATTGTTCATATAGGTAAACAGATGGGTGGCCCTCAAGCTGTGTGACATCGGTGAGATTGTTTTCCAATAGGCAAAAATAATTCAAAGGTAACATAATCATTTGACCCAGTTTGTTTTGTGTTTGTATTTACAGAGAAGACCAACTCCTTTGCATCAACAGAGAGGAGCTTCACAGTCAAAATGTTTACTTTCCAGTTCTTCACTCTCTTCTCCTCTCTGTTTTATGTGGCCTTCTTTCTGGGCAGGTAAATACATCCAACAAAGGTTCATTTTGCTTTCATTGATTTACCTGTTACAGTAACAAATATATTTTTGTAAAAAGCGTATCATTAGTGGTATGGATGTTACGCAATAGAATTATCAAGTCAGTATTATCAGTATCACATATATCACTGGAATAAGTGTGGAAGAGCTTTTACTGTAAACATTTCTTGCCAAATAACTCTATCACACATAGAATTTATACTTTAAAGTCATACGTTTACTGTTATAGCCTCATAGCAATACTACGATTAAAAAAAAAAAAAAATCATTAATATTATGTTTATGGTGAATTTACTTTACACTTTATAATCATGAATCATTTTCTGTTGTAAGGATAAATGGGCATCCAGGAAGCTATACAAGAATTTCAACGTGGCGACTAGAAGAGGTGAGCTATGTTTTTGTATCTGTCCCCATTCAAATAAACCAAATAAATAAATTCATTCCCATGTTAAAAAGCCCATATTCTGCTATTTTCTGATCTATGTTAAAATGTTGTTATGTTTCTTTATCATAAACATCCCCAGAGCTGTGTTTGTTTTGTTTTATTCACACATGCTTAACACACAAACCCTGCATATTTAGGCTGAGTTTTGTTCTCAAACAGAAAACACTCCACCTTCCACCTTGTAATGTCATGTGGTAATAAAGGGAGGGCTCCACTATGTTTTTAAATTCCATACACCATTACTAATACAATTTGGGTGATATGAGCTCTGGAAAGGTACCTGTAAACTTGCAAACTACCACTACACAACATAACAAAGTGAAACAGGGCACATTCAGATTTGGAGATGTGTCCTTTAATAAAGGATTACTCAAACAAAACACAACTCCAGGTATGTTTTTGAGGAGGTAACAACATTACAGCAAGCTCAAAGAATCAGTTTTGTGTAATATAGACCTTTAATATACAAACCAAACCTTTCTATTTTTTCACTTTCTATGATTAACATGTCTTCATCCTCACCAGTGCCATCCCAGCGGCTGCCTGACCGACCTGTTCATCCAAATGGCCGTCATCATGCTGCTTAAACAGACCCTCAACAACATCTTTGAGTTCACTATCCCGTGAGTGACTGCTGCTTCACTGTCTGTAATCAGTTGTGGTCACGATCTAGATAGAATTTAATGATGTCATAATTTCAGATAGAGAGCAGGGGCTTATATCATTCTAGGGCAGATTTGCTGTTTTTGGAAGAAATGTACTTATGATACTTATGATCCACAAGTGTTGAACTTTATCATTATTTTTAGGGATTAGCTCCACAAGCTTTTCATATTAATATTATGGCTGACAGATTAATATGGCTATAAATGGCTATACTAACAGAAGACATTGATCCTACTGCCAGTTCTTGTTTTATGTGGACTTGCCCCAGTAATTACAGAGATAGCAGATCTACAACAAATTCCACCATAGAATTCTTACCTGTCCTTCAGATCTATGTTATGTCACACAGGTGGAGTTGTGTTTTGTTTTATTCAAACATGTTTAACACACAAACCCTGCATATTTAGATAGATAGATATTATTTGCACATATTAAAAAAAACATTTTGAACAGATAGAAACAGAAATGACTGTGCAGAAGAGAACGAGAAGACCTTATCAGTCTTATAAAATCACCTCACCTATAAACATTTAGGCTGAGTTCTTTGAAACAGAGCATTTTGAGCTAATTAAGACTTAATAATGCAGCGTTACTCAAACGTGTGAAACAAAAACACAACTCCAGGAATGTTTTTGATGAGGTAATAGCAACAATATGAGGACCCCCTTGAAAACGAGATGTCGAGACATCTCAAGGTGCTTATCCTCCAAACAGATAAATTCAAACAATTGACAAGAGTCAATTTTGCATTATATGGGACCTTAAAACTATTGTAGAATGTTGGGATTTCACGTGAATACAGCCTCTTCATTGTTTTTTATAATTCTTTTAATCTGTTGCAGATGGGTGAAGAGTTTGTTCAGTAGAAACGCTTCGAAGACCCTGAGGAGAAAATGTGGTCACTGCTACAGAAAGGCCTGTCGCGATGAGCAGGGCCGCGTGGAGCCCTGTGACATCTGCAAGCTGAGGGACTGGCTCATGAACTATCACCTGACCAACACAGACGCCTTCAGCCTCTTCAATGAGTTCCTGGAGATGGGTGGGTTATATACTATAGTGCTAAAGCAATGGTTGACAAATTTTTACCACCGAAGAAAATATTTAGCCTTCCAGGTACACAATTTAAATCAGGCCTATAATGGAACTTTTCTAGGTCCAAATTTGAGCTAAACCAGATTGAAACAAGTTTGCAAGTTTCTTTAAGTGGTTTGAAAACCACTTAAAGAAACTGTAGCTTGCTCTCTTAGTTCCAAAAAAGGTATTACAGTCCCAATAGAACCTGGGTTGCCCGAGGTTTAAGAGGACACATACATAGACTACAGCTGCAGATGGTGCACAAGCACTGATTAATGACTGGCTGCAGATGCTGGGTTATAGGTAGTGTGGACTCAGATCAGAGAGAGTGCTTTTAGGATATTAAATTGAATACATGCAGCTATCTGTACCCATTCATCTACTACAGCATATTTGATTTGATATTATGGTAAGTTAATAAACTCAAACTACTGTGATGGTTTACATTTGACATCTCATATCTATTAAATGTTTTCACCACCACATTTCACCAAAATTGGTATATAAATATAGTCTAATAATTTCCTTTTTAATAACCATATATTTCATGTTTACAGTGGTCCAGTTCAGTTTCACCACTATATTTGTGGCAGCATTCCCTCTGGCTCCACTGCTGGCTCTTCTCAATAACATCTTTGAGATCCGTCTAGATGCAATCAAAATGGTGCGCCTGGAGCGCCGCCTAGTGCCCAGGAAAACAAATGACATTGGTAAGTGTGTGAGTGCACAAAGTGTTTTCCTCCTTTGTTTCCTTCACACATGTTTGAGTAACTCTTTTTTTATTAGTATGGCTATATCTCCAAAGCTCAAAATGCTCTGTTCAACCTTGTGATGTCATGTAGTGGGAGTATATCATCTTGCAGTTAAAAAAATGGCAGTTAGAACAATATTTTTTTCAGACTCAGTAATTATCACGCGTACCTTTTTTTTTTTGCAATAGTAGTAGGCAGTCAAATAATTAGCATCTATAACACATTATAGACTAAGTACTAAAGTGTTTAATTGTAATTTTTTTTATTGTTGCTCACAGTTTTACAATATGGTTCACTTAGAAATTTTTTGACTGGAATTATCTTGATTCTGACTTATTGTGTCAGTGGTATAAAGTAGTATCAGTATTATCATGTATCGTGATATTTTTCTGTTGCAACACATCATAATTTAGAGTGTGTTTTCGTGACAGGTCTAATGTCATATGACTGTGATGTTTTTAGGTGTTTGGACCCAGGTGTTGGAGGCCATCGGGGTGCTGGCAGTCATAGCCAATGGTCTGGTCATCGGGATCACGTCTGACTTTGTTCCACGTCTCGTCTATCGTTACCGCTATGGGCCTTGTGCCATTGGAAATGCAACCACAAAGTAATATTTCAATTATATCTTATTTCACTCATTTCATATTCTGCAAATAAGGCAAAAAAATATCTAATGAGATATATTGAATAGTCCTCTACAAACTTTACAATGAAGTATTTGGCTTTATATTAGGTAGATTTATCACACATGCCGAACATTATGCGTAGTCAGTGTTGTCGGTGCAATCCTTCAGTCGTCCCAGTCATCCAGGTACAGTCCATAGCAAAAGAAGCTTTAATTCTGTCAACTGGACAAATATTTTAGAGTGAATATGTGAATATTTATCCAAATAGCTTCTTCAGTTCTAACAGGGCTCTGGTAAGGGACCGACTCTGAAGAGAATCACTAACTTAGAGACTGACTGATATGTTGACTGATATATTTGTCATGCTGATACCAATTGTTTAGAATCCAGAACAACTGATGGCTGGTTAGCCCTGCCGATATTTTTGTGTAAGGCCTATTTTGATTTGAATTTATCCTCAAATTATGTAATTTAAATGTTCTATAAACCAACCCCACTGCCCTTTTTAACCACAATCCTGGGAGAGCAGTGTAGCTACATTTTGTCATGTTATCTCTTTACATTAAAACGTTCAGCTATATTTGTGGATTCTTTAGGCAGCCGGTCGGCCAAAACTAAATACCGGCCTATGCTAGAAATTTAAGACTGAGTGAATACACTAAAAAGTGCAAATATTGACCTAAACTATCTCTAGTGTTACACCTTTTTTTTTGTTATTTGTTCATGCTAAAACTCTGCTCAGTTGACCGATTTCAACCTTCTATTGATCTTGAATATCAATATTAACCATATTTCAAACAAACAACAGAACAGAGTATAAACTTGTTTTATTCACGCATGTTTGGTTAGTGCTTCTCTTTCTGACTAGAAGGAAAAAAAAGTATATAGGTAGTATTATAGGCCCAAGGACAACTATGGAACCTACCTGGGCCACTGATAAAACACCACATGGTAATATAAAAAAGTACTATTGTTTAATGTTAAAAATCACATTCTGTTGTCAAAAGAAAGAATATTTTTATTATCGTTGTAGTATCAGAATCTGTATTGAGTATCATCAGGTCTATTCCTTAGAATCAAAATGGAGTTTGGAATTTTAGTATCGTAACAACACTACTTCATAGCATTTAACAGCCCATGAGCTCTATTTTAAACTATTATTTTTATGCATCAAGTAACTCGTCTATGTAATATTTTATATTTGTGTTAGTGTTTTCATTATGTTGTGTTTCATGCTGTAAAGCACTTTGGTGCAACTTGTTATGGTTGTTTTTAAATGTGCTATATAAATAAAATGACTTGACTTGACTTGACATTCCATAACTATTTTCCCCTTGATCGCAGTTGTATGTCAGGCTACATCAATGACACGCTGTCCACGGCCGACTGGTCCCATGAGGCCGTGCAGAGGGACTTCCATCCGAACCAGATGATCACCGAGACAGGCATCAATGTCACCCAGTGCAGGTACAAATCATGCTGTGAACTCATGTTACTTACACCACAAACGTTAAACGTAAAGGGCCCATATCACATGTTTCATTCACACATGTTTAACATTCAAACCCTGCATATTTAGGTGGAGTTCTTTTCTCAAAATGAAAATACTCTGTTCCACCTTGTTATGTCATGTGGTAATACAGGAAGTGCTCCACTGTGTTTTTGAACTCCATACACAGTGACTAGAATCATTTGGAATATTTCAGCCCTGGAATTGCCAATCTCTACTGAACTTAAGATAAAAAGTAGCTGTTAAATTGAAAACTACTGCTTCATGACATCACAAGGTGGAACAAAGCATTCTGAGCTTTGGAGATGTAACCAAGGTAATAATAAAAGGTTACTCAACCATTTATGAATGAAAACCAAAAAAACACAACTCCATGTATGTTTTTGAGCATGTAACAGCAGTATAACATGGCTCACAATAGTTAATTTTGTGTAATATATTACCTATGTAAAGAAGTCTTTTTACCCACAGTTATAGAGATTACCGGAGCAATGAGGACTACTCTCTGACCTCTCAGTTCTGGTTGGTCCTGGCTGTGAGATTTGCATTTGTCATCCTTTTTGAGGTAATACATATTCCACGATTATTGTAGATAGATAGATACTTTATTGATCCCGAAGGAAATTTAAAGTTTGTAGGGCTGCATCTAACCATAATTTTACTAATCAACTGACTCATCTGGGTCAAAAGTAATAAAGCAATTTAACAACTAAACCTAAATGTCTTCTTCACTTCTTTACAGCATGTGGTCGTGGTGTGTAAATTCATAGCCGCCTGGTTTGTTCCTAATAATCCCATACAAGTGAAGAACGAAAGGCTCCGTGACAAACTAGCACGGCTTAAAGAAGAACTACGGTAAGCAATACCAAAATTATTGATTTATATTGTTTTTACAGATTTGTACCATATGGAAAAAATATACATGACAGTCAAAAGTTTGGACACATTTTTTCATTCAATGTTGTTTTTATTTATTTTGTGACTATTTACATGGTGGATCCTCAGTGAAGGCATCAAAACTATCAATGAACACATATATGGAATGTAGTAAGCAAAAAAAGAGAAATACCTCTTTGCATTGATAACTGCTTTGCACTCTTTGTATTCCACTACTGGACCCTAACAAGGCACATCAGTGAAGTGAAAATGATTTCAGGTGACTTCATCATGAAACTCACTGAGAAAGCCAAGGGTTTGCAGTGCTGTCAATAAAACAAAGGGTGGCTGCAATGAGGAATCTGAATTTAAAGATTATATAAGGATATATATTATGCTAAATTGACTCTAGTGAGCTTTTACCAATTTAATAATGTTGGTACCTCATCAAAAACATCCCTCAACTAAAACCACAAAGGAGAACGTCTTGTATTACTATTTTCTGTTTAAAGAACTCAGCTTAAATCTGCAGGAGTTGTGTGTTAAGCATGTGAGAATGAAACAAAACACAACTCCATGTATGTTTGTGATGAGGAAACATTATAACAGAGATCAGAAAACAGCATAATATAGGCCTTTTAAATTATAAAACATATTAGTAGTTTAACTTTTATTTTCTTGCTACATAATTCTGTTCATCTTGCTTCTGCATGTATCTACTATGTTGAAAGCAGTAAACCTAAATGTGAATGCCTGTCCAAACTTTTGACTGGTAGCGTATGTATCACTTAGAAAAGAAAGAAAATATGTTTTGTTTAGAAATTAACACAAAAATCTAAACTCTTAGAAATTAACACAAAAATCTAAACTCTTCTTTTTCAGTGAAATGAAATGCAACAAATCCACAGAGGTCTAACATCTCTCATGGTTTAACACAGCGTACTCCTTTTTGTATGTCTCTTCAGAACAGATGCTATAAGTATTCACACTATTAGGTAACATTACAGTTTATACTCAGGTCAGTCAAGATTTTAGAAGAGATTATTGACTTGAAAGAAACCTTTACTGTTTATGTTTTGTGATATAACCTATTTATAAAGTCTTTAGAGAATGTGTTTGTGCTGTGTAAATATAAAAAATAAATTAACTGTAAATTGTTAATGTTAGAAAAGGCTTTCATGTTTACTGGTACACTTCATGTATTTGTTTTAACTGCTTAAGAATCTAGTCAATGTATTGTAACTCATAAATGTTGTCAGTGTTCAGAGTCCTCACCTCCTAAAATGTGACACTAAAATTTACACCTAATTGACCAATTGTAAACTAAATTGTACTTGAATAATATTGTAAAAACCTCAATCTGCCATTTCATTAACTATTAAAATGTGTGTTTTTTACTGTTATTTTATTGTTACGAACTGTTATCAATTGGTAAAAATGTTAAGTAATAGAATATGACCGGCAGAGGGCGCCATCAACATCTGGGCTATAGAACTACTCCAGGTATTGACTATTATTGAGTTACTCTTTATACTGGGTTTATAATTAACTGTTTTTTTCTGCCCTCTGGTTTAGCTATTGGTTTATTTTATTATCTTACATTAATTCAAAACACAAATTTTAAAACCATATTTACTAGAAGCCATAATTAAAGTAAAACAATACATCCAGTATTTATCTGTTCTTTTCAAGCTTCTCAGCAAATAATGTATGTTATACTCAATACTAACATCAGCTTATAGCAGCAGGGATCATAAGCATGTAATGTGGCATTAAATCTCATTAAGCATCTGAAAATACAAATATGACTTCTGTTCACTGAAGTTGTGTTCAGACAGAGATTGCAGTTACACAACAGACTGATGGGAAGTTGTGTTTATCATCAAAAACAAGTGTTAATAGATAAGCAGGAAATACTGTGGACAAAAACACTGACCGTTAACTCACAGACTGAGTTTTGGCAGAAGGGGTCCACTATGCCTGTAAGTCCATGTTGCCACATCAAAATGTTACACACATGCAAATCAAACCTTGAGTTCTTTCTGCCAAGTCCATTGTTTGACTGTAGTTACATTTCAATCTCTGCTGATGCTCCTCGGGTTCTCTGCATCCTTGACCAGAACACGCTTCATTGTAACAAACTGGGAATTAGATGGTGACGTCTGTGAAGTCTCGACGAGAAAATCCTTTCTGCAAGAAATATTCAAACATTTTCTCAGGCATGTGCAATATAACAAAAATAAACAGTGTAATGACTATTTATTTATTTAAAAAAACAATATTTGTTTTCAATGTAATTATGTCATCTACAGCTAGGCTCTTTTGATATAGCCCTGTTTATAAATGGTACCAAGACAAAACAGCATAGGTACGTAGGTGCTGACATGAACATTCAAACTATGGTATGTTTTTGTTGCAAATTCACACGTTACGTCAGTAGCAGTTGTAGGTCAGAAGCTTATATCTAAAGTCGTGTCTAATGTGAGCGTCAACTTTGTTTAAATTATTGTGTTTAGGTATATTTATCTTTTTAGCCACTTCTGAATGACTGAGAACCATATGCAATCCTAATTTAAAACAGACTATCAAAATTCCCATGTTAACAGTGGCCTGTTTGCTGAGCTGGGTCACTGTGGACTATCTTATGTTAGAGCCCTCACTGTTAAACTCAGACCACCAAATGCTGTGTGCTTTCATTTCTCCCAGAGGACAGGAGCCAGGCAAACCCTCCAGATCCCATCCAGATTCTCCACATTCCTGCTGAGCGCAATCACCCAAAAAACAGTCAACAGAAAGAAGCTCAAACAGACAGAGAGAGGTGGCTTTGGGACAAATCAATCATGGAATAGACAAATGTGCACAATAGGGGTGGGACAAGATTTTAGAGATAAGATCTATTGAGATAAAACTGACTGTGAACATGTGGAAAATGTTCTTGTGAGATTTTTCTGTTTGTGTTTACATCTGGCTCAGGCATAAAAGAGTTCACTGAGTTACTTCAGTCTTTTCAGAAGCTGTAGTTCATAAAAAGCAGTGCTACAATGACAGCAAATAATACTTAAAAGTGCATTTGACACTAGCACTGTAGTTGACAGTTGAAATTGAGTTGAAATTCTTGGTTGACTAAAGTCCTGCCGATCGATTAGTTGACTAAAAAAGGGGCGTGGCAAAAGCTCTCAAAAGTTTTACTCCCCTATTTGACTCAAACTGCACTCCCAAGACTAAATCTGCACCGGAGTTCATTCAATGCAGAGCAATTCATGCAGAAAAAAATCTCAGAAATGTATGTACAATGTAGTAAATAGATTAAACTTGTGAATCATAAGCTTAACCTGCCTTTTTACATAATTACCAAACAATACCAAATCTTCAGCTATCTCAGTAACTTCTTTCTGCTATTGTCTCATATAAATACTTACAATGGTGGTAAATATATATAATAGTTTTAAATAATTCAAGTGGTAGTTTGTAAGGAAAAAATTAGAAGATAAGTACAAAAATACAGAAGAATTCCATCCAAAACAGTGGGACAATTACGTGAAAGGTGTTTTTCTGGCATCTATATTGAAAACAATAAAGGTGGTCCTATTTATTTTATCAGTTTTATCATAACTATAATGGAAAATAGATTAACTTTGGCCCTTGTTTACATTATGGTTGCTAGGTTACCACTACATGTGTCATATCTGCTGTCTGTGTCCAACCAGCAAGTTAAACTTCACCTCATTTAAAAAACTAGAAAAAAATAGGTATGATCTTGTAGTCAGTAATTTTATATTCATTTCCATTGAGTTTTCTTTTATTCATTTGTATTTTTTCATATTGTAGCATAACTCAAGCACCTTTGTTCACTCTATCTGATGAAACAGTATGAACACTAAAAACACTAAAAATAAGCATGTTGCACCAGTCTTGATTTCACATTTTATGACATGACAATGAGCAATGGATAGTCACTCCCAACTCCAAGAAGAATTTCACTTAAACATAATTGCTCTCAGCTACAAAGAAAATATTTGACTTTGCTGAGCCAAAATCCTGTGATAAGGCTAGGGGGCTAACCAGATCCAGACGTCAGGATCCAGGGTAGGGAGGGAAGGTGGGCGGGACAGAATTGAATGGAAACGGAGCAGAGGAGGTCAAGTGGGAACCCAGCGGATGTGTGCAGACATCAACTGAAAAGCCATCTGGAAGTTTGTTAACACCCACTTGAAATTGTTATCATTCTGACACATAGAATATTACAGTCAAAGGGATTGTACCTGTTTTGAATGTATTCATGTTAAGATGAATGCTCTTCACTTGCACTGTATGGTAAAAGTTGTGGAAAATAAATTGAGACTGTAACCTCTTCATTTCCATAGCTTTCTCTCAGGTAATAACTAATTCAGAAACTACTAATGTGGTCTCTTTTTTGCATGACATTACCCCAGACAGTTGTTTCTGTGTCACGATGCAATATCACAGTGGCAGAAGTGGCGGGACAAAAATATGTTCTTGAATCATGGTATGATATCAGGTACAGGACCTTTAAGCTATGTGTATAATTAGTAATGCGTAAATGTTAAGTACAACAGAGTACAGTTAGCATGTTTGGCAACAACAGTTTAAGGAGCATACACCCAAAGAATGTCCTTCCTTTAGCCTCTGAGGAAGTCCACTGTGTCACGGCAGCTTCTGATGCTAATAAACACATGATTCACTGTCTACAACTGAGTCTCAGCTAAGCCAAAATCTAACAATTGAACAAGCTCTCAAATCACAAATGTGCCAAATATTTTTTTATTTTTTTTTTTATGAACTATTTCTGATATATTTCAATATTATAATGTTGCTGTTCAAAAGAAGCCTAATTTGTGTTTAATTACGTCTATTCCATACAAACACATAGCTTTATAAAACATGAAAAAGTTGAATAAAGCATAATATGAGCAACAGACTGTTTGGCCAATAAAATACCTAATGTAACTTTAATACTTGATTATTTTAAAGGTGCAGTGTGTAACTTGACCACCTTCCATGGAGATGTTATTGCGTTACCTGAAATGTTCTACAGTATAGAATTAAAGTTCTCTATTTCTAGTACTCACAGTAAGAATGCGTGTTTTCCAAGACATTTCTTAGCAATAAAACCACCACCTACTATTTAATCAATGCATGCTAGATAAATTTAATGCCATATTGTGGAATATTCCAGGTAAATATCTTCAATGTGGAGATGGTGTGAACCCCACACCACAAAAAAGGCATAGTTCACCTTTAATATCTAATACGAAGTGAAAATAAACATGTAAACATAGTTAGCATAGCAAACTAGTAAACTCGGTTTGGACCGCACATGATTTCGAAAACCATGATGAATTTCTATGGGATAAACTTTTTCTGTGTCAATAAAAGTCAAGTTTAATTTATATCCCACACATGGATTTCTTAAGAAGACACTAACTTTTGGTATTTAAAACTTAAGACTCAGTGATTTGTAGCTACGCATTTGTGGAGTCAGCACAAAAATGACTCACTCAGTTAAAAGCATTGTCTAACTCAATGAGCAGCTGAATTTTGGATTTTTACAGTAATTACACTGCTCAATAAACCTTAGATGAACTGCTTAAATATCTTAATTTTAACCACAGCCCTTACTTCATCAATAAAAAACATGAGTTTTAAATCTTATATCTTGTGACATGATAGAGATTTTCTTTAACTTTCATTGTGGGTCACATGTAGGACAATGGAAAATCCAGAGCTGCAGCCTTGTAACGTTCCCTCACTTCCACGGTAATCTATCTTTATGAGACAGAACCGTGGCCGGAGCCTTTGTGGGGGGCTCTCTGTGCCTTTATCACAAGTTTGAAGAAGCCCAAAAGAAACCAAGCCAAACACACCACTTCTTAGAAAAACAAAGCAGAGGGGCCGTGATTTCCTGCAGACATCAAGTATCACCCCTTCAGTTAATGACTGTGCTGCAGTTTAAATGGAGCCCACGTCTTACAAGAAAATAATTTTGTTTTTAAAGGTCCGATATTACGTAAAATTGACTTGTGAGCTTTTAGCCACATTATACTCTTGTTACCTTCTCCAAAACATACCTGGAGTTGTGTTCTGTTTCATTCACAAATGTTTGTGTAGCTTTTTATTATTAGTCTGTCTCCAAAGCTAAAAATGCCATGTCACGTTGTGGTAGTTTTCAAATTAACAGCTAGCTTTTACCCTTTGTTCAGTAGAAATTGGCGATACTAAAGCTGAAATTATTCAAATTATTCTAGTGAAGGTGTTTGTTGTTTAAAAACAGTGAAGCACTTCCTGTATTATCACACAACATCACAAGGTGGCACAGAGAGTTTTCTGTTTGAGAGAAAAAAGGGTCTGTGTGTTAAACATGTGTGAATAAAACTAAACTTCAGGTATATTTATGATGAGGAAACAACATTATAACATGTGATTAGATAATAGCATAATACGGGCCCTTTAAAGCTTATTTGAATTAAACTTCACCCACTCTTGCTATTGGCCAGCCTAATTTAGTTTACTGTATATGTAAATTTCACAATATAACATTTTGGTTTATAACCCACCTCTTAGAGTTTATTATTAGATCTGGAAATTCTAACAATAGGATTTCAGGATTTTAACGTTAACCCTCTCAGGCTCAAATTAATTTTTAGTATCAGGAAAAATCTGATATTTGGGGAAAATTATAATATGGGGTAGTAATATACAATTCTGACTTTTTTATCCTTTGTAAACAAAAAAAGTATTTTGCACTTCTGGCAGGCCGTTTGTGTGTTCTTGCACAGTCTGCATTGCCCACGTTTATCAGCATGGATGGGAGAAAAGGCTCCTGAGTAAAAAAAGCTCATAAAATATGGATGTGGAGTAAGTAGGTACTTAGAATTTAGCTGTTGCAAATCTGCAACGCCTGCCTGGAGAGGGTTAATCAGACAACAAGATAAAAAGCATGTTTGTAAGCCAACTATTGTCATGACAATGCAAATGTGATGACTGAGTAGTAAGTAAAGACTAACAAAATGACACCAAAAGTAACTGCTTGATCGTGGGGAGACAATTGACAATATATGTCCACTTATATGTACTAACAGTTTTTCCATCATTACCAGTTTTGGAAAACTCACAGAAAGAGTGTGATACAAATGACAAACCACCTTGACAACACTATATAAAATCGCTTACATGGTATTAAATAATAATTGATGCTGTGCTCCTAAACACCCATTACTGTCAGAGGGTCCACTCTAACATCCAAGAGAAACTGAAAAGCTGGAACTTTTATTGCACTAAGTAGTTTCAAGTAATTATTCAGAACAATAGTTTTATCTCTTTTATTATCGTATATATACTGTAGTTGGCCAATCTTCTAAAAAGGTGAATTATGCGCAAGAAGTTTAAAAACAAAAATGTATCTCTTTTGGTTGTCCCGTTGTGCCAGGATGTGTGCATGACTGTGGTGGCCTAAAATGTAGAATAACCCCCTGAATAGATTTGGTAAATCAGTCCAAACAAATGGTGCAATGGAGCCTGGGCCTGGCAGGACGCTGGAGAACAGCACTGCTAGTGCACAGATCTAGAAGAGTGATGTGAATTTGTTTGAGTACAGAGGTGGCTTAGGTCCCAGGACAGAGCCAGTACTGTGGAGCTGGTGGAGGATGGTGGTGCAAACAGTGAGTTATGTTGTGGACACCCTTGACACTGTGAAGCAAAGCCTTAAAGAGTCCCTGTTACCATGGCCAACGCCTCTATTCACATTGGGTTCTGAAGCATGTGGTCCTCTCAAAACACTGTAAAAGAGAGGCCCTGGTCTGTAACCAAACAAGAGACAAGAGACCAGAGTATTCAGCTGACTTGATTTGGATTGCTGAAGTGAATAAGCAGAGCAAACTACGTAATTTACTAATAAGTACTAGTATGTATATTGTAAATATACTGCTTTTAATAGAATGACAACAGGTCATGGCTTTCTTCGTGTGTCTCTCGTGGTTGGCCAATGTTGTATCATGTACAGTTTATTTTGTGTTGTAGTGTGTACAGCTCCTGTAGCTCACTCTCAGATCGGCTTTTAATAACACGTTCATACTAAAGATGCACTATGGAACCTTTTTGGTGAAAAATTGGTGCTTGTCTCCATGGAGTTGTTATTGCTTTTCCTGCACAAATTCAGGCAGAACCAGACAACCAAAACAGATTTTTTATTTTTTTTGTTTTTAAACTCCTTATGCATAATTCACCTTTTTAGAGCTTTGACCAACTACAGCAAAAAGAATAATGAAATAGATAAAACTATTGTTCAGCATAATAACTTGAAACTATTTGGTGCATGAAATAGGATTTTCACAATTTACCCACCCATGAAATTCCAGCTTTTCGGTTTCTCTTGGATTATAGTGTGGGCACTCTGTCACTTGAACTATGGAACAATACACAGACGGTATTTAGGAGCACAGCAACAATTATTATGAATTATCATGTAAGCACATTAATTATGACATTAAACTGATCTAATTTGACGAACAAAAGCAGGCCACCAGTCTAAGTTGCAGATCAGGCAGGTGGAGGCCTAAGCCCGCTCAGAGTAAGAATGCATGTTTTTCAATGTATTTTTGATAAATAAATAAAACCACCCATAACTGGATCAATACAAGATAAATAAGTTATATTGTGGAACATTTCAGGCAATGCAACATAAAGATAAGTTGTGGTGGACCTTCCACGATAAAAGTTACACAGTGTGCCTTTAAGTCCTCTTATAAATTTAAATAATTATTAGTTTGTTTATTTTATGATTTGGATGGGTTTTTAAATGGTAGCCAAACACTGAAGAAAATTACCATAATACAATGACAATATTCTTCTTAGCATACTTTTATATGCTTTCCCTGTCATGGCCTTACTGTGTGTGGTCAGATAGATGCACAGGCTTTCCACAAATTAAATAGCAAATTCCCCAGTTATCAGTAATGTTTACCCAGAACTGTGATTTCTCTGAATAACTGTGTGTAATGAGTCTCACCAGTTTGTAGTCTCTGTGCAGTTTGCTGTATTGGAACATGTTGCAGAGGACAGTGGAGGCTGCCCTGGCTGCTTTCAAACTCCCAGCACTAAACAGAAAACACAATTTGAGTGAGAAACAAGCAAGAAGTGACAAGTCGGAAATTCCAATGCAATGAAATTTGTCATAAATCCTTAACAAAACCCAGCTAAATGAGCAAAAGGTTACACGTTTGCTCCACAATAAGACAAGCAAGGCATAAACAGGAAGCAGGGTTAATCTAAGGACATGGGTGATTAGCTTATTGTGATGTGTCTTACTGAGATGGGCCCCACCTGTTATCATGGGTGCTTTTGATGCCCACCAATTTGGGCAGACCATTGAAGTAAGAGATGTCCCGGGCTGCAAGGGAGCTACAGGTAACCAGGTGATTGAGTGCTCCGCAGATGTTGACAACTGCTTCGCTGGAGGGGGATTTCTGGAGGCCATCAGGGGGGAGTTTAGACACGAGGACGTTCACCATATTTTTGGCTGCAAAGGACCAGACATGTGGTCGTTTGTAAATAATTGCTGTCACAAAGTTGGGAAAAAATTATTTTAAAAATTCAAGTTGTGATTTCTAAAGCAGAAACAAAGGCATTTCCTAATAGAGTATCATTTTCACTGCTTGGTGAGTGTGTTTACAGAGAGAAACAGAAATTGTGAAATCATGGGAAAGGAGGCTTGCACTGTAAGCTGTATTTACTCTTGAACCTTCAGGCTAGTACATCATCAGCACATGTAGACATTTAATGGAGCTTAACGTTGCCACTAAATTTGAGGGGTTTTTTTTAATTCAGAGATTCTGGGAAATTCCATTCATGTGGGTGAAAAAAAAATTTATTAAAAGTTTAAAAGCTTGCTTCTTGCTTCTCTAAAAACTGTAAAAACCTCAGTATACTGGCAAATGTTTTTGGCCTTCAGCTGCTGAGTCTGAAAAATTGTGACTACATTTGTACTTCACTGGAAAGGAGGAGGCGTTTTTCCTCACACAGTTGAGATTAGGAAGTTAGCTAGGATTTTAAAAGAAGTTTGGACACAAAACAGTGTTCACAAACATTCTATACATGGGCCCACTCTTTTGCTGGCTCGTGGATGTCTCACCAAGATGGTCCTTGTTGGAGGCGTGTCGTGCCAGGTTTCGGAGCAGACCAGTGAGGGGCTTCAGCTCAGCGTCGTTATTGGAGTCCAGGAGCTCTAGCAGAATAGGCAGCATCCTCTCCTGCTCTAGCATCACACAGCTCAGCACTGAGGGCACTGCACACAGGAACTTTGTCAATAAAAAAAGCCAAGCTACTTTGTTTGTAGCATAGCATTGCAAGATGATGTAGAAGTACAAGTATATTAACCAGGAATATCAATGGGACCATGGTTGACAGCAAACAAAATCAAATGAAAACGTACTGGTTCAGTTTTTTTTCTTATATATGCATTTTTTACTAAACACAGCAGCATATGCTTTTGACCATAGAATTTTCCACAGTATGACAAGCAGCCAGTGATATCATCAGGCCAAGTTACATTTTAGACATAAGGAGAGGTGATCCTGGTCACAGTACTAATGCATGTTCTTCAGATATTTTAGATTTTTTGAGCAAAAAAAAACACCTGTAATTTGTGATGCTTGTTCACTACTAGACCATCTCCTACCCTAACCTGGCTGTATGCCAGCGGTATAATAGTGGACAGAGGATTCTAACCTACCCGTGAGTCTCCTGCCGTGATGTTCTGAAGAGCTCCGAGGGTTGCCTCTCGACTTGTGGAGCTGCAGTCATTGTTCTGCAGCACAGTCTTGTACACCCCAATAATCTTTGGGTGCCACAACCACTCGGCTCCTCTGGGCTGCCGGGATACTTCAGACAGAATGGACAGATTCTGGTTTCGCTGCTAGAGGGCACAGTAATCAAAAAGCGACAGAGATAAGATTACAAATTGTTAGCATAAAATATCACAATAACACCCAACTAACATGCCTCTCCTTCAGTGTATAAACAAATGAATGTAAGCTTTTATATGTATGATAGGTTTGTCGCTGAGGGGTTGATGGTTCAATGCTAGTCAGTGGTTGCTATTGAGGTGTGTAACGTGAGACAAGCGCTTCTCTATGTTGCATTGGTAACTGATCCTCCCTGTGGACTGGAGAATAGTTCTAGAGTTTCTGATTGCTTGGATGCTTCTTATGAGCAGCACCAGAGGAGCCTAACATGCATCACGTATTCCAACAAGGGAAAACAATGGAGTTTAGAACATTCAGGTAAAAGTGTAACTGTGAGTGCTAAACCAGGTTGATAATACAGTGATTTTCTTGTGATGCATACTTTCCAGTAAGCCTATTTTGGCTACTGATTTAGAAACTAAACCTCTAACTAAAGGGCTTCACAATAATCTATAGATTTATTATAATTCATTACCAATGTGGGCAGGTTGTTGAAATCCATGTTTTGTTGTAACATGGAAAGTTCTAGTGTTTAGTCACAAATAGAAATACTCAGATTCAACATATATGAATCTACTTATTATAGCAAAGTACAATGAATATCTCTGTCTGACCCCCATCTGGCAGTATGATATCATCACATTCTAAAATCTGAAAACAACCAATAGCTATTTTATTAGTAGAATTATGTGTATGTAAGATCAAATTCCTAAACCTGCAAATTTAAGATAATAAATAAATGAACTTCCGAAACCAACATTACCCCAAGGCCCAGCAATGAATAGCACTAATCCACCTATATCAGTGTTTCATAGCCACTTGTTACATGAACTGGACACAAACACTGCACTGTCCCTGGTGGCAAAGACAGGAGGTTGCCTACCCAGAGAGCTGAAAACAGACATCTAAACATTTAAACTGTTGTATGAATAATGCTTTTAACAGTTTTGAGGGAGTGCACTGAGTTTCGCATTTGAACGGTGCAACACTTAAACTATTTGGAGCCAAGCCAGCAGACCCTCCTGTTTCCTGACCCTTTCTCTCTGACCTGATTTTCCTTTGTCTAAATCAGGATAGTCGTAATGTGATGTCAGAAAAGCCTTGAACCTCCTGGGAATGAAAACTCACTCAGACGTGTAGAAACTCACATTCACAACACTCCCAAAGTATCCCTATTGGATTTAACACCAAAGACCATAAGTTTATGTATATTTGAAACCAGTGTAAAATGTTTTCTAATCTCAACATTTGAACCATACTTGTAATGGGATCACACTACTGAGTCCAGCTACCTTGAACAAGGTTTAAGCAGGAAGATGCCATAGAACATGTAATTATTCAATCTCACGTCTTTATCAATTTTAAAATCACAGCTAGCTTTATCTGTTTTTTAATAGTATAGTATAGTATAGTAATTATGGTAAGTACTCAACTGTATCTAGGGCTGGCAATAAATATAATTTTAATAGAGATCTAGATTCTGTCATGTCATGGCGTCAATCATATGCAAGGGGTATCCAATCCTCTGTCAGTAACAGCATGTGCTTTGGAGCAGAGTTTGAACTTTGGAGGAAAACATTTGGCTATTTTTGGTCACATTGGCACTGATTGTTTTGTTCTAAAAAAAAAAAACATTCAGTTTTTGTTTAAATGCTAGAGTTGTGAAGCTGCTTTGCTCATACCTCTGTGTTTTTTCGGTTGTAGAGGGTAAAACAGCCAATGGGCTCAATTTCCTTGTGAGCAGATGATCTCCTCGGGCCTTCCAGACGGATCTGTACTGTGGGAGGAAGCTCAGAGTATAGCTGGTAGGACAGATTCCTCAGAACGCACAAGCAATTCTCCAGCCCCTGGAACACAAGACATTTCTCAGTCTGATTCTGTTTTTTGAATAAAATGTAATGCACCATGTAGCTTTCCTCTAAGAAATATTTAGCTTATATTTGTATATAAGATTGTGGTGAGATATAGTGAGAAAATATACTGTTATCATAGGAGGCTGATGTGTTTATCTAGCTTCTCCATCTGGTGAGAGGCTCATCCACATGTGCGCAAAGTATTCTGGGGTGTGTTGCTTGTTGACAGGGCTCTAACTCAAGTCAAATGTGCCAGACCACAATGAGGGGGGAAGAATGCAAGCTGGCTTTGCAACCATCAAATTGTATCAGTCACTTGTCATTTACGGCTTTGGAGCTAAATGTTTTGCACAACCTTTTCAATAAACAATTTTAGTATCGTCACTGTCAAGTTTGGTTCTGTTACGCAGTGAGGCGATGCTATTGTTAGTTTATCAGGTGTTACCTTGTCATCCGCCCTCTCCTCTTGTTGAACGTATGACACCAGAGAGTCCACTAGACCGCGCATATCTCTCATCTTCTGTCTTGTCCTCTCATTAACCGAGCTCAGGTTCCTGCACAGCAAATGTAAGACTTATGTCACAACAGACCCAGTCCTTGCAATCATACATTTAGTATTTAGTCATGTTTCTTTATTTCTATAATTTAACTCGCTGTCAAGTTGGAGTTCCACAGAAAAAAAACACAGTGGAACTCAGAAAATATGTTTGGTGCTAGTGTGTAAAATTTTAGAATAAATGGCTGGGATTGCTTACAAAAGTTTTGTTATCAGAAAAGTTTAATGAATGGCATTTCAGACTGATCAGGCAAGGTAGGTAGGTAGACATATCCCTAAAATATGCTGCACATAGCAATCTAAAACCATTTGGTTATGTAAAAGTCTGCTTTCACACACAATTGAACAGTGATGTGGAAAACAAAGAACAAAAGCAAAAGTACTGTACTTGAGTATAATTGTAGGTATCTGTATTTTACTTAAATTGATCCTTTTAACTTTTACTTCACTGAGAAAAATCCCGCACACCTTCTTACGGTTCTCACGGTTTGTTCTAATAAATCTTACAATTTGCAAGTAAGACGGTGTGCGGGATTTTTCTTTATGTTCTTGGGCTGCTCCTCTCCTCCAACGCACCCTTCTCAAGTAATTGATGTGCAAAGAGCCGGTATCTGTACTTTCTACTCTCCTACATGTTTTTAATTTTAACTTTTAAATGTATGTGAATTTTTTTTTTTTTTGGCTCTTGTATATGTACCTTTACTTAAGTAACAAAACAGAGTACTTCTTCCACCACAGCACAAAGCCATTTCTGTTTTCTTGAAGATTACCCTTTCACCAGAATTGCTGAAACCCCTACCATTGCTTGAATCACATATTTATTGTATTGCCTAGCAGTACAATGTATGCTGTTACCGTAAACATCCAGTAGTATTATAGAAGATGTCTCTTTCAGACGGACTGAACGGGATACTGCTACACAAAGGAATCATGACTTTATCTGTCAGCTCTGATAAGGCTTCTTTAGACAGCTTTTCTTTCAGGTTATCTCGAGACGAAAGATTCCACAAAACACCTGCAGACAAAGAGGAAATCGATTGAACTTAAGACGCTAAATCAATACAATTCGAGTCAGGCACGCTGTTATTACCAGTGATGTTTTTTCTCAGTTCTTCATCGGGTTCACCCAGTATACTGACTAGGCATGCCACTCCCCCAGCCTCTATCAGGGCCACCTTGTTGTCCGAGTTTTCGTAGATGAGATTGCGAGTGGCACCGGTTGCAAAGCGCTGCACTTCCTGGTTGTCACTGGAGAAGAGTTGAACCAAAGCTGGAATGCCGTGTAAAGTTCGGACCTGAGGCGAGAAGTCTACAGGTTAAAATATATAAGGACATTGTCAATCAAGCATTAATGTAGGAATGCAGAAAAGAGTTACCTGGATTTTGGCCTCGCTACTATGGTAACACTGATGTTGGATATACGCTGCTCCTAAAACTTGCAGTGCACTGTCGGACTCGGAGAGATATTTGACAGCTGTGACCATGTCCAAAGTCTGCATGCTATAAACAAGCATTTATCAGCTGTCAGCTATACAATGTTTTGCATGTTTTTACGTCACATCACTTAATTCAATCATTTTATCATCCCTTCCCCCAGAGAATGTTGACATCATCACTTGAAAGGTATAAATAATGCTAAAATATTTTCAAACACATACAAAAATAAAGTTTGAAAAATAAAAAAAAAATGCTAAAATATGTAATATAAATCAATGACAAATGAAACAGCATAATAGGAAAGTGCTTCAACTGGTGAACATTTCCAGTTGAAGCACTTTATCTATTTTAAATCATTGAGACACCATCTTACTCACCCTCCTAAAGGATCATTGCTGTGTATGGACGCTCCATCTAGCACGTCCGCTCCTTTTCCCACACTCCTCACACTGCGCACTGAGGCTGCCCGCTTTAGGCCTTGATATTGTCCTGTCCCAAAGCCCTGGCTCGATCTGGACACTTGCTGCTGCCACTGTGCCCCCCAGCCATCCCCCGCTATGGGCACCCCTCTACCTGTGCCCACCCAGCCCTCCTGGCCGTACCCGGAGTTGTGCTGGTAGTGCTGCTGTCTGTTGGTGATGCGGCTGATGGTGCGGTGAGAGGGACCTTTGTAAATGTACTGGTAAGGTACATCCTCATCCTGCCACTGACCCCTGCCCTGGGCTAGTGTTCCGCTAAGGCTGCGACGGAGGCTGCCTGGGGGTGGCACGGGAAGGGTGTGGGCACTGCTCTCTGGAGAAGGTAAGACGGTGAGAGGGAATACTTCCTGATCAGCCTGACAGAAGGATCTGGAGCGGCTGCTTCTTGTGCGGGACTGTGTGGCCTGGTAACTGGTGTGGACTGCGCCAGTTCCAACGTGGTTTGTCTTGAAGTTGTTTTCCATGGCAGAACGAGAGGAGAAACCAGAGGAGTGGAGTGGGCCTGTGGGGACCTGCAAGAGCATGGAGGTTCATATATTTAGCAATGCATGACTGTATAAGACAAAAACAGCCAATATAGACTGATGATTCTCACGCAAATTAAACAGATTTAACTAGGGCCACAACTAATAATTATTTTGATAGCTCATTACTATGTATTTTAATGAAAAGGTCTTGAAAGAATGAAAAAAATATTACCAGTAGTAGTTTTTTACCTATGTGAACCAAATAAAGCAGCTTTTTATGTATTCTGACCCTAATTTATTTTTATTTTTTATTATTATTTGTGTTTTTACAATATGTGAACCAAATGAAACTAAACTATGGCTTATGTTTAAGTTTTCCATTAAAACCAAAAAATATAGATAAATAAACTTTCTATTCCCTGTGTTTCTGTATTCCCTGTGATTCATTGTTCCATTCTGACCCACCAATTTTGTCTCTGTACATGTGGAATGAACTTAATTTTAAACTCAAACTCTTTCATTAAATTCTTGCAAGAGGTTAAGGCAACACCTTCTGTTTATACATTAGTCTCTTGCTGCATTGTTTGTAGTTTCACATCAGCAGCACTAAGCTTCCATTTTCCTCTGTGCAGCACCAAGACAATTAGACCTGGACGTACAGGAAGGAAACATTTTTCATACACAATACTTGCCTGATTCTTCTAAGTGTGCTCTTGATTCCACTAAGATAGGTTACAAGTGAAGTTTCAGAGCAAGTTTTATATTAATAGTATAATAGCAGTAATATATTAATATTTAGAGGATATTTCCAAACTGTTGTACTTGAAGAAAAAGCAACTTCAATCCCTATACTTGTTTTATCTCAACCTAATTATAAGACCTCGCATGTACAGACTGCATAAACAAAAGTGCAAAATCAGTCTGCCCTATTGTAATGGTTGGAATAAAGTCCCACACAGACAAAGCCAGCAGATGATGCATGAAAATACCAAACTACTGTTGAAAACCATCCCTATTGTTGTAACTGTGAGACCAACCACACTTACAGCCATGACTCTGCTTGGCGTATTGATCATGGACCGGGAACTAAAGCCTTGGTTTGACAAAAATCCCCTGGATGTTTGGAAATTGTAGTCTAGAAAAAATAAAACACAGAATTAATAATAGTAAATGCACATACAATCTGAACATAAAATCTTTAAAGATGATGTTAAGGAGGCTTAGAGGAAAAGGAGGACACATAAGGTTGTACAAACGGAAGCAAGAGGGGAGGGAAAGAGGAGAGGTGGCTAATGAAGGGGGCAGTGGGGCTGCATGCCTGAATGTAAGCATCACTGGGTCAAGGGAGCTCCACCATAACTGCGTAGAACATAAACATACTATAGTACAAGGCCTGGGCCATGTGACAACAACATTTTTCCTTTTATTTCTCCATCACTATCAGTGTTATTAAAACAAATCTACAGTCAAATTTCTGAACACAAGCAATGCAGACATAATAGAAAATAAATCATATCAAAATCATAACAGTGACGATTCAGAATACTTACTTAGTGATGGAAACCTTCCCATATAGAGTGTTAAAAACAGGTTTGTGGATATATATATAGTCAAAATCTGTCCTCCATATCGATTGCCGAACATAAACATTTCTTCAATACTTAATAACTTATAAAAATGTGAGTCTGGTCACTGGTGAGTCTTCCTGTTTTCAGATGGAGACCAAACTGAGATCAATCTGTATTAAAAAATACAGATTTGCCAGGCAACCATATTGGCTCAAAAATATTGGCAGAGCTTTTTGGTCATCATATTTTATGGGTGGGATTACAAGACTTGGTATCAGCATCGGCCATTAAAAAGGAAACATATTGTAAAATGTTACAAAAAATTTTGCAGATCAGATTCATCAGATACATTCTCTTAATTCAAATGTGCTAACAACTTAGAAAACCCACCCTAACCCAGGCTCAAATTAATAAAATCTCAAATAATGCACAACAGCACACAGTTCCACTTTGATACTGCCCAGATTTATAGTTAACACTGTAGATAGGAGAAACTGCTCTAGTCTTCACTGGTCATGACCCAGATGTGTGGGAGTTTGTACAGAGAATAGCAGCGCCTAGCCATGTACCCTCCTTCCACCAACCCAGACTGCAGCTAATTCACAGTGCCTGGTGCATTCTTTACCCCTATATGTGTCTCTGTAGTTCACATGGAGTCAATAAATCTGAGAGTTCAAGTCTGTGAGATACTAAAACTCCAAAGAAAAATACAAAAAACGCAAAGCTAAACAAGAACATTCAGAAGTTGCAGAATTCAAAATAATATGGGAGTAGTTCAACCCTCTATCTAAAGCGTGGTTTCAATTAACTTTTCAACTAACTTTTTATTACTATAATTAAGACCATCTTCCAACAGGCAGCTCTACCACTGCGGCTTCTGCAAATGAGGGAGGAGTGACTTATGTTCTTCTATGGCTCCGATTTCATATCTCAAAACCATTACTTGGTCAAGAGTTTTAGGTAGCCAAGCCAATGAAGACAAATGAATTTTTGTAGGTTCTCACGGTCAATCTGCTGTGCTCAGTGAATAAACAACCTGACTTAAAGTTGAGAAGTTTAAGAATGTATGATTTTTCTATTTTCAACATAAAAGTAGCATTAACTCTCTACTTTATTGGGTGTAAAAATTTATCAAATAGTTCAAACAGTTTACATGATTACAGTATTCAGAGAAATTTTTTTTGTTCATGGGTAGTTCATATTTTGCGATCTTTCTGATGAGTGTTGCAATTAGATTTGAGATAAGTAGAATTGAAAGATTGAAATATGAACTGATAAACTAATACAAGAATCCCATGCATTTCAGAACATGTATTGATTAGAGTCAATCCTACAGTTTAGTTTTCATAACTTAATGGCATACCTTTGTAAGTCATCAGTTGTAAAAGGTTAAATATGGCCAGACGTTGGATGAAAGAGTCTGTCCAAAATAGCCTCTGATAAGATAAGAGGGCACAGGAAAAGAATGTGTCACACTCTGGGCCGGTAAATGGAGTTAGTCAAGTAATGTTTTTCTTTAGCCTAAGCAAAAAAATAATAATAGTAATCATAGAACAAAGCAGCTCTACATGAGACATCCAACATTCCTTCTAAGTCTGCATTACTTTGCCCTTTCAATTACCTGTAGCGATATATCCTCTTAATCCAATAGACAGGAAAGAGCACACACAGCACTCTGCTTTAGCTCAATAGTAATGAAAGTAATGTTTTTATAATGTGATTCTGGACCACTCATCAAATAAGTATCAAAAGTCAACTGTGACATACAGAAAACATTCTGTAGAAGAGGAGATATACAAAATTAGAATACTAAGAATATTCACTATAACAGTGTATAACTGTGTTACATGTATGTCTACGCAAACCCCTCAGCAAGTGGATAATTTGTTTGTTTTAAAGGACAAATATTGATGTTTTTGTCCTCTTTTGGATTAATAATTAGTTAGAACTACCTCATCCATAGTTAAGTTTAATTTTAGGGGCAAAACAAGCTGATTAAATACAAATAAAACACAACTTGTTATGTATGTAATTTTTCAAATTTTACAGTTAATTTATTGTTTTGTGTGATACTTCAACCACGACATTCATAGTCACAGTTTTGCACATTTCTGGTTAATTTCATTGCCATAATACTGTCTGAATATTGTCATCAGTATAATAAAAATATATTCTGAGAAAAGGCCTGCTGCAACTAACAGTTATTTTAGCAGTCAACTAGTCAGCGTTTATTAATAGCTAGTCAAGTAATTAATTTTATTGGAAATTTAGAATTTTAAAACAAAATTTAAACCAAATATGAGTTGAAACATGGTAACTGAAGGCTTCTATGTAGAAAATATGTAATGTAATGTATTATTGATGAAAATCCAATGGACATTTAAATGGTCCAAAAAGGTCTTTAAATGTCTTTTTGTATGTGTTTTTGAGTTTGTATAGTGCAGACAACAATGATGATTGTTAAAACAGACTATTATTTTTTGTTGTAGACAAGTCACAATTAATCGATTGCAGCCCTAATTTTATACATTTTGGTCTGCATCGCCTAGCCCTATTCTGTAGTCTGGATTCAAATAAGTTGCTTCATGTACACTAGCAGTATACAATGTATTGCAGTGCAATGGTCCATTCAAAACAGGTTCATAATGTGTGGTGTCTGTCTGCTGATGTATTAAGTAGAAATTATCCTAAAAGAAGTCACCAAAATAACAAAACTAGTAGCTTTACAAATATTTAGCATGGCAGATAGAAAACTGATTTTGGCCCAGGATGATTGCCTTCGGCTATTTTTCTAATGAGTTTTTTAACTTTTACTCTTTTTGGACAACATCCTACCTCCGTCTGGGCCACTGAAGTAGTCTGTTTTCATTACAGGCTAGAGTAGCTGTAGTAAGGAGGCGGGTGCTGTCCTTCCTGTTCACTTCTGCAGAGACTAAAGCCAGGTCAACAGAACCCTGGGACGAAACTGATGAAAGATGACAAGTGTTATACTGGCCAAGAGAATCACTACTGTTTCCCAGGGCAGCTGACCCATTACTGGACACCTGCGGACATGAGCTAGAGGGCTATTTGTTGACGTGTGATCATGAATAACCCCATATTAATACTGTAGACAACCTGGGACGTCATGCAAGTTTCCACATTAGGAAAAAAACACAGGAAGACACCAGGAAATAACTGCACCGGGGGGTTCCCAACATAAGGGAAAGGCAACATTTAGTAGAATTGACCACAGGTTTGTATAGTCTACAGCATGTTTTTTTTTTTTTGGTAATTAAAATGATTCACAACATAAAAATCTGCTAATGTCTTGCTAACACTGATTCATTGAACAGACATTAGACTCTGCCACCTACAATCTTCTTATGTAATTCCCTTCCAAGAGGAACAATGAAATCCCCCACCCAAATGCTTATGTCAATACTGAATACTACATGCACATTTCTGTTTCTGTGTGACTTTTGATTAGATAGTACAATATTTGTCTTAACCCCCAGCACTTTACAGTAACTCTGTATTGTCACTTGTCCTGGTTTGTTCTGGTCTGATCCTGGAATAGCTTTTATGTATAATTCGTTTGATTTTGTTCTAGCCCTGATTAGCCTCTAGTCAAGGTAGTGGTAATAGTAATGTTCTTAAGACGCAACTAAAGAAACCTGTTGCTTCTGAATAGTTCATGCTTCACTGTGATAAGTTAAACCTGTCACTTACTCAGAGCGTGATTGGAGGCTGACCAACAGGAGGTTAGGGAGTGGTAGCACTGAATCACAATATGACCATGCCACCAAAATGGCCCGACTGATCAGTATTCGATTTTTATCACCAGCCAAAAGTTGAGGTTCCGTTTTCTTGTTCAGTACAGGTTTAGTCTGACTGTCGGCGTTATGATGTGATGTGTGTGCAAGTTTACGTGTTTCCCATTTGAATACTATGCCATTTTAACATCTGGGGTATGGTATGCAACATCTGTCATGTAAGAGACCATAACTACATAGCTTCTCTACGTCTGGCTAATTATAAAGGTATTTCAGTTGGTATTCAAAACAATCACTTTAGTTATACTTATGAATCAAAAAGCTTAATTTTGGTTGGTTGGTTGGTTGGTTTAACAATCTCTTACATTCTTTCCTCACTGACCCCTTCAAAAATGCAAGGAGTGAATGACAGAAACTGCTTTAGGCGTTTTAGATCGTGTTTTGTGTCTGTCAATAAGACCCCTGACTCTAGAGCTAATCCCCAAACCCCTTTATACACGTGAAGTCATGTCACGCAATACCATATGTCGCCATGGTTATCACAAAACAAAGGCGAAACATGTTCAATGGATTTTGCCTGACACCTGTCCTTCTTTTTCTAACTCATAATAATTTGTCAGGCTTAGGATGCCATTCTTTATGGAATTTAGCAAATTTCACATTGAAAAGTTGTACAAACAAGCTTACTACACTACTACACATTTTGTCCAAAGTAAATATGATTCTAACGTATTTTGTTCACATTTAATTCTCCACCACAGTCATTATCAACATACTACAATTTTTGTCATGTAGGCTAACACATCTTTAGGTTACTAGAAAATATTGGCTGACTAGTAGGGCTGGGCTACAACTAACAATTTTAAGCAGCAGACTAATCAGAGTTTAATCAGTTAAGTAAGTCAGCTAATAAAATGATTACCTTATTTCTATTGTACCTTGTTTCTATTGACACTTTTTAAATAGTACATTATCAGCCAAAGAAATGTTAAAATATGCTTAATGAAGGCGTATGTTTTGTTTCATTCACACATGTTTAGCATGCAAAATCCTGAATATTTAGGCTGAGTTCTTCTCTCAAACAGAAAACTCTGTTCCACTCTGGATGTCATGTGGTAGCCTAATATGAGAAGTTCTCCACTGTGTTTTTAAGCTTCATACACCTTCATTAAAATCATTTGGATAAATTAATCTTCTTCCAATCTGTACTCAACTAAAGGGAAAAGATGACTACTGTTTCATAACAGGTAGAAAAGAGCATTTTGAGCTTTGGAGATGTAGAGAGTCTAATAATAGAAGGTTACTGAAACGTGTGAATGAAACAAAACACAACTCCAGGAAGGAGTTCCAACATTGCTTAAATCTCATAAGAGTAAATTTTGTGCAATATAGGGAATACGATTACAATTATTTCTTATATGACTAGCCCTAGGCTAGGCTATTTCTACAAAAATGGCAAGCAGCCCTATGCAGTTTCAACACTTTAACACACAAAAAGCAGAGAAATGGGAAAATAAGATGATAGATACATAAAAAGAAGACAGAAAGCAGCCATAACCAAATGCTTAAGTGGCTCTTTGACCTTATGTGACCCACTGTACCATACCCCCCTTCACATCAGCATCTTAATTAGGCTATTTATCTTCTACTCTTCTTGCACTTTACAGCTTTACTACAAAAAAGTATATCTAGTGTTTAAGTTTCTATTTTACAATTATTTACTTTACATTACATAGTAAAAAAAAACAAAAAAAAACACCAATAAATTAAAACTAATCAAATTTTATCACGCGCGTCTTTAAGCTAATCAAATGCAGGCACGCGCGAAAAGTTCATTAAAAAATAGCCCATTTGTTACGTTATGCTCTCCCAAATACATATCCACTGTAATGAAAACTAGCGTGACTCTAAATAACGCATGAGGTAAGTTTCGTTTCTAAGGCGTTTATATTTGTCTGGAAAAGAAAACACACACACAAAAAATACATTGTCATTTAACTATTTGTAAATTAGTCAATTAGCTAGCATGTTCTGCTACAACTCTGTTTTTTCAAGTAACTATAATATATAGTGGCGCTCTATAGATGGAAATATATATAAATATATAACGGGACCAGACCAACATTGCTAGCATATGGACGCGCACCTGTTAATTAGCCATGTATAACTTTGCCGTATCAGCGTTAACTTTCTACTATCTTTCTCTGTCATCGTTCAAGACCAGGTCACTACGGCTCACCTGTTGACCCGAGCATCGAGTCGTCCAGTCGGGTCAGTGAGGAGGACTTGTTCTTCTCGGCCATCCGCCTCCGAACCTGCTCCTGGACTCTCCTGGCTTTGGCCGCCTCGTCTGGACTCGGACCGTCCGAGGGAAGCACATAGGCGGTGCAAGAGGTGTTGGGCTGCAGGGCGGACAGAAAGCAGCCCTCCGCCACCGCTACACTCATCCTCACGGTCTAAAACAAACAGGACTTTATCCCGGGGTAAAGGAACTGGCGCGCAGGTAGCGAATGTGTCCCTCGGGCGAGTGCGTATATTTGGATATTTCGCGTCCTGGGAGGGGTGTCTGTTTGACTGACTAACTGAGTGTCCGGTCTGTGTGTGAAATGGAGAGTTCAGAGCAGAGACAGAGGAGTCCGTTCGGTTTGTAGGCGGGACCTTTGGGGCTGGGGTAGGGGCCAAACACAAATCCACCTGCTCATTGACAGGGCCAGACAGAGCACATTGGGCACTTTTGAACTGCCCACATGGAATCACAAAAAAGAAGGTTTTTGTGTTGAGCCACAAATTTAAAGCCTTGGCCTTGTTTCGTGGGAAACTTTGTTGGAAAGCTACACAATGAGTATTAGTGTAATATTGTCTTACAAAGCCACTATTACATATTTTTCTTCAAGTTCAATCAGTGTTGTGTAGTCTTATCCAAGTACAGATGTTATTGTTGGTCTAAAGAATGCCTTAAAAATTTGCATTCATGATGGGTGGTGGTCACCTTTCTACAGATCTGACCTGTACACTGGTGTTTCCCTGCATGAAGGTAGATAAGTTTAATGTTGTACTGCTGTGGCAGGACTATCATTCCCATGGAGACAAGCAGGTGGCAGATTCTCAATTAGAAAAATTAAATAGTGCACCTTCAACAGTAGCTTCAACAGGCTCCCATCTGGGCCCAGGACACTCCCTGAGAACGAGATTCCAAACTTGCCTGATTATATAAATACAATACTATAACCTAGTAGTCTTTCTATAGAACTTAGCTACCTAACCTAATATTCAAGACATGTAAAAATAAACCAGCAGACGTAACACTTAAGTGGTTGCGTCATTTGATTAAATTAATCTGTCATAGGGCAGGAGGTTAGTAAGACTCACTTATAGTGTCATGCTAGTGAGTGGAAAATGCAGGGTTGTGTGTACTAGCCAAAAGGAGGGACTGGAAGTAGGGTGGGGTTCAAGTCAGAGGGTTGAAACAAGGTTTGAGATAAACAAGCAAAAAGTCCAGCACAGCAGTCGCTGGGTTTGATGAGGTGAGTCCCAAGGTGCAGTGAGGATTAGGCCAAGAATGTGCTGTCTCATTCACATCTAAAGCAATTTATTGTTTGTTTTTTTTTTGTTTTTTTTAATTGGGCCAAAAAGCAGTTGCATGTTATCCAGTCTGGTCCTATAGTTGTTTAAACCTCCAGGAATGTGGAAATTACTTCATCGCCCTGAGCATACATGAGAAATCTTTTGGGGGAGGTTTGGGAATCTGAGAGTGAGTGTGAAGAGCGGTGATGTGTCAGGATTTGAGAGGTCCAGGGAGGGGTCTGAGTCAGAAACAGTGAGCCCATGTGGCTATTGCACTATTACGGAGAAAAAGAAATTCACTCCATGTGGGGGTGAGTGAGACCAAGGACATGTCAAATCAGGAGTTATTGTAAACACTACTCAACAAGGTCATGACCCTTGCACTTTCAACAATACATCTAAAAATGTGATGCAAAATCTGTGAAACTGTCAGTCGTATGCAGTTGATAATAAGCTAATTCAACCAAGACCATTTTCAATCACACTGATACAATTAAAGGCCTGACAGGTTTATTTACTGTATCCTCAGATGAGTATTTGTACAGCCATCAACATTAGTGGTTCTAATTACGTTTTATATTCCCTTTTATGAAAGGCTGTGGCTCAAATTCTAGCAGTGCAACTATTTATCAGTACAGTTGACGCTAAATACTAGTTTGGAGGGAAAAAAGCAAAGGGAATTTTGGAGTTGCAGTAGATTATAGCAGGCTAGTGTTGGAATCCAGTGACTCAAAAGTCTATTACTGTCAACTCTAAGTCACAAAATTAACACAAGCATGTGAAAAACTATAAACTAGAGGAGAATATTGATGGCAGAGTTGCAGTATCAAATCAGTTTCCTTAGAATCTCCCTTCCACAAATGTTATATAATTTTCATATTTTTTCCTAGACATGTCAACATAGCATAAAATATTAAGATACTATGAAGATTCCATTCAATTACATATGCACTAATATGGCATTTTTGAAGGTGTCTAAGATGGTGCTGGATGTGTATCTTCAAAGGCATTCTTTGGACCAGATGCATTGTCAGCACTCATCTGGATCATATTCAAGGAGAGACCGCAGCAGGTAAAGACTTTGTCAAAGAAGGCGGATAAGGGATGTTCCAGAAATGTATCTTGGCAAGACTTTGTCAAAATTAACCCAAATATTATTCTTAAAAATAAATAAATAAAAACTCCATTACTCCTAAAACTTATTCCTGGAAAAAAACAATATGCAGAAAAAATAGCAGAAATTAGGCTGTTTTCAATAGTTATCATGTTGTGATATGAAGTCCTATAGTGCCATCTGGTGCCTCAATGTCAGATTGCAAATACAAAATTTCCCAGTTTTTTAGAAATACATAATTGTATTGTATGTAACACTATACAAAATTCAAATTCTGTGAAAATAATCAGATTACGCAGTTGAGCAGTACTACCACCAGAAGCACTTATATAAATATGCTATGATCATTTCATGGTAAGAATGTAAGCACAAAAAAAAAAAGTCAGAATTGACTTTAAAATACTGAATAATCCAGTGTCAAATTACAATGTGTCTGTCTAGTATTTTTGTATTTTATGTTTCAATGTGCTTAAATTGCCCCTCAGGGACAAATAAAGTGAGATTGTCAGTCAAAGTTTTTTCATCTTTATTTGTAAAATACATCAAATCCCTTTATATTTGGGCAAACCAAAGGTCTGCAAAAGAAAGAAGGTGAGATTCAAGTGGCAGTAGAACTGGTGTTGGTCTTCAAATCCAAAAGACAATGAGTAGAGTTTGTACAGTTAAGTTCTTCCAATGCCCTTTGTACGTTTGTCTAAATAATTGATACCAAAACTTCTCTGAACAGGTTTTGATACATTTTACCTATCCTGAATTGTTTTAGAAAGGTCTTTCATAACTAGAGTAAGAATATTACTATTAAGTAAACTACTATTGTTTGGTATAGCTGAAAAAGATTTTTGTTTTGTTTTAATTATCACTGTGGCATCAAAATCTGTATTGAGCGAGCATTTTCTGCAATAGTTTGAAATTTGGGTATTTTAACATAAGCCATTCACATCAGACACACTAGGTACTGCCACAAATCCCCCTACCTTCAGACAGACTCCTTTAACAACGTACCAGACATAAGATATCACAATACAAAGAGAAAAAGGCATATAATAAGGTTTTCTACAGCCTTCATGAACTTCATTAGTACAATATTTCAGAGCTGTAAATATTACAAGACACTTAACTGTTTCTCAGATCAAGAACACATTAACAAGACATAGCTTTTAGTTGGTTGACACAGGAGTGTGGTAAGGCAGGTTACACGTGATCATGTCAAATCTGAGCTTGGTAAGTGTGAGAAATGAATTTGGCAGTTGGCTCTAGAAAAAAAAAAAAAAACTACCTTAGCCAATAACCCTAGTTAGTACTGTATTAGTGGGGCTACACTGCCTTCTACTGGTACAAATATGGCCATAGCTAACATTTGAAAAAAAAAAAACACTTCAAATACACATTACCACAGTCACTTGGATTTTCACAAATTATGCTAATTAAATTACCCCATCATAGCAGATCCAAATGTTTTTGTTTTTAACATGTCTCTTGGCATGGCATAATAGTCTGAATTCATTAGTAAAGCTAATGAGCGTTGGATAAAACCTAACTGGCTGAGAAGACAAAGTTATTTGTGATACTTTGGTAAAGCTATGATTATACCAAAGTGTCAACTGTTGATCTGGTAGGTCCTTAGCTAGTGTGCATATAAGATGCAGCTGTGTGCAAACTGATGGACAGAATTGTAACAGTAAAACAATAGTACAGTAAAATGACACAACCAGCCTATAAGTAGCCAATTTGAGGTTATGACTCCTTTTTGAACATTTATAAGAACTACAAATCAAATTCCTTAGTTTTTTTGATAATGTCAAATATATATGGGATGCATTAAATTTAAAAAGGCCTTTGCAATCTGAATTATGCCTTTACAATCTTTACAATGCCTCCAATCTGAATTACTCAGTGAAGTAACAGAACTTCCACTGAGATTTAGGCTACATTTTATGCCTTCAAGAATAGATTTGAACATGAGATGAACAACCGTCGTCAAAAACAAATGAACATCAAACCCGCATCCAGTCAAAATGACTATTCACTTTGACTTTGGTTCCTTAGGTAAAACTATAGACATTCCTTATTTAGTAGACTACTGTATCCATCATATGGCAACGTGGACAAAGATAATGGTCTTTGGGACGGGGAAGCCTACACTAGTACTACACTAGTGCTCTTCTTAAATCCACAGTCTGCTTTAGTTTGAGGGCAAGGCATTCAAGCAGACAGTTAAGGATAAGAATCTACTGTAATACAATATCCATGCTCAGGCAGTCATAAAGCACTGTTAATATATATATTTATATACAGTTTATACAGTGAAAAGAACATCCATAAAACTAAGAATATAAGAGCATGTTTATAGTCATGAAAGCAGTAGATCACTAAACAATTACAGCAGCGATGAACTGGGCTGCTTTTATAAGAGTGATATAAAATCTACAATTCAGGTTAGAATAGCACTGGTCAATATGCATAACAGCATTTGTGACTAACAAAAAAAAAATGTTTAAAAAAAAGCAAAAAAAAAAAAAAAAACTAAACTAAAAAAAACAGGGTGGTGTCTAAGGCTGACTAAGTCCAGCGAGCAATATATATGAGGGTTCCTGCATATAAAAAACAAAAAAGAAAGAACTAAAGAAACCACTTCTTTCCATTGATTAAGAAGAGTATGGCAGCCTGATCTTTAGTAGACTGGACTGTTGCGGATCCCACAGCACAGCACCATACTGAAGATCATCTCAAAGATCTAAAGAAAAAGAAGACTATTAGAATATTTTTTCTATATGTAAGCAAATTGCAACTTAGCACAACTTACCATAATCATTGCAATTACAAGTGCAATAATTCCAATGAGATAAATCTTGTCCGAGAACAACTCTCTGATCCTAGCATGGCAGTTCTGTAAAAATAAACAAAAAAACATTACATTTATGGCCTCACATAACATCTTAAGGCGAAGGACACTCAACCTAATGTGTTAACAATCTAATAAAAATAATGTATAGCAAAGAGTAGTGGGATAATAGCTTGAACATTAACTTAAGCTAATGTGTCTTCAACAAATTTACTTGTAAACCACTTTACAACTTAGATGCTAATAGCACAGAGATTGCTAACAACATCATAGTACATTACCATTTGCATTAGCAAGGAAATACTTAAATGTTTAACTAAAAATAGTAACTGGTTGGGATGTTGTTCACTTGATTAATATTACCGCAAGGCTAAATGACTTGTTAAAATACTGATAAAATTCTTTGTAGCCTGCAGCAGTGAAATTTTCAAATCAATATACAGACTTACAATAGCAGTAAAAGAACTCGGGCAGACGTCACTGGTGCCAGAAACCTGAGTGAAGAGTGTGTACAGCTGGTCAGCTCCACCTTTACCGCAGCATTGGAGCTGGAACACAAAAGAATGCATATTATCAATTTCCACTTGAACATTTACATCAGAGGTATTACCAGAAATAGAAAGCATCAGTTAATATCCATAAAATTAGAATTTAACTGTGAAGTGGAAAAGTTGAAGTTGATGAACATTGTTTATTATCTCTTCTGTATTTAAGTTGTAAGATGAACCTAGATTGCACTCACAAGTCTGAGTCACGGGGAGCATCTGTCAGAGCTTATTGGTATTACTCGTGCTCCACTTCCCAACTAATGGCTGCTGAAAGCAAATCACCACGCTGCACCGAGTTTCACCCTTGCTGTGTCCTGTGCTATGTGTCTGCTCCCTACTTTCATTGCAGAACACTCCAACCAAGAAGTAGCTAGCTTCATCATAAACAGCTTTGATTTATAATTTGTATAGGATAAATAAGTTCAAGCCTTTATTGTTGCAACTGAAATATTTGCAATTAGCACTACCTAATGGTAAAAGAGAAGAATAGCAACTCATTTATATTTGGGTCACACCTGCTGCACTGGCCAATCTTGCAGCTGTCTCAACATACTTTAAATTCACAAATTATTGCATGTATTTAGGATATATTATGTTATGTGAAGAGTGGTCATACCGTTTCATGGAAGACCTTGAGCACAGTGGCGAGGGCGGCCTTCTTCTGCTCGTCAGCGCCTGCGAAGTCTGGTTGCCTGGCTTGGTTGTAAATTGAGTCATAGAAGTTTATCATCTCACTCGACACCTAAAAAGGGAACAAGACAAGGACCAATGAGCTAATGGCACACTTCATACTCTATTTCATGCATTTTTTATTAAATTGGCACTAAAGAGATGATGTCAAGAAAGATTGTACTGAAAACTACATAAACTAAAAATATAAAACTAATCAGAAATGAAAAAATAATTGTGAGAATTTTGGAAGCAAAATTGGGTCATTTCTACATTTCTACAAGTAAACATGTAAAAAAAAAACAACTTCTGATCTGACTCACTGGTCACATACTGGAGTAATGGTAATGTGGACGATAATGAAGCAAAAGTGTCAATAACCATCACACAAAAATTGTATATTAAAACAGCTTTGGCATTAACAAAATAACATGAACTGAAAAGCAAAAAAGAAAAATTTATGTTCGGTAGCTATAGTAATAAGTAAAGGTATAGTAATAGGTATTATTTGAATACATGCATTTGGAGTATTACCGTTTCTTTGTTCAAGTAGCCCCAGATTCCAGCTGCAACCTCGCAGGCAAACAGAATGACCAGGCAGGCAAAGAACTGCAAGAAACAATATAACAATTGTCGTTTTGCTGTATATAAAAATATATATAATATAAAAAGGCAAAAGATTCAAAACTCACGGTTCCTAAAAGACACTGAGACTCCTGGATAGCACCATAGCATCCAAGGAAGCCAACCACCATCATAACAGCTCCAACAGCGATCAGAATGTGGACACCTGCACAAAAAAGACAGAAAAACACCATTAAGTTACTCACAAAAAGTTTTTAAAAATGTAAAACCATCTGGAATAATAGATGAGCAAAAGCTAAATTTCCACAGACTGCAGTGGCACTAGTTGACCAGCAGGGGGTGGACGTTGTTAAGATATTATGTGAACAGGGTGAGTCATGGTCTTGTTATGTTCACACCAAGTTGTTTATAGTTCACTTATGCAAAAGGAAAAAAATATATAGTATATACAGTTTCATCATTCAAGAAAAGATGGGGTTCTTTTTCTAGACTTACACATACTCTTATACATGCAAATATTTGGTTGCTGGCTAATGAATGTTCAAAGGTCAGGGTTTAGCTCAGGACAAGGCAAGCTCGAGTTTCACTTACAATAAAAAAGTCAGTTAAAAAAGTGGATTCTACTTTTTTAACACCTTATTCAGGAAACCATGAAAATAATTTAAAAAGGTTGTCCTGGGTTCCCTTAGCACCATTCATGTAGTTTAAGCACTGCAAATTAGACTGTGATTTTTAACATGACAATTAAATATATTTGAATGAACTCAGCACATTTACTATAATGTGTGCAATATATAGCCCCCTTATCTAAATGAAAGCCTTTTTATAAATGCAGTTCATTATTATAGATGTGATTAAGGAGTGATAGGAAACAAGATATATTATATATTATAAATACCATTCTAAGTAAAGACAGTGCAGCAAACATCAAGTCAAGGAAAAAGATTCTACATGATACTTGAACAACTAATTTCAAAAACTCTGTATTCTTAACAAAAACTTTATAGTCAAAGTAGTCCTAAACTACTTTGGAATGCCACTTACACCCCCTCAGCCCTAGCTTATCTATACAAAAGATGGTGCCATGATGGCAAAATTATAAAGGTAACCTAAAAAGAGTTTTACCACAATCTATGCAATTACCTTACAACACAACCTAAATCTTGTCATTATGAAACATATTTGCAGCAGACAGTAGGGAACCAGTGACATCACTGCACCGGGCAGGGCATTCTCCCAGAGTTTTCCTGTTCTTAATCGCAGAGGCAGAGGAGCTCTTTGTGTCTAGCCCTGCATCATCAGTTGTGCTTGTCAGTTCAGACCTAATCAGATTCTGGACCACTAACTGGGATGGTACCTCCCTGTCCCCTCCCCCCACCTCTGCTCCAGCCACAAGACCACTTTTCTCTCACACCGCCGCCACACTGAAGGCTAATTTCTAAATCGATAGCTTGGCGACTGACCAAGTAGCCGCGCCATCTCTTACTCTGGCTCTTTAGTCTGACGGTCACTTGCTTGAATAACAGCAATCTAAATCTCTGGCACTGCTCCACAAACACCACCCATTTGTCCTTTGCATGTAATGGTTGGCCCATTCCAAATTATGCCATCAATAATTTTATTTACTTCAATGTCTTTTCCTGTCTGACTTGATACAATCTGCGTGTGGATCCTCTCCCTTTGCAGATGCCGTCAGCCTGTATTTGTATGTCACCCAGAGAGAATAAAAACTGCAGTTTTTAGGTTAGCAACATCTTAATACAGAATTTTTGTCTCTTCTAGAATAACAATATTCAGTTATATAATAATATGTGCAAATCTACTGCAAACAACTGTCTTTGGTGAACTTATCAATATTAGAGTAAAATTAAGAATTTTTTGTGTCTTATATATATATATATATATATATATATATATATATATATATATATATATATATATATATATATATATATATATATATATATATATATATATATATATATATATATATATATATATATATATATATATATATATATATATATATATATATATATATATATATATATATATATATATATATAGTATATATAGTATATATAGTATATACATATATACATCCAGTAATTTATCCAGATGTGTTGTGTTCCTCATGTCATCCGAGAATTGTTTATGATACAATGAAAGCGCAACAGTCACCTGTTTCCTGTTTCTGATTTTTTTTTTATTTTTAATGCAGCACAAAAGCCAGTAAACGTGTCAGTTCTATATTGGAGGACACTCAGTAGAAAAGACAAGGCCAAAGCCAGTGGAATTTCACATTAAAATCAGAGCCTGAGATTGAACCCAGCAGACTAAACTCTGAATTAGATGCTCAAAGTCAGTACTTGGTTTTGAGTGTAACTGATGTACAAATTAGGGGTGTCAAATTATCGCGTTAATTGCGATTAATTAATTACAGTCATATTTAGCGCGTTATGTTTTTTAATCGCGTTAATCTCATTTTTAATCTCTAACTTTAGTGTTTCTGTATGTGAGTTTCTTTATTATAAAACCTGTTTTTATGTGTTGTTGGGACAACAACAACACACACACACTCAAAACACATTTATACATTTTTTTATTTCGGTAATTCCACTCATTGCCGGAAAGCCACACAAAACGCGCGCAGTAAGAGCGTAAGTAAACGTCATGTTAACGTTGGCGGCGTCAGTCGCACAATGGACGAGGTCGAAGAGCCAGTAGAACAGAGGCAGCAGCGCACAGGTAAAAACACATTCGTGTCTTGGAAATTATTCTCCCGACGTGAAATATAAAAGAAAATAACAAATATAATATCGCCTGAAAACAACCTGCATAGGCTCATGATGTCTGCACTACTGTCCTATAGTGACCTGCCACATGAGGGGACACGCACACAAACACACACAAACACAAACACACACAAACAAACACACACCTTCATCATCGTCATGAGAACGCGCGGACCACGTTTTCTTCCGTAGACACTGCACGGACATCGCTGTCCTCCCGTGAGCCGCGTGTGGATCGTGTTTTCTCGTGTACGCGGCGTAAACCGCACTTCCTCCTGTGCGCCTCTAAACCAGAACTAACACCAAGACTAAAACCAGGACTAAAACCAGGACTAAACCAGGACTAAACCAGGACTAAACCAGGACTAAAACCAGGACTAAAACCAGGACTAAAACCAGAACTAAAACCAGAACTAAAACCAGGACTAAACCAGGACTAAACCAGAACTAACACCAGAACTAACACCAGGACTAACACCAGGACTAACACCAGGACTAACACCAGGACTAATCCATTCCAGGACTAAACTAGGACTAAAGTAGGTCTAAACCAGGTCTAAACCAGGTCTAAACCAGGACTAAAACCAGTGATCTCATATATAAAGCATTTCTCTATCAATAATATTTTTTAATATGGTTAAGGAAAGACTGGACTTTTTATTGTCTTTAAGTAGACAAAAGTTATTATGTTCAGATTTCCTCGTCTTTGCTACTTTACAACAAACAGTTTCTTATTCATGGAGACTTGGGCTCAACAGCCAATTTGCAGAGATTTGTTAAACAATAAATGACTTTATAAAGTCACTTTTTTAAATCTATATCAGTCTTTTGATCTGCCACAATAATGTAATAATGAATTTAAATGAAAATACCTCAAATTGAAGGCTTTTCTCAGCAATTTTTAGGTGAGATTAAAATGAGATTAATTAGATTAATTACAGATCATAATTAATTAATCTCTCAATTTTTTTAATCGCATGACAGCACTAGTACAAATACTTCTTTGCTGCTCAGCAACAAGTGTTTGAACATCAGGAGTATTGTTACTAGTCCTAATGTTAGTAAAACTAATACCATTTCTACAATTAGTTTTGCAATCCTGCTCTAATCACTGTAATGGTCTATTCATACAATTGCCATTATTACTCCTGCTTCATCTGCAATCACACTCTTACTTCTACTACAGCAACTTGATGCAAGTATAGAGTAGAAGCTCATCTTAAATTTTGGGCATAAGCCAAGATGATAAAATACACTACTTGCAATCTCAGTGTTTGTGTAGGCATCTCTCCAAGTAATAAAAGACAACAGAGTAATAGTTTTCTTAATAGTTTCCTCTGTTCATACATGGTGTTTTGCACTTATTGGTACAACTGTTATAATAACTATAGTTACGACTACTATCACCAATAAATCTACTTTTTAGTGCAATTCAATGGTGTAACAATAACCAAAATCAAACCAAAAGTACATTTTACAATATTGCAATAAAATTGGCTTAAAATGTCTTACTCATATTCGCAATGAGGGTGTGGAGGTGACTTTCCAAATACAAAATGAAATGGTATGCTTTACTGCCTCTGTGAGTCAAGAAGCTGAAGTCATATTATCCTAAGGGCAAAATGCTGTTTTTGTCCTTGCAGAACACAACAGAATACTAAGCTCTAGTTTACCATACTGAAATTGCAATGCAAAATGGATCACAAATAGTTTGGCTAAGACTTTTTGTTACTTATGGCTGAGTATTTTGCTGTCAACCTGAGTCAAGTGGTTGAAGTAATGACTTCCTAAGGGCTTCCTCCACTTATCTGAAGGAAGGAGATGTGTTTAGTAGTGGCTGAATTACCTGCTCTCTGGTTGTACATAGTCCATTACATGGTCGTGTAAGGCTTATGGTTACACATTATGTGGGAAAAGTGCTTTAGAGCTCAAACCATGGAGCGTGGGGCTGAGTGCAGCTGTTCTTCTCATTAGCCCTGCTCTCTTCTGAAACATGAGGAATCACACCCAGAGAGGCCCTGGATGTACAACAGGCCATGCATAAAGAATAGCCCATAGCCACACTGCAATTTCGACTCTCAGAAATTAAAACAAGCATTCATCATGTGACTCCTCAAATGTAATCACCATGTCTGAACCCAATGTCCTATTGATCGGCCACGCCCAGAATCCAAAGTAAAATGCTGTTACAATGTGGAATGTATTTGTGCTTCTTGCCCGAGTTTAATTAGATTCTCTGTGGCCGCAGATGATGCCAAGACAATGCTTAGTTTGTATGTTTGTTGAAAGCTCATTTGTAAAAAGTCACTTTTCAAAAATATTTAATTAGAAGAGTATATCCATTTCATCTGTAGTAATGCAATAAACTGCAGATGTTTACCAATAGAAAACTTAACTTTATTTTGAAACATTATCAATCTATTATCTGAATGATTTCAGTGAGTGACACTATTAGACTAAAGAATTCAGCTCTTCATTTAGATTCTAATGTACAGCTTGTACTATTGCTGCTATCTGACTACAACGCTGACAAGCCCAAATTAAAAAAATAAAGTAGCCTCCATATTGAAAAGTTCCTGGCAGCAGGGGATGGAGAGAGGAGGAGGAGGGGCACAGACAAAGAAACGGCGAACAAAAAGAGGAAGAAAAAAAAAAGACGTAGTTAGACAGGGCGACCAAACACTAACCACAACCAGATGGGGAAGTGTACGAGAGCGACAGTGGAAAGAAACCAACCCAGAGAGGGAAACTTTCACAGTTGAAGGAGGAGAGGAGGGAGGAACAGAGAGAGGGAGGAGGACAAGGGAGGGCCAGTGAAGAATTTTTTCCTACACCGAACTGAGCTTTTTCTTCTCTCTTTGCGAATGAGTGGAAGGCTTTATGTAATGTTTAGGACGCAATCACCCAGGAGAAAAAAAGTCCCTCAGTAGTTCCCCCCTTTTGATTGGAGAGAAGGCTTCTTTTGGGACCAAACCACAGCTATGCCCTGCTAGAAGACAACAAGCACAAGAGCCCAAACAGCCACTGTATTTCAGCAACACAAAAATACTACTTTGGACGTGTATTCCTGGCATGATTTCATCCACACTCCTCACAAGGCAATGAGTCAGGCTGTTGACGGGGACGCACAGAAGCAGAATGATTGAACGCAGGCTGCTGAGGTTTGAGAGAGGAGCAGGTCATGTGTTTTTGAAGTCTCATGATAAAGAGGCCGTGGTGTGTGCGCGCGCGTGTGTGTACTGTTGGGGCCGGTCAGTCACAAGTTGCTGGTGTTCCCATTGAGGTGTGGTCACTCGACTTCATTAGAGCATTTTTGACATCACTTGACATATTCGCGTGTGGGGACTACTGAAAGCTGTGAGAGAAGGCAGGGATGTGTGTTGATGGATTTGAAATGTGTATGAAATTTTGAGATTAAAATTTAAAAGTTGTTGGGCCAACGCAAATGTGTAAGCAATTATCTCATGTTTGCAGAGCTGATAAATTTAGAACATGGTTTCTAGGGAATGAAACGTTACAGCAAACAGTTAGTGTAGAGTTAGTAGTGTAAAAACACAAAAGAATGTTCAGAAATCAACAAAGAAATGATATGTAAACTAAAAAAACTAAAAACTAAAACTATATAAAAGAAAAAGATTTATTACTAGGGGCAGGACACACAATTTGGTCCATGAAACAAGACATTTGTAAACTTATGTAATATGTTTTCTTTCATTTAACATCTTTAATAATATCTTCTTTTTTTATATATTATTATAATCATTATTACTGTCTGCCCCATCCCCAACAGCCATTGTTCAAGTTCACATTGCGGTTAGAACATTACAGAAACGCATATGGTACCACTCATAAAGGATTAGCAACTTAGAACAGACACTAATTTAGACAATGTAATTAGAATGACTCTGCCTTATCTGCACATTTTGCATTGGCACTTGAATGTAACCTGAATTATTTGGCACTTTTTAAAAATTCAGGAAGTTTTAAGGTTTGGTCTAACTGCCAAACCACTGTTGCTGACAATTTATAGGCTCTTAAAATGTCACCTTTTTCTCTTTAGCTTATTAATAATGGATATTACTTTTTGTTTTAATCAATACAGCCTCACAACTTAAGGATGTCCATTTGTGGAGACCATTAATATTGATGTGGCCTGTCATTACACATCATTTCACTTGCAGTAGTAGTGTTAGCGTTTGAAAATGATGCCACGTCCAGTTAATCCTAATGTCAATACTAGCTCCCATAATGCATTATCTTAATCTCACAGACAGTTTAAACTGCATTAATCATTGTACATGAGCAGTATTGTATTTTCTACAACTTTTCACCAATACATTTTACTAGTCAACCTTTTTCCTTAAATGTAAGCCAATGTTATATATATACTAAACTACCAACTGTGTGGTCTGATGCTGGCTATGGTTATTTCCAGGTGTATTTTTTCGCTTCCCTGCCGTTTTCCTTTTACAAGACACAAGTTAATGTTTTCTTTCCACCCACTAAGCACAAAGTAACGCAGAGACATTCATTTTGATTCTTGTCCGAGGCAGCAAGGCATTTTGTGGAAACTATGACCTATGGGTACACTGTAAAAAACATGAAGAGGCCATCCGTATTCATTAAAATGATTCTAGAATATAGCTTTTAACTCTATTATTCTATTAGACCTGCATTACTAGATTTGGGGCATTTTCGATCGTCTTGAGGACAATTGGAGCTGGAAATGCATCTCACAATGACAGTCTTGCCTATCAGGTAGCACAACAAAGATTTTTTATTGGCAGATAATCTTGTTTGCAATAAGTAAAATATATATAGCACCAACCCAGCCAGAAATAACCAGCAGCACTCTCAAGGGTTAAAGAATAAAAAAAGACAAGGGTTTAATAACAAACTCACACAGCCAAGTTAAGATTACTTGAGTTAAGAAAGTTTGATCATGATTTGAGTAAATTTCCCTTGACAAGAAAAATTATCTGCAAATGAAAATAAAACATATATATAGTTAATAGAAAAAAAAAAAAAAACATCTTCTACACTACATACATCTGAAAATACATCTTGCTACACTCAAGGAACACGATAAGAAAATCATCAACTCTTTGCACTTCAAATAAGTAAAAAAAAAAAAAACGAATGTTGCTTGAATGAAGATAAACATGATTATACCATTGGTAGGCATGTTTACTTGTCAAGTTGAATTTACTCAAATAAAGTCAAATGTCATTTTAACTGAGCTAGATATTGCTTTTTGCAGTGCAGTTAAACCACCAGGAAACCAAGCTAATCATTGAGCCATAATTGGTATATAAAGCCAAACAAGTCAAAACACAGATGACTAATAGAAATTCAGGCTGATTTCACAATAAAAGATCGTTATTTGGATTGTATGGGCTTAAGTATGACTCTAGAAAACTTGGATTAGCAATAATACGTACTGATGTAGAATGTGTTGGGGGCCTGATGTCCTTCATACTCGATTCCAAGCAGTGTACTAGTCTTTGGGTCTTGCCGCAGCCACAGAGCCACACCCAGGATTACACCTCCTGTAAGCTGGAACATAAACATGATGATTATTTTCACTACAACCATTTAAAAACCACAACATAAAAATTATTTACTAAACCGGCGATGAATATTCAAGCCAATCTGCAAAAGGTGATTTGGGGTGACTGTATTGCTGCTTACATAAGACCATTTCGAGTGTAAACAAAAGCAGACAACTTCAATATACAACATTTTTCTAAAACTAAACACACTTCAGTCCAAAACACTATACACACTATGGTTGGTTTGATCTTATTAAAAAAGTGAAAAATGTTTTTTAATTATAGATTTACTGAAACAAAACGACACATAACATAACTGCAATTTAACATTAAAAAGTCAAATTTATTCGAAAGTCTGAACTACACACTTTTACTAACAATACAATGCTATAAACCTCTCAATAAAAAAGTAAAAGACCAAACCATATAAAAGACTCTTAGAAATAATATAGTTAAAAGTATATAAAATATCTGGATCTTAATTACAATTTTATAAATGCATAGCCCTAGCATGGACACTTTACAATACTCGTAAAAAGAGAGAAATTTGTATCAAAAAGTATATTTTGCTACAGTGTAAAAATGTTTTCAGGCTTTACTTTTTCAGCAAGAAAAATAAAAGATCCTTTATTACACAAAATTGACTCTTTAGGCCATATTATAATGTTGTTATCGTATCAAAAGTGGACCTAGAGCTGTGTTTTGTTTCATTCACATGCTTGAGCCTTTATTATTAGTATGTCTACATCTCCAAAGATCAAAATGCTCTGTTCCACCTGATGATGTCATGAAGTGGTATAGTTGAAGTTAACAGTTACCTTTTACATTTTGTTCAGTAGAGACTGCCAGTTTTAGGGCTGAAATTATGATTCTAGTGAAAATGTATGGGGTTGGAATGGAGCACTTCCTGTATTTCCACATGACATCACAAAATGGAACAAAGTGTTGTCTGCTTGAAAGAACAACTTTGCCTAAAAATGCAGGGTTTCCGTGTTAAACTTATAAATGAAACAAAACAAAACTCTGGGTATTTTTTTAATGAGGAAACAACATTATAACATAGATCAGAAAATGGTGTAATACAGGTCCATTAAGGATACAGTTAAGATAAGAACCTAAACAGCTTTGTTTTTACTTTGCACTTTTCCATTTGCCAATTTCCTTGGGAAAGACTGTCAGATGTAGCTCCTGTGAAGCATTGTTCTCAACAGAGGTTTACGTTGGCTTTACTTTTTTGTTTAGACAAAAAAATCCTAAATATAGCTTCCTTAGCATTTACTAAAGCAAAAACAGAAGGAAAAACCTCTACCTCATAGCACAACTTAAAAAAAACATTTTCTTTAACAGCTTTCTCAAGTGTTAAACATCTACAGAAAACCAAAATAAAGAAATCAACTGATCCAAATCTAAATGTCAACTCAGGACTTGTTAGCACTGGTTGGGGCTATTAAAATTGTGCTAAAATGGGATTAGCCGCCTTCTCTGTCCTTTCTCAGCCGGGGCCATTCTGGAGCTGAGGCCAGATGCTGCCTAGCAACCAGATCAACACCGTAACTGCTACGAGCGCAGAAATTCAACACACATACACAGGAGTGCCACCACAGAATGACTTTCTAACTTTAAGTGAACTCCCAACTCCTCACAGCATGGATGAAATGATTCTCTACAAGTGTGACTGAAAACCATACACTTTTTTAGATAGGACTACACTTTATGCATTAGTTTTCATTGAAAACTTGTGACTTAATTGAAGAGTAGGCATTTGCCAATCACAATATTACAAATAACCTACTACATATAAAAGAGGCATAAAGCAGCTCATCCAAAATGAGGCATGATTATGGTATGTGGGAAATCTGAGTCACTTGGGGGAAGCCTCACATCGCTCCTTCTGGGTTGGAATCACAGTAACATGGAAGAAATCCGCCTGTGGTTAGTTCCAACAGTGAATACCGCTGCAGCACAAGGAAACGCGCCCATTACAAAGGAGTTAGCTTCAAAACTTTGCTATTGCTGTACAATGTGTTTTTCCCAGTGAAAGGATTAAACAGTACAAAGTAACAGCTGCAACTGAAAAACATATCAAAACATTTAATGTAGCTTGTTGTGGCATTCAGCAAATACAGGCCATTTTATCTGTTAAATGTGTTATCTTTCAGTTTCTCAATAGTTTTCAGTTTCTCAATAGCCATATCCTATTAACTCTAGTTTAGTTTAAGATGTAATGTTTAAAATGTAATGTTTAAGATCCATGTTTAACAAATAGTTGACTTTCCCTCTTCTTGACTCTTATCTCTGTACTCTGTACTCTTATCAATGAACTAAAATGTTGGTCTACAGATAAAGCCAATAATTTATGCAGACGTTTGTTTATTTTGATAAATGCGGAACCCTGGTAACCAGCCACCAAATACATTTTTATGACAGGTTCTTGTTTCACAAACTTTTGTTAGAGTATTCCAAACTTCACAAAGCTCATTTCGTTACTGGAAGACCTCTTTGCTTAAAAAAACAAAAGCCGTCAGACTATCTTAAGAGAAAGTGTACTGACCTGGTCAGTGATTTCAAGATTTTTATTTGATCCCACCACAATGTGATGTCTAATGGATCAACAAAATTCTTGACAGGATATTGCTATTATTAAAGCAGTAATTATAAATAATGATGTATTGTTAGCAGCTTAGCCAGACAGTAGAGGGCCTTTTGCACAAAACAGAATGAGTGATTATGTAGCCGCCCAAATAAGTAACAGTTAAGTTCTTATAGGGCAGACAGTCTAGCATGTGTTTCTCATTAAAACAGTGCATTTGTTGGTGTAAAACAGTGTAAAACATGGTGTGATTGTGTCATCCCATTTACAAGAGTTTGCCATCAGCAAAGGCAGGCTCACATATTTCATTTTTCTATAACACTTATGATAGATCAGAATGAATCATTATTTGATGCTTCATGCTCCCAAGGTATTGCATTCCTTAAAAATGACTCGCTATTTAAAGATATAGAAATTCCATAATGAATGTTTTGGATTACATCAGTTAATAATTAAATGTATTATTTTTTGCATATTTTTCTCTGCAGCTTTATAATCGGGGTAACATTTTTAAATCTCAACTTTCGTGAGAAGCATAATAAGCATAAATTAGTTAAAGTAATCAAAAGAAAATCTTCCAAAAATACCAAGTTAAATTGAATGGATTACATAATAAATTTTCACTTTCTGAATGAAAGCAGGCATCACATCATGTTTAGATCTTCACTCCCCTGGTTTAACTCCCCCGGTGTCTATTTCTGCCTGTTGCCCGGCGTGCAGGGCTGTTGCAGAATGCGGGGCATGTTGAAGTGGGTGGTATGGGGGGATGGGGTGTGGTCTGCAGTTCCCATAAGACCGCTTCGAGCCGCTGCACCCCCCCCCCCCCCAGTAACCTTTTAACCCTCTCAAAGTCCACTTTGATTTATGGAAACAGGAGGGCTGTCTTTTTAAAGAGGCAGTCTGCAGAGCTAGCCTTTCCATGGAGCCTTTGCGACCGCACATCACAGCCCGCCTCTTCACCCATGTGCCGGACTTGTTCAGCTCTGACAGATACACTGGCAAAAGCACTTTAGAGCAGCCAATAAAACTAAAAGGCCTAAAGTGGGCTATGTGTTAAAGCGGGAGGAGGAGCTAGCCTACATGGGTGCGGTAATGCATCAACAATCTCATTACAATCACTTTTCACGAGGATTAGCAATAGCTCTTACCAACGACTAAATCAGACATTGTAATCTACTCTATCTTTCCATTTTTACTAACATGGACACAAGATACACAAGATACAGAGTCTGTTTATGCAAATAAAATGAAGAGATGCAATCGGCACTATATGGGTTCATTTATTTGCATTTATGAGATAATCTTAATTATGTGAAAGCATACTTGTAAAAGGATTGCCTGGCACAGGAGATATTTTAACTTAATAGGGTCTTCCTGGCAAAATGTAAAATAAAATAAAAAAATTAAAATAATTTGTATATTAAATAATATTGATCTCAGCATGATTTCTGTCTTGCGTCCAACCATTTATCAAATTTTGGTCAGCCCAGCCATACTTTAAGGGGCAGTGCATATTTTTTATTATTATTTGCTTTTTAACTACTGTGCAATAAAGTGAAATTTGTCTTGACCCAGTACTGATACTGTAAAAGCAGCTCTGTGGTCAATAAAGAAAAAGTGTTATAATAGTCTCTGAGCCAGGAAGTAACACTGATGCCCTTTTAAGCATAGTAGTTGTTAGCAGTGGTGTGATGAAACAACTCTGCTCTGGGCTCTGAAAGTTGGGAAACGCACTTATAACCTCATCACGGTGAATAATCAGGATGCTAGTCATGGGTCAGGAAATAAACTTGGGCGTCAGAAAAGAATTTAAAATTAACTAGTTATGTTTGTCATGTTTTGAAGACTGTAAACCTGGTACAGTTAAATTCAAGGTTTTCATGACTACTAGGCTCTACATGCAGAAAATAATTGTATATTATATCTACTACTACTCCTACTACTTTTCTGCGCCACACCCACTTTATCATGCTCCCATCACATCTGGAAAATGTTATTTCAATGAGTCAGAAAGATCGCTGTATTTAACTGAAAAGTAATTATGTGGAAGCTCACCATTTGCTAAGATAATGCTACACTAAATCCATTCATTTCAAGTAGAGGCTTTGTAGTAAACTGTTACAGCTGTAGGGGAATCTGTTCATGTTTTATTTATTGTATTTTTGACTGATTTTACGGCTTTTTGATTTTCAGAGTATGTGTGTTTGCATTCTTACATTTTGAAAAAGAAATGTGTGCAGATTACTTCTCATAAACTTCCCCTAAATCAAGTTAGATCCCAGCACCAACTGTCACGATTGACAGCAGTGGATGGTGAAGCCAAAAGTGTTATTTATATTTTTATCTCTGTACTTTCACTTTTACTTTGAGGAGATATATGAGATACAGTTCATCAAGTGCATGTCCAAATTTAATTTTTTTAATTCCAGTCAATTCAGTGTCCATCTCCCATAGTTTCTATATATAGTAGCTTAAATCATAGTAAACATTTTGTGGTGGACTGGTCATTATACAAATAAAAAGACAAAAAAAAAATTGAAAAAAAAATGCAAATACTGTTGATGGCACAAATCAGCAGCCACATCTTGAGCACTCAGACCCACAGCAGATGTGGCTTCAATAGTAACTTACAAACACCATAAGGAGCTTGGAAATCCAGAAGATCTTTATTATATGCCCACATTCAGTTGTTAGTACAAACTGTTAGAGATTCTTAAATTCTTTCTAACTCACTATGTATTTCTATTACTTTCTAACATAGTGTAAAAGATATGTTACCAGCAACAGCTTTCATCTGCCACAGCCAGCTTATTGCTTGTTTCCAGCAAAGCCCTCATTATACAAAGCTGTCTGCAACATGTCAGCCTGTCGCCCTTAATGCACCATAACTAACATAATGTGTCCAGACACTGTCCAGTAACGGAAAGGGTGAGGAAAGGGCCAGACATGGGCAGCAATTCAGTCTTCATTCAGTAGGTAGCATGGACAGTCAGTGAGGATTGTAAATAAGGCTTTAAACTTGGCAAATGAAATCACTAGACACTAGGCTTGGTGGGGTGACGTCACAGATTGGCCACACCCCTTACAGTACATTTCTGGCACCTATAAAGTACTGCAGTGAAAGGAGAACATATCACATTTTCCTATTGTTGGAAATTGTTCAAAAACCAAAAGGCAGACTGTAAGACTGAGTTGGGAACTAAAGTCACAAGGACGCACAGGTTTTAAATGGCCAATTAAAAGAGCCATACTAATTCAGATTTCAAAAAGGAGGATACCAACTAAACACCCACTAAATGTTTCCATGACCCATCAACAAGCACTGAGCCTTGAGTCACCAAATGGAAACCACCATGGCCCCCCAAACTCCACCTCCTGCGCGCACACGCACACACACATGTGCACTCTCAAAAATTGGGTGGAGGATGGAATCCAAACAAAGCCATTCCCCAAAGCCTCAGCCAGACGGACTTTACTTTACCCTGACAATACCTGCTCTAAAAGAAAGTGAAAGTACAGATAAAAAAAAATTAAAAATTCTCATTTTGGTGACTTCAAATGCAATAGCCCTACACATAGGGAAATTTGCAAAATCTGAAAAAAGTGACTTTTTTTAGTAAAAGGATGAAGGGTTGAATGGAAGCTTTTATGCCATAAAAACTGTGTCAGTTTAGACATTTGCCGTGTGTCTACAGCTTAACCATTTCACCTGATACAATCATGTGATTTTACCGCCTCATAGCGATCAGTGCTTATAAACAGCCAGTTGGAGTGCAATGAACGAGGTGCACCGTTATTCAGCTTTACGCAAAACGCAAACGCATTTATTTATGAAGATAAACAAGAACAAAAGTGCATACCCAAGACTTCGCATAGCAATGCCTTTCTTCGTATCCACGCAGTTCACGATGAGCACATCAACCGCAAAACAAGAAAGGATCGGGCGACGCGCACACACTCGTAGCATGGTCCAAAAACAAGGTTGCTATGTCGTTATAGATAAGCTTATTCCTTACCCAGAAGATGAAGTTGAAGAAGAAAAGCAGGTATTTGACACATTTGGTGCAGCCTTCGACTCCCATGATGGTGCGTACGGTGAAGGAGAGATATTCGGAGATATGCGGAGTTAACGGGACGGTGGCGGTAAGAGCAGGCCAGGCAGGGTGATTCAATCTTCACTGAAGTGCTCGCTGGATCTCGGAGACAGAGGCAACACCCAACTCCGCCCCCTCTTCCATCAGAGCTGGTGTCAAGGCACGTAAGGCACTACTCTGGAAACGCGTTTTTTTCCACAGGATATTTCATAATAAAGCGCGCGTAATGACGTTAGATGACTCGAAAATAGGACAGATGTTATTAGAACTTGTGTGCCACATACAAACACATGTGAAGATGACTGACATAATAAGAGTGAAGCATCACATTATTTTGACGTGACTATGATCAGTCGAATAATGAACAAGTATTTAGTGGTTAATTTGTAACTTTTCTGATGGAGGATCCTCCACATACTTGTCTCTATGGAAATGTTGTTTCTTTGCCTGGAATGGTCCATTGTATTTTTCTCCATGAAGACAAATAGTTGACACAACCAGTTAAAGTTGCAAGTCAGACCTGTGGACAGGCAGTCCCTCTCACAGTAAGAATGCACAGCTTTAAGGTCTTTTATGCAATAAAAACACCTAATTAAATAAACGCTAGATAGATACATTTTATGGCTACCTACTGTAAATTCCAAACAAAGCAATATCCATAGAGACCAACTACCAGAAAACTAATTTTGTAGAGATTATAGTCTATGATCATGAATGATCTTAAAATAATGGCCTTTCCAGTGTGAGCAACAGGAAACATTTATCATGTTGGTAAAAGCTCTTTGGCCTTTGGTGCTAAGTTGTAATGAGCTTACCACAAGTGCCAGTGGAGTCTACTGCATTTTTGGTTAACTCGTCTAACACATGTGGCCACCAGTCCTCCACCACCACCTGGGGCTATTGTGTGGTGGGCAAGATGTTAAGGAACCGAAATTCAACCATTTTAAAATCATTAAATACTACAACTTATTCAACATTTTTGTGTGATTGTGTTTAGAGAGAGCTTATACCTGACTGGGACACTTTCACACTTGGTGTCACTCTGCATCCTGTATATGATGTCTGCCTGGGATACCTTCATAAAACCCCTTTTTGTATGCTCCCTGTTTAAAAAAATCAACATGCAATCTTTTTACTTGACTTGATGTGGTGTGAGGGTTACCACAACCTCCAAAGCAGACACATACTGGGACCAAAAATGTGACCTTCTTATCATAATAAATCCTTCAAGATTAATTCACAACCACAATGCAGTTTATTTTCCTGTGATGTGAAAAGAAACTGTTTTATTTTATGTTTTCCATATGTGGTAGTGGAAAAACAACTTAATGTAAAGCAAAATTGACGTGTTAATGCTTTATGATTTGTCTGCCAGAGATGTAATTTTATAGAATAGCCAGTACTATTATGTGCTTGAGTAATGATAGCAGTAAAAGTACTAGAAGTAGAAGCAGTAGTCATTGTAGTAGCAGTAGCAGTAGAAGTAGTACAATATATTTTTATTACTGGAAGGCCTTCATAATAAATGTAAGGGAAAGTGGGTCACTTCAGTTAAGAGCTCAGACCAGTCGCACAGACAGTATGTAAGCAAAAGGATTGGCATCATCCACATTAAGCCTTTCTCTATCCAATTAACAGAGGGACTGTAGAGTCGCGTGTCTAACTCTCAAAGAAAACATGTTCTGACAATAAAAAACAAACAAACATGAAATCACTTTCTTGACTAATTAATTACAAAAAAAGAATCAAAATGAAAATTCCCCCATCATTGCAGATCTTTTAAAAAGCCTCACAGATGGTGCATATTGACACAAACAAAATATAACAAAATAGTAACTAACCTGTGTATAATTGATATCCACACAGTATTAAAAAGATGTGTACTATATAGCACAAATTGCTCTTGGACATAAAACTGTATCTCAAAGCATATTGCAAATGTTCTCTACACAAGCACTGACATTTCATAATCCACATGTGTGGTTTTTGGCTTCTACCATTTTTACTTCATCGGTGAAGACTTTGCCTGTTTGACTTGCCATAAATACATTCAAGCACAGACCCATCTTACAACACACAAAAACTTACCATTGATTATATACAATTTTATAGAATACTCTTCCAGAAGTGAGTAATACTCAGTTACATTTGCTTGTGTAACTTTTTAGAGAGACTTTTTAGAAAAGTTTCCATCATCTTACGCTTCTTATTAAGTCATAAACAATACTCTTACTTGTGTAAATGGTGTGATTACTCTCATCTTTATCTCACTCTTCTAATTGTGTATAGAGACAAAATCTTTATATTAAAGGGCCCATATCTTTCTGTTTTGTTTCTTTCACACAAGTTATCACACAAACTCTCTGTATTTAGCCTTCTCAAACAAAAAACACTGTGTTCCACCTTGTGATGCCATGTAGTAATACAGTAATTGTTCTACTGTGGAGCAAAGCATTTTGAGCTTTAGAGATATAGACAGATTAATAATAAAGGGTTACTCAAGCATATGTGAATGAAACACAACACGTCTCCAAGACTTTTTTGATGAGGCAACAGTATTATAACATAGCTTAAAGCTCACAAAAGTCTATTTTTTTTTACATAATATAGCATCTTTAATGATTCAAGAAATTGAGCTTTTTGGTATATTTTGTCTATTATTTGAAAATACCCAAACCTGGGCTTTATTTAATGTTTTGTCTATGTGTGTGTATGATTAAATTAACTCATAAATTATAAATTACGTTTTAGAAACCTTTTATGTCCAAACTGTTACTCAGCAGTAGTTTCCCATATACTTTGTTTTTACCTGAGTAATTATTTCTTTGCTACTCTATCCACCTCTTTTCTCTAACATAGATTTTCTCCAGTACATCTGAACCATATTAGCCTAACATGAGGCCCAAGGCACCCCTCCCCTCCCCTGCACTACGAGAGACAGGACAGGTCATCCTCTCAGATGTTTGTTCAGTCTGTTCAAAGCATCCTCCACTATGTCCAGCTCATGTCGTATGTCCTTCACCATGCTGTTGATACTGCTGGTGTCCTTAAGCACATCTACACTCTGGGTATAAGGATTGTAGCGCAATGAGAATGGACGCCAGATGGTCTTAGCAAACTCCCTGAAAGCATACCATGAATTTAAACATGCAATTGGTTTTATTATGTATTAGAATGTTAGATCTATTTGTTGGTTATGCTAACCTCATTTTGTCCTTTGCCTCCTCAAAACTCTCAGAAACAAAGTAGACATCTTGGAATGTTGTTATCTTGCACTCCTGATTGCAGGTCACCATGGGGTCGAATGGGAGGATATGGGCTTTGCCAGACAAAGCATGCTGGGGGGAAACAGTATTAGATTTCCAAAGTTAAGACATAAGCAACTTTTTTCCATAAGGCGTCATGAGATGAAGCTCTAATCAAATTGGGCAAAACACCTGCCTCTATGCTAATTTTAGGAGCCAAAGAAAGAAGAAACTGCTGAAAATATCTCCCTTTGGGTTTTCTCAGCTTTAGATCTTCTTCTGAAGTAGAAAGTAAGGACTTGCAACATGCATTATAAATGTGAAATTAGCATAAGAAGAAAGACTACAGCATAATTTTTATTTTTATATATGTTTTACCTTAAGCTCACTGGCAGATGAGAGAAGTCCAGCTCCATAAGCCCTGAGCCCTCCGTTCTGTTTACAAAGACCAAATTCCACTGTGAAGAAGTAACACTGCAACACAACACAAGAGACAAGTTAAAAAATTATGTTTTCATGCTTGACATCATTACATACTTCAAAATGTATACACTATTGGATAGATTTTCATCAATGCCCTCATCAAACTATATTGGGTAAAACTATTTACCATGTGCCTCTACAAACATTTGAGGAAGAATAATTGAAGAACAAGGATCATTGTAGTTGTCTACACAACAGCCTAATATTTCATAAGGCCATAAGTTTGCAAATTATTGATCTCTAATGTTGTGTAGGTGTTCTCACAGTGGCCAGTTTCTGCACAGCATCGTCGGAGGCTCCGAGTGAAGCCAGACCGATCTCCTGAGAGAACTGAGCAAAGCTGGGCTCCGCCAGCAGAGGAACGTGGCCCAGCAGCTCATGGCAGGTGTCTCTGTAATGCACAATCACAATAATGACTTTGCACCACAGTCAGACTGTGCTCCTCCTGAGCTAGTGTTAGATGGATAGATAAGCTCATGACAATGAGATAACTGTTACATAGCTTGCAGTTCATAATGTAACTATTTATATTTGGTCAAAATTTAGTTTATTTTGAATACCTTATTTTAATCATGCCATGTTGAGATTGTTTGAAATGTTACTATTTTTACTATTAGTACTCATTGTTATATATTACACAGTATCACCAATTTTGGTCAGTGGTCACTGACAAAAGCAATACAGCTTTTTTTCTGAGTCTGAAAAAGGTCCAACTGGATTAATATATTTTAACATGGTAAAAAAAAAAAATTATACTAACTAAATAAATATTATAAATACTGTCCATATTTTTATGCAGTCAAACATTTTTTTTATTTTTTTTTTAGGAAAAAACTGTGTATTTGCAGTTTTTGTTTTAACTTTTCATGTAAATGCTCTATCAAAGGTTTAGACACACCCACTCATTCAAGAGAAGATCAAATATATATGAAAATGTATGGAATTATGTAGCAAAGAAAAAAAATTTAAGCAACTAAATTAAATATTTTTTTTATATTTTATATTCAAATCCTCAAAGCAGCCACTTTGTTGACAGCACTGCAAACCCTTGACTTTCTCTCAGTGAATTTCATGATGAGGTCTGCTGAAATGGTTTTCACTTCACAGCTGTGCCTTTTCAGGGTGAAAAAAGGCCAAAAGAGCAAACCCAGGGTTCAAATGATGGCTATCTTAAAATATTTTAATCTAAAACAAGTTTAATTATTTTGTGTTTATTTTTTGTTTGTCACATTCCATATGTATCCATTTGAAGTTTTGATGCCCTCAGTGAGAATCTATTATGTAAATGATCATGGAAATAAAGAAGAAAAACAAATGGAAAAGTGTGTCTAAACTTCTGACTGGTAGTGTACATTTGGATAAAGGCTAGGATAAGTCAGTAGAGCTCCTAATCCCTATTTAAGCAATAATTTTCCTCCAAATGTCATGCCCTTTAGATCATCTGCCCTGTTGTGTACTCACGGTTCTGGGGTGTACAGTGGCTCAGAGCTGTGGCGGATATACTGTGTACAGTGGAATACTCTGAAGGCCAGACCTGCCAGAAAGTCTCTGGGTGAAAGGTAACCAGCCACTGGCCTTATGATGAAGCCTGAGTGCTCTGTTAGGACAATGGAACAGAACAAGTGCTAAGAGAGTCAAAGGCATAGAAACAACCTACAGTATATTCAGCAAATGTACAATTTACATTACAATATTACATACAATTTACTCAGTATTTTACAACTATGGGCATTAGCAGTCCATTTAGCCATGCTGCTATCTCCTCAAAAACAAAAACACACAGAGAGTTGTATTTTGTTTCACACATGTTTGAGTAATCCTGCATTATTGGGCTGTCTACCTCTGGAAAACTCAAAATACTCTGTTCCACCTTGTGATGCCACATAGTTTTCAAGTTGCTATCTTTTACCTTTAGTTCAGGAAATATTGGCAGGTCAGGGCTGAAATTATCCAAATGATTCTAGTGAAGGTGTATTGGCTTTAAAAACACAGTGGAGCACTTACAGAACTAAAATATGCAGGGTTTGTGTGTTAAACGTGTGAATGAAACTAAGCACAACTCCAGGCATGTTCTTGATGAGCTAACAACATTATAACATAGATCAGACAATAGCTTAATATGGGTCTTTTCAGGAGAGTTCAATAGGTGATTAATCACAAAGCTGTGATACATTTTATATCCTTTCCTGTAACTAATAGGGCTGTATCCTTGTCTTTTTATTATTAGATGGAAATATCAATACTCATAGTAGATAAAAATATCACATTTCATTCACAGTAATTTATGATTACTACTATGAAATAAGAGCCTGTATGTTATGTCTATTATTTGCCTGAAATTTTACACCGTGGGGCTTCAAGTAGCCTTCAGCTGGTTAGAATTATATTCATTCATATAATAAAAAAGAAAGAAATAGAAAAAATATATATTACATCAGATATCATATTGAACATATGTTTTCCAAGCAAAAAAACAGACTAAATAAATAACCCATATTATTCAATCATACCTTTGAGGAAGTTCGACACGTCCTCCAACTGGGGTATGTTGTCCTCAGTGTAGTTGCAGTGTTTGGTCAGCAGGGGCAGGTTCTTCAGATACTCCTTACAAGCATGAGTGGGGTATAGTTTATTGAGCTCTCTGAACACCACTCCCCAGGTGCGTACCTCTTCAGCTGTGAAGTCGATGTGTGGAATAGGTTCCCCACTGGCAACACAAAGGCTAGTTAGATTTACCGGACCTGTAAAGAGTTTCCTTCGCCAGCACAGCATCCTTATGTGCTTTTTGTTCTTTATAAAGGATCAGCCAGGTCCCTGTTGATTTGAGTTAGCTTTCTAGTGGGCAGAGTAAATGAGCACAGAATGAATCACCTTTGATGGCAATTGGATTCTCAGTGCTGATTCACAACAAGAAACAAAGTGTTGAATATACCCTGTCCAAATGAAAGACAATGACATCCAACCTTTAAGCATTATTTGCCCCCAGTCAACTTTCTTTCAATTAAACAGCTACACCCAATTTAACAAATCCAGTAAGACAATTCTGTGTAATCCATTCATGAATTATTTTAGAAAATTACAGAGAACAAAATATACATCAATGAGGTCTAAAGCTTCACAACACTCCCGACCCACATCAGTGTGTTTTTAATGTGTCCTGCCCTCATACAATACTACTTTTTCTAAACAATTGAGTTTCTTTCAATGAACTGAACCCTTTTCCTGAGCATCCTTGGTTATATGGATACCAGCAGCTCCCTGTCTCTGCTGTTTTTGGAGGTCTAACACTTAGTTTGAGACCTTTAAAGACACACATCCTGAAAGGTGCCACTGGAATAGGAGCAGTGGGTGCAACAGTGCCTGGGGAGCCATCTCCAGATCTTGACCTAGGCTTGGTCAGGCCTGGAGGAGTTGATTTATTGTGCATTTATTAAACCATGCAAATGAGTGCTCAGGGGAAACCCACACAAACACAGGGAGAAAGCCCTAAGAGTTGTACCTGGTACTGTCCTGCTGTGAGGCGAGAGTGCTAGCTACTCAGTTACAGTGCCACCAAATGTTATTAGACACACCGCACGTTATGGTATGGCATAGTCAATTAGACACTCACTGTTTGTAGCTCATGGCCAAATCTGCAAAATATGCCCTCCTTTTACGATATATACTGTCTTTGAACCCCTGTAAAAGAAGAGAATACATAACAGACCTTTTAGTTCACTTTCAACTTTTAAAATTTCTGTCACTTACCGGATGATCTGCATCCAAGTCTGATCCGTACATCAGGACCCTGTTTGCACATAAATCCAAGTCGCTGATCTTTATTGGAAACCAGGGCACTTCGGACATCACTGGGGAACAAACCATACAGTACACAACCAACCAAAATATGTATCGTTTATTCTATAATAGTAATTTACCATCTTCAGACAAAGCAGATTCGGATGGATAAACATCAACAATTTCTGCATGTTTTTTCAGAAGTTGAGTCAGTTCTTTCAATTGAATGTGGTCACTGTCACAGTCAACAAAAATTTCAAAATCGGAGTTCCTTCTTCTGGATTTCCGGGACTCTATATGTACCAGGTTTACGTGCTTTTCCTGCAAATTAACCAAAATATTAATAATAACATATTTATAACATGACACATACACTAATAAAAACTTTTGAATTAGGGCTGCACAATACAATCAAATTGAAAATGCAATTTGAGTTGGCGCGAAAATATACTGTCTTTTTGTAAAATGTATTATTTATTTGTAGTTTAGAGTCCTATTATTAAACATATTTCAAAAAATCTAATTACAACTGCAATACTTGTCAACAAATCATGCAACCCAATGTTGGATTAATGAGACAAGACATCACTAACACACTTCACCACCACTACACCAAGAATTCTAATCTAAAGCTTACTTGGAAAAACTTTAGAGCCTTAATAAGTCCCCCAACTTCATTTTTTAGTGAGAATAGGATGGTAGAGCCGCTTTTGTCAGAGCTTGAAGCTCTTCTAGGTGCTGCACTCCATTTTGCCTGTTTCTCATCACTGACAGCAAATTTGTGCATCTAAAAACACACAAATAAACGCATGTGTCATAAAGTTACAGCAAAGTAAATAGCACATTGGTCTATATATTTGTCTTATAATAATAACATAATATAAACTTTGAACACTCTTAAATCAGATTTGGTAGTCCCAGTGTAATCCCTGTGTACGATAACAGATTACAGGGAATAATCTGTATGCTCATTCATTTTAATGTACCTAAATAAGGGTCACAAGATAAACTATATTTCGGATATATTGTCGTTGTAGTAGTATATGGCAGTATGCGTTACTCCACACTGTCTTACGTTACTCAGGTGCTTCTTTAGAAGACATAAAATACACAGCTAACAAAATAAATTTATTAAAATAGAAAAAAGTGTGTTAACATGTTTTTGAACTTCTGAAAAATAAGACGTTACTGAAAAGATGAGTTTCATCAAATACAATTCAGTGGTAGAGTTTGGAATCAAGTCTAACTTTTGAAATGCACTTATTAAAGAGAAACAAGGCAAGTTAAAAGTAAATACTAAAAAGTTTATAAAATCACTGTTGTGTAAATACAGATAAGAATTAGTTGAATTTAAAAAAGCAATATTAATTTCAGCACATACCTCATTGTTGAGCTGTTCCTCATATATGGTGTCCACCGGGTCAGAGTGGCGTCCGTTTTGGACTTCGTCGACCTTGTTGGCGTACATATTTCAGTTCCAATAATCCGAGCAAAGTTGGCAGAGTGGGCAGCCTTGGAGTGGGGAGGAGTGCACATGGACCAGTTGGCAGTAGCTTAAGCACACAGCCCAGGAGCTGTATTTATATGGCCCCGCTGAAGGGAGGGTGTGCTGAGAGGGGGTACGCAATTATTTTAGCAAGAGAGTAATTAGGAACAGAATGGTGATTAAGAAAAGAGCTTTGACGTTACATTAGAAGTCAAGACTGACTTTATATTGTTTCCAATTTACCAAACTACCATTTGGAGTTGGTAACTATTAAAACAAGAGGTAAAAATTACACTTTCAAGAAATGAGTCTGTACATATAGAATATATTCAAATTAGAACCCTTTCTCAGAACATAAAGAGTCATATACTGTACATATTATTGGAAGGCACACTTTCATTGTACAATGCAACGAGTGTTCTCATAATGCTGGGGGCTGAACAGCCATAAAATAAATGAGAATTGTTCGGCTAATTTTCTACTAATGTGGTGCCATGAGCAATATGCCTTCATTGCAAGTGTTGGAGTCTGAAATCATGACAGCTCAATTTTAAAAACAAGATAGTGTAACTTTGCCATAAGCATGTGAGTGATGCACATGGTTAGAGTGCTATTAAAATAACATGTAGCTATAGAACATGCATGTGACTAAGACTACTTGACTAAGTGCACTTGATCATTTTATGATGCTGAGAAGCAGTGAGGCGTGACGTACTTTGTCAGGATTATTAGCAGGAGGTAGACCACACCACACAAATAATTTTATAACGATGCCAGAGCTGGGTCCAGGTAATGCCCAGTCTGCAAGGGCTCAGCAATTTTCATGTCTCCTGGTAACATTCCTATTCTGTCTGATTGTTATTGAAATCTAATATTACCCTCAGATCTTATGTTAAGTATGCATTTTTCACTCTTTTATTGTTGTCCTAGTCCATGACAATGGCAGCTGGAATGATTGTACTCATTTTGGTGTACCTGTTGTTATTTTGTAGATAACATTGAAAATGAATAGTCTCATCTCTGATACCCAGTGTTGTGCCAAACTTGATAGTACTTCTCTGGCCATTAATGTAGATCTCACCTTCAAAACAAGGTCAGACCATTATGAACAGATGTTGTTTTGAACCCAAACAAACAGATACAACATCAAACAATGAAATGATTTTGTCATTGCCTTATCTGTATGAAACATTATGATTAGCCCAAATCTCTTAAGTTCTTGAAAATGATTGTTAGAAGTTTAAAGAATTGTTCTAACTAATTCTAAAACTGTAACTTATAACATATGGCATTGTCATTAACCGCTTTACAAGATAAACATGTATGGTTGTGTTCTGACCACACATATTTTATACATTTAAGATTAGAAGTGAAATATGTGATCTAAAAACAAAAGTAATTGTATCTTGATCATTACAGCCAAAGTGATGAATCATGATTACAGAGACAGGAAGTCTTATTGCTAATTCTCCTAGTGTGAGTGGTGGAGACTCTTGAGGCCTGGCGCTCTAAAAGACATTTACAGCCGGATATGAGCTGCTGCCTCCCTCAGAGAACAAAACAGATGATGCAGGTTCACAAGAAACTAGTTCTGGGTTGCAGGATTTGGTGATTAGTAAATCTGACCTTGGTGAAGCTCTGCTCCTTTGAGAGGCTTAATGAAAAGCAATCTCAGAGTGAGATCCATCTGCCCTGTCTTTATAAAATTAGAGTAGAGTGGACCACACAGATTGGGTTTTCTATTCTAAGAGCCCTAACATACTCCTAAAGATTTGTCAATATATCTTCAGATGCAGCCAAAAGTGTTGCTTAAACTGCTTCTTAAAGCTGCACTATGTAACATTTCTGACTGATTTGATCAAATTACAGGTGTTCTTACAGAGAGCAAGATGCCCTCTCCACATATCTGACTTGTAACTTGGCCTTGTTGCTTCCCCAGCATGTCTCCAAAGAGATAGATATGTTCAAGGCTATTCTTCAACCATAAAAGTTATACAGTGCACTGTTACAATGCGGCCTAGAAGACGCAAAAGTATGATCAAACTAATCTTAAATTCTGAGGTCACCATATATGGTCGACCAGATGTTTCCAAAAATATGCCCACCAGAATGTGCCAACAAGCAGCAGTTGGCAGCCACATATCTTTCAGACCGCCCCAGGGCAGCTAGCCACCATAAAGAATGGTGAACAATTAATTAAAATGAGTGTCCAAAAATCTTTTTGTATTAGTCTAATATTATTCATGTATAATTGCTAAGGGCGTTTTATCTTTCAATAAACTTCAGAGATTATTGTGATTTCTAACCTATTTTGGGGAATACTCAATTCCTCATATTCACACTTTGTTTTTGTTTTTTTAAGAAATTGTACTAGTTTTGGAGTAGTTTTCAGACTGCATACTTTACGTCTACTTGAGTAATATTTAGGTTGATGTAACAATAGTCTTACTTGAGTTAAGGTTTTGGTTACTCTATATATTATCAATCAGACGGACTACTAGGCTACTTTGGACTCGTACGTGAGTCTTTTTTTTCTTTTCTTTTTTTGACTTCTCTTCACTTGCAGTCGATCACGGCGGAGACATCCCCATAGATGTGTGTATTAAATATTAATTAATTACGCTATCCTACTACTCCATTGTGCCTCAGTTTAGCCCATGTTGTGCTGAAGACTGCCCTCTAGCGGCGGCTTGAGGAGCTGCGCGCCCTGGTCACCAAATGCCTCTCGCTCCCGCCCGCCACGGTCTGTCTGGTTCCCGTCTCCGTCACTTTTCCAGCGGGGCACCCAGGACTACACTGAGTAGCGCCTGCCTGCTAGCTAGTTAGCGGTACCCAGCATAAGACAAAGTTGTTTTAGATTGCTCACACCACGCTGAAGACGACACTTTTGCGAGATCAACATGCCCGCGGTGTCTAAAGGGGACGGGATGCGTGGCCTGGCTGTCTTCATCTCTGACATCAGGAACTGTAAGTAGTTTTGTGTTTATTACTCAATAATTTCTCCTCATACTTCTCACTTCGTCTGTCTAAGTTACTTTACGTATTCACAACGAACATGCGCGCCCTTTCAGAGTCCAGCAATCCCGTGCAAAGCCAACGATCGCAGTTCAAGTCCAATTTAAGAGATGAAATTTGAACAGGATTTTGACAGTCCACAGCTGGTTAGCCTACCCAGCTAATTAGCCTAACTACTACTAGCCCTCTGATGCTAACGTCATGTGGAAGGGCGTGGACCGCACACTCATTGAAGATAACGCTCTTATAACTGTCATATTTTGGACTTTGATGAAATTTAAGAAATAGTTTGGGTTTAAAATGATTGGCACGTTCGTGGAAAGGTTTAGTGAAAAGTGCGAACAAGTTTTGGTGTTGAGTCTTTCATTCAAAATCAAATGGATAGAAGGTAAACAACTAGGGTAGGAAGGCTGTGTGAGCTGCACTTCTGCCATCTGCAACACATTATGAGAAAGTTTTTTTATTTTTATTTTTTTTACATTATGTTATAAGCATAAACTTGGACAAAAAACTAAACAAAACAAATATGTAGGAATAAATAAAAAAAAATACCTACAATACTAATTATGAATCTGTCTTTTTTGCGTGTTAGAAACAAATGATAATAAATGATAAACATATTTAATAATAATAATAAAGTAAAAATAGTTAATCCCACCATATTTTGCATAAACCATGTTAAATAGTTGTTGTTTGGGTTATAATTAAAGGGCCCATATTGTGCTGTTTTCTGATCGATGTTCTAATGTTGTTTCCACATCAAAAACATACTTGGAGTTGTGTTTTATGTTGTGTGTAACCCACAAATGCTGCATAATTAGGCTGAGGTCTTTTATTAAATAGAAAGCACTCTGTTCCACCTTTTGATGTCATGTAGTAATACAGAAAGTGCTCCACTATGTTTTTAAACTCCATACATCTTCACTAGAATCATTTGGATGATTTCAACCCTGGAATTGGTCATTTGAATTTAACAAAAGGTAAAGTTTAGCTGTTAACTTGAAAAACTACCATTATATTCATCACAAGGTGAAGCAAACATTTTGAGCTTTGGAGATGTAGACAGACTAATAATAAAGAATTACAACAAAACACAACTCCAAGTATATTTATGATGAAGTAACAGCATTCTAACATGGCTTACAGCTCACGAGAGTCAATTTTGTGTAATATAGGACCTATAATATTGTATTAAGAATACATGAGTAAGGTAAACTGTAAAAACACTCACTCTACACACACTTACTCTTTTGTACCCTTGGTATGTCAGATAATTCAGTCACTTTTTATTCCATGTTTATTATATGTTCATACACCAGACAGTTATAATGTTCTAACTAATCTCCCCTAATGACAGCCTGTGGCTCCCAGGCCTTTTCTCCCACTACTGCAAGCCATTTATTTTCCTAATACCATAAACATGTTACACAAAGAAAGCATACTGTGTCTCATATCAAACAGGAATTGAATCATATTGTTTATACAAAATCGTGGCTCAGACTCAGACAGATTGCTACCTTGTTTATGATTAGGGAAGTGAATATCAAATTTTGTTCCACTATAGACCCTTGTTGTAATAAACAAAAACATTCTAAGACTAAATGTTCACTTTTTAGAGTTATGGTGGAAAAAAATCACATTATTGAATAGATTATTAAAAGATTTGCAATTTTTCAGTATTGTGATTACGATTAGATGTACGATTTATGTTTTAATAATCATATTCTGTTCAAAGTTCACATTTTAAAATATTGACAAAAATACTGAAATATCATGATCTGACTCATTTGTATAGATCTAAATGACTGGGTTAGCTGTTTTTATGCAGAAAAAGACAGGATATTTAGTTGTTTGTGGTGGAAATTATGGTACTTCAAAGACTGCAGCCTTTGGGATTTGCTAATTACGTCCATTCAAATTGAGATTTCTATTTGATTTAGCTTAATCTTGCAGATCTACATTGTAGTTGTAATGTTTTATTGCATAAATTCATCATGTTTTGTATATTTTTGTAGGCAAAAGTAAAGAAGCCGAGATCAAGAGGATAAACAAAGAACTTGCCAATATCCGTTCAAAGTTTAAAGGTAAGTCTGTGTCTGACGGTTAATTTTAGGACATTTTAGGACATTTTAGGACACTTGTGACCTGTTTTGTTTACATGGATATGATATGGTGTGCCATGTTGTCACTGTTGTTTTTAAAAGTTCAAATGCATCGCTCCTGTGTCTCTGCCACCTGTTACAGTCTGTCTAAAATTAGTTTGCAGGCCTCTTCCCATTGCCCTGACTGTACTGATCTCACTTATATCCTCTCCTTTATTATGTCAAGACTTCAATTTCCTTTGCCACGCCATGGTCCAAATTTCATTGTGACCTTATATGACTGAATTGGTTTCTCCAGTGGATATATGAA